GAAAGTTGAGTTTGATAACCCTCGTTATTATGATGATTCAATTTTCACAGTATACGATATGAGAGCTGGAAAATATGAGATTAATGTGAGAAATAATGAAAATACATTGGAAGAGGATCCAGAATTACCAAAATATTCAAGATATTGAAGAAAAGATCTCGTAAAAATTTATCTATGTGTCAAGTGCCCTTACCGCATGTATATACTGTCACAATTATACGTGTCACATACATTGTGATAATTATATTCAAATCTATTAAAATTTGTTTTCTTTTCAGCGGCTAATTGAAAATATTGACAATTGAGACAGAGCGCTATGGATCAAGCAGCTGAAGATCCAATTAGAAATGATCCACAACGTCCAACAACAACTAATTATTCAATCAGCCTCCAAGATTTATCGTGGTTGTTCTATTATGTTAGTTTAATCATCTCTTTCTTTGGTGTTTTTGGGTTTTCAATCAGCTATTTTATCATATACGAGAAGGTGAGCGCCAGTGATGATTTTTATCTTTATGGAAATGGGGATGTATTTAGTTTTGATAAAAGATTAAAATATCTTCGTTATGGTCACTTTTATTGCACTAGCATTGTGTTTGCATTTATTATACCAGGGCTTTATACTGGTAATTTCCATTACACCACTAATAAGGCTACTTTACAAATTATTGTTATGGGGTCAGGATTGCTTCTGTTTCTTCTGGTAGAGTTTGTTCAGTATTATATCAGCAGCAAATTATAAAATTAATTCGAAAGCTGGGAGCTAAGAATTGAATTGGGATAGAATATATACCTAATTAGCCACTGCTGTTAACTTATCATCAATTGCATTTCAATTTCACCGTTATTGCTAAGTTTTAGACAGCTATAAAGCCTCTCGGGCGTGAATACAACTGGTATAGTTATTGACTTAAATATGATTTACTACTTCAAAAAAAAACACAAAATTTATAAACTTATATTAATTGTCATGATCATGATATAAGCAGTAATTATATTACAGATCTCCATCATTTGATATAATGTGAAACCAACTAAGATCATGTACTCAGAGCCGAAAGATTAATACACGAGGGGTTTTCGTATAGTAAAGGAGATCGACTTGTTTGATATAAATCTCTCAATTGATTGAACCAGATATGATTGTATATTTTAATTAATCTTCTCACTTCGATTAAAGAATATAAGAAACATTGGGTCTTCATTCTCAAAATACTACACACTTTATTTATTTAATCAAAACCCATAATAAGGATCCATAGCTACTAATATGTTTTCAAAACTTAAACGCCAATTTTTCCATAAACTAATTGCGGATAGTGATTCCGACAAAGGATTAATAAACATTTTATTCTTGTCAGATAAAGAGCTAATTGGAACGTTATGTTTAGAGCCTGGATATAAAGAGGGTGATATAGAAAGTGATGTATACATGAATGTTGTATCTGATCGGTTCCTTGCTGCTCTTTTTGATCCAAGAACTTCTTTTGAATTCAAATCAAATGAAATTTTCCATATTGTTGAGCCTCAATACGTTGAGTATAAAAGATTTTCAGTTAAATTAAGATTGAGAAATCATTCTACAAGTACATTTAGTGAGAAAGATCTCAATTATATCAGAGTGTTCTTAGATGAAAATAAAAATTTGGAGCATTGTTTCACAGTATTAATGAGACCTGATTTGAACATTTCACAAATTTTAACTTATTTAAATGAAATTAAATCTTTGAGATCAGATGATGAAATCATTGACTATACCTCTAAAATTAACAGTGAAAGGCTACCAAAGTTTTTTATTCTCACTGGAAATTCTGAAATGTTAAGGATTTTCTGTAAATTAATGAATTTCTATTCAAATTCAATAGAAGCAAGGACAAATTATACTGCACCACTGGAGCTAATTGGCAAAGTTGTCCAGAGGGAGAAGTCAAGATATATTGACATTAAAGGAGCAATACCACATCGGAATTGTGTTTATTTCTTCAGAAGCATGGGCTCCAACCGCGTTATTAATGATGAAAATCTCAAGAGATACCGACACATCTACGAGGAGGTTGACTTTGATAAACCTGTCGGTGCTTCTGACCATATGTATTTAACAGTATATGATATGAAATCTGGAACTAGTCAGATTAATGGGAGTAATAATGATCAATCATTAGAAGAGGATCCAGAGTTACCAAAATATTCAAGATATTGAAGAAAAGATCTCGTATCTATGTGTCAAGTGCCCATACCATAATATGTGCTGTCACAATTATACGTGTCACTTATATTAGTGATGATTTCAATCTTTATATAAAATATTCAAATCCATTAAAATTTGTAGTTGTTCTCTTTTCAGCGGCTAATTACAAAAACTTCATCAATCAGAGTTTTCAGCACAAGCGCCATGAACCAATCATCAGATAAACAAACTACAAATGATCCACAACGTCCTGCACCACCACCAACTTCAAATATCAACCAGCTCAACCAGGAAGTTAATTCATCATATGTTCTCAGAAATTTATTTTGGTTTACATATTATAGTATTTATATCAGTTCATTTTACGGTATTTATTGGTGTTACACTAACTATTGGGAGTCATACAATGAAGTGATAACTAGCGAAGCTTATTGTTTATTTGGTAATGGAGATCCTGCTTCGTTTTATAAAAATTTATACCTCTTTCGTTATGGTCAATTTTATTGCATTGCAGTTTTCTTTACAACTTTATTATCAGGTTTTCGTTCAAATAGTTTTTATTTTACTCCTGATAAGGTTCCATTACAGCTTCTTGTTGCGACTATAGGAGGTATGTCAGTTATTCTCTTGTTAGAACATGAAAGAAAAAAAGATTGAAATAACTCATAGCCGCTACTGATCATATATAACTTAATTATCATTTACTTATATATCAATAAATCGAATATACGTATGCTAATTTTCAGCTTCAAATTTTGATATAAGCTTTTTTGAATTAAAGTGTAGACAATATTGATAACTTACTTAGGTTTAGCTATAACAACAGGTATAGCTTATTGATGATTGAAAACTACTTTAATGCAATTAAGAAAATTTAAAATAATGCAATTTATTATAAGCTAATTCCTATACAAATGATCATACTCTTTCCCAAATATAAACATAACCATTCTTTTCAATTTCATCCCAACTATTTTGATCACCTGTAACATCAACAACTTTTTCATCATTAAACAAGATCCATTTTTCCTGTTTCTTGATGAAAGCAACATAATGACCTGAAGTTACTTGTGAACCTTTATGACAAATAACAGCTTTTAATTTATATTCAGATGATTCAATTGCTTTAGATTCAAATTTTGTAATTTTTTCATCTGGAGTTTCCTTTATAGTTGTAGCAGTAGTTTCAATGATTCCATTATCATCAGGATTACTGAATAACCATTCAATAGATGAATTAACATCATTATTGTTTAATATCAAGGCCTTTTTGGATAATTGAGAAGTAAATCCCATATCTTGTAATGCTAAAATTTGAGACTCATCAACTTTTGGTTCATTTGATGATGATACAGGTTTGAATTCAATTGGATCATCAATTGTTGGATCTTCAAGATGTTGAAATAACCAATTCATAGCAGTTTCTGTATCAATATTACCAGTTATGTATAATGCTTTTGTTGCTCTTGATTCTGGGAATCCCATTTGTAATAAGTTATTCAATGATTCAGTGTTTGGTTCGAATTTATTGGTTGTTTCTTGATCATCCTCATGAATTTCCACTTCATCTTGTTCAATTATTGATGATGGTTGATAATCTTGAATATTGAATGAATCTGGTAATGATAATGGAACATCTGTTTTAATTGGGATCCAATTTTCTAATTGAATTCTTTGAATACTAGTGACAAGATATTTTGGATAAGTTTTAAAAAATACTTGTTTTTCAATAATTTCATTTTCATTTTTGGAATTTTTCCATTCAATTTCTTCAGGTGTTAAATATTGAATTAATGAATCTATGAAATCTTGACGTTTATAATGTTTTTTACCATCTTCAATATAATCTAATTCTGTAATTGTTTGTAATGTTAAATTTTCATTAATTTGGGTTTTCAATTTAATTTTATTATTTGGGAATTTTAATTTTTCCACTGAAACAAATTTAAAAATATCATTTAATTCAGGTTCAATTGAATCAATTTTATCAATTAAATAATTCCAAAATTCATAAGCATCTTGTTGTCTCATTGAACTAAATTCTTCATGATTTTGACCAATCAAATTTTTAAAAGAAGTTGGTTGAATACCAATTTGATAACCATCAGAACTTGGTTTTGAAAAATCACCAGATTGCAAACCTTTAGATAATTTGGTTAATTGAAATGATAAATCATCTTTTTCATTAAATGATTCTAATGATTTAGATGCAAATTTTTGTTGATATTCTGGAAGGGAAAATAATGATTGAACAACAGATGATAAATAACATGAATTACCTAAATTTTTCAAACCTGTTAATTCTGGACCATAAACACTTGGTAATTTTTCACCTTTATCATTTTCCATATTAAATTCCCATTTCAGGTTTTGTTCTAATTGTAATTCAACAAGTGATTTTTCAGTCTTGACAAAATTATTTAAATCAATACCAAAAGTTTTCAAATTTTCACTTAATCCAGGGAATTGAATTTCATCATTACATGCATAACAATAAACATCAGTGATATCTTTTGATAATGAACCTAATTTAACAGCAATTGGATGATTTGCAGTTTCATAATGTTGTAAAGCATGAGTATTACCAGCAACACCACCAAATTGAGCACGTCCACAACCTAATTTCCCACATGTTAAACATATCCATAAGTTTTCTTTTAATTCACATTCACCACATTGTGTTAAGTCTAATGTTGAAATTGGGGATTGTTTAAATTCAATTGTATGTTCACATGGTAAAATTTCTTGTTGCCATGTTTTCAATTCTTCCTTTTTGTTTATAGAATCGGAGTTTATAATTTTATCAATAGTGGCTAAAGTATCTGAATTCAAATCAACAATAACATCTTTTGTTGTACCATTGAACGTGAACAATTCAGTATTGATATCATATAAATCTTGTTCTCTTTCTTGTTTGATTTCTAATTTGATGATTTTATTTGGTGTTTCCTCTCTTTCTTTCAATGTTTTACTTAATTTTAAATAAATTGTGTCATTTGAATCATGTTGATAATGTAATTGAAGATGCTCATCACAATAAGCTCTGTTTGAACGTGTACTAATATTGATTCCCTCTGGGTCGAACGGTGTCTTGAAACAAAAGAAGCACTGGTCTTTGGCAATTGGCTGTCCTGAATATGAAATCAAACTCATCTTTTTTGGTGGTTTTTGGTGGTTTTTGTTTTGTTGATTGTTTGTTTCTTGCCACTTTAATTTGATTTTTTTTAGCGATCTCGAGAAACTTCAATGAAAAAAGTGCTTAACTATGGGAAATACAAGAACAGGAACAAAAAGACACACAAAACAAAGAGATTCAAAGGATTTAATGGTCAATTGAATAGTCTCTTATCATCACCAAAAGATTATATAACCAATTACTAGGCTGTCCCTCAATTTACCCTGTATTTTGTCAATCAATTAGATCTTCGCTGACATAATCGCAGATATACAATTCCAATCAAACAAGGGTAGAAATCCTTCTTTTTTTAAAACATTTTTCTCAATTCAACAGAATTCAAGGACAATAAGGGGATATGTGGTTTACTAAAGGTCATTTCGATGTTAAGCACAAATTAGCAATCATTTCTGGTGGTTCTCAAGGTGTTGGTGCTGAATTTGCAAAACAATTAGTTGAAAAAGGTTCAGATGTTATTATAGTTTCAAGAACTGAATCAAAATTAAAAAAAGTTGTTGAACAAATTTCAAAATTTAGATTAGAGAAATTTCAAATTGTTTCTTATATAGTTGCTGATATTTCCAATTATGAAGAAGCTGAAAAAGTTTTTGCAAAATTAGATCAATCACCTGATATTGTTGTTTGTTGTGCTGGTTCATCTGTACCAAAATTATTCTTAGATTTATCTCCAAATGAATTAAATAATGGTATTACAACAAATTATAATACTGCAGTTAATTTTGCTCATGCTGCAATGAAAAAAATGTCACTAGAAAAATCAACAGATCCAAGACATTTAATATTTTTCAGTTCAGTTGTGGCATTTTTCCCATTTATTGGTTATGGTCAATATGCACCTTTAAAAGCTGCAGTTCGTGCCCTAGCTGATGTCCTGAGACAAGAAGCTATACCTTATAACATTAGGGTATCAAGTGTTTTCCCTGGTAATTTTGATTCTGAAGGATTTTTGGAAGAAAATAAAACAAAACCTGAAATTACTAAAAAAATTGAAGGTCCTTCTTATCCAATTAGTGTGGAAACTTGTGCAAAAATTATTATTGATTCTTTAGATCGTGGTTATGAAACTATAACTACAGATTTTATTGGTTGGGTTTTAACTTCAATTTCTTTAGGTTTAAGTCCAAGATCTTGGGGGGTTTTACAAGCTATAATTGGATTTGTCATTGCATTGATTGCTCCTATAATATCATGGTCTTTTAATCGTGATATTAGAAATCATTTTAAAAATGAACAAAATACAATTAGAAACTGAGATCATTTGTTACTCTGTATATTACAATATATTTATGCTGCCTTTTTGTATATGTGTACTTCTAAAACCATCTATTTTGAATCAATCCCTTTTTCCACTCTTGAAACTAAATCAGAACCAATCTTATCAACATTAATTGAATAAATTGATCTAACACTTGATAATATTTGTTCATTCCATAAATCTGCAATGGTTTGCTTTATACTTGGTCTATATTGATATTCAACACTTCTTGGAATAGGTAATGGTTCTTTCCCGTGATTCTGTATAATAGCTTCAGTATCTCTTAATGCCTTAGAGACATATTGCTGTGATTTTTTAAATTCTTGTGATGTATAATAAGCAATTGATGTTGTTAATAAAACACCTTTTGATATTGTTAGTAAATAACTCTTATAAATCACCTTTTGGAGTGCAAAAAACTTGGAATAAACTGGACATACCTGCTAAGAACCCGTGTATTCTGTTACCCATGTTGTCTCTATGTGATTATACCAAATATTAACTAGTTATCAACCTATCTCAATACAATCTTCTCATAAATTCATAGTTGAAATATTCAACTTTTTAATTTCTTTTAATTCGACCAAAATCAAATTCGCGGAAACTGAAAATTGGTGTTTGGGTTTTTTTCTTCGATGGATTTTTTCAACTATTGGAAAATTTAAAATTAATATCATGAAAGTATTGAATAGGTTATAAACCACAGGTTGATTGATTACGTTGGTTATATTGGATCCATTCATAGTCATTAGCTCACATACCCAAGATGCCTGCTCCAAGAAAATTCTCTAGAACTCCAGAACATAGAAGAGCCATGTTGAGAAACTTGGTAACTTCATTAATTGAACATGAATCAATAATAACAACTCATGCTAAGGCAAAAGAAACTCAAAAATTAGCTGATAAATTAATATCGTTAACAAAGAGAAAAGATGTTAAACAATCAAAACAATTAGCTTGTGCAGATTTATTTAAATTAGATCGTACTATTCCAAAATTATTTAAAGTATTAAATCAACGTTATACAAATAGAATTGGTGGATTTACAAGAGTCTTGAAATTAGAACCAAGATTAGGTGATCATGCTGAACAATCAATTGTTGAATTAGTTGATGGTCCAAAAGAAATGAGATTTTGGTTATTAGCAAGAATTGTTGCAAGATTACAAAAACAAAATTTACCAATTGATGAATTAACAAAACATAATGTTTCAAAATTAATTGCTCAAAGACCTGGTGGTCAAAAAGAATTTGATGATTTGGTTGAAAGATGTAAAGAAGAATTTTATAAAAATCCAGAAAGTTATGAAAATTTACCACCTCCTGCTGAAAAAATGAGAAAACCTTATACTAGTTATACTTTGAAAAAAGGTATTGAATTTTTACAACGTCCTTTAAAATCATTAAAATCTGAAAAATCTGAATAAAGAAGTCATATATATAGAGATTTGAATTAATGTACATAGATTATGAAATACAATTGTAACAAAAAAATATTACTTCTTGATATTAATTTACACAGTTCCTAAGCAAACACACTTATTGAACATTATCTTGTTTTTGTAAAGCAGTTGCCAAGATTTGATTAGCTTTAAATGATAAACCTTTAGTCTTTTCAATAACTTGTTGATAAACACTTGTATTTGGATGATTTAATAAAACAGTACCTTCACTTTCATCAATCTTAGCATCCATTTTAGTTTCTTTAATTAAACTTGCAATCCATTTTTCACCTTCTTCATTTGTTAAATTTAATGATTTTGATAATTCTTGTAAATTTATTCTTTGATGTACTCTACAATAAACTTCTGAAATTAAATGACGAGCATTTTCCAAAAATGAATCAGCAATATTTGCTAAAAAGAAATCTGATCTTAAAATAATTGAAGCTTCTAATAATTTTGAATTTGCTTCTTGGAAATCATAATCAATATATAAAGCTTTAATAAAATCAGTTAATGGATCATTATATTCATATTGTTCTTGATTAACAACTCTAATCAAATCTTTTAATCTTTTTTGAAAAGTTGGATTTGATAAATTATTTAAACTTTTTGTTGAATTTGAAGAATTTGATGAATTTTCTGATGCAACTACTGCAGCAACTAAATAACGTAAAATCCATGGTGATGCAGCTTGAATTGTTGATAAATATGATGAACTGAAAAATAAATCTAATAATTGATCTAAACCATTTTCAATATTGAAAAATGGAAATAATGACCAATGAATAATCCAAGTTCTATGATGTAATTGAGTTAAAGGATTTGCAAATGATCTTGAATCAATAACTTCTCTTAATTTACTTAATTCTTTTAATGAAGAATCCCATTCTAATCTAATGATTTCTGAAGCTAATTTCCCCCATGTTGCACTTATAATTAAATCTGTATCAGTTGATAAAACTCTAAAATTACTTAATAAATCAGAAGCCATAACGTAATCACCACGATTATATTGAAATTGACCAAATTCATATAATGAATTAATCTTAGCTTCAGTAATACCATGATTTTTCTCTAAATATTCTCTATTAAATTGTTTATCTTGTTTTAAATGATCTTGAACTTCTTGTAAATTTAAAATATCTAAAGTTTCTTTAGTATCATTATTTAATTTATTAAAAATTTCATCAACTTTAGCTTCTTTAGTAATAATATCGTTTGGAATTGGTTTCCCTGGGTTTAAAATTTCCCATTGATCTTTAACGAATTGAGTCATATTAGTTTCTTTAAATAAATCAAAAGTTAATTGAGTTATAACTTCATCATCATATAAATCATCAGCTCTTAATGATTCCAAGACTGGATAGATCAAATGTCTGTCTAAAAATGGAATGACTTTTTGAGTCAAGTCATATTTACGAGCAGTTTCTAGCTCACTATTGGATAATTCACTCATATCTAATTATCCTTGATGTGTTTCCTTAATAACTTGTGTCTTCTTTCTCTTATATTAATTTTAAAATCGACGTTAAATTTTTTCAACATTTTTGAATTTTCCAACATCCGAACACCAGAAAATAATTTCGCGCTTTTTTTTATTTTTGTTAATTTTTACGCGTTTTTGTTTATTTTAACTATGTGAATTTATACAAAACAGGTCAAAACAGGTCAAGATGGGTGTGTTTGAAGATGCTATTGAAGTGCTGAAGAATGCATTGGTCAAAGAGAACAAACCAGTATGTCTTTGCAGCTTTTTGCGTTGAAATTGGACCAAAACTGACTAATTTCTGATTTCTAGTACACTTATAAATTATTAAGTAGACATTTGAATATTCATGTTAATGATTCCAAAAAATTATTATATTCATTCCATCAGAAATATCAAGATCTTGTTGATGCTCATTATTTGATCAGTGGGAGATTGAACAATTCTACTGATTTAACCATCAAAATTACTAAAGATATTAATGAAAAGGATAAATTTGATCAAATTCAATCTATACAAATATATTCATTAAGTCCAAAAAATATTGAAATTAATGAAATATTATCTACTGCTAATGCACAAATTAGAGAAATACCCGTTGATGCTGAAAAATTAGCTAAATGGGGTGTGATTAAAGGTCCTGAGTTGGTGAAAATTGATCAATTATCAACAAGTTCAAATACAAATACATCAAGTAGATCAAATACAAATACATCATCAAGATTACCAATTGGTGGTGATAATAAAGAACAAGATCAACCTACTAAAAAGAAGAATGATTTCCCAGATATGGGTCTTAGATCTGCACAAATCTTGAATAGAAATAAAAAGAAAGATGATGATAAACCAAGAGCAAGAACTGCAACACAACCAACATTTGGTTCTTCTATGAAGAAATCAAATACTAAACAAACTTCATTACAACAACAACCTTTAAGATCACGTACAGATCCAACACCAAAATCAAGTGGATCTGGTTCAAAACCAATTGAAATTGATGATGAAGAAACTATTCAAAAGAAGAAAATCACTCAACAAGAAAAGGATAAAAAACAGAAAGAACTTGAAAGTATGTTTGATGATGATGATGATGATGATGACTTTGAAGCTTCACAAAGTAGTAAGAAAGATGATGCTAAACCTGAAAAGGAGGAAACTTCAATAGAGGAGATCAAAGATGATAAAGATGATATACAAGAAGTTAAAAATTCCAAAAATGATGATCTTGAAGGAATATTTGATAGTAGTTTTACTCAATCACAAAGTCAACAAGAACCACAACAAAAGGAACAAACCAAAGATGATACACAAAAAATTGAAGATGAACCTGAACCTATATTAGAAACCACAAAAGATCAACCTATACAAGAAGAACCAGAAACAACAAGTTATTATGATGAAGATGGTTATTTAGTCACTGAAGTTAAAGAAAAACCAAAACCAAAAACTCAATCTAAACCAAAACCAAAAGCAAGAACTGCAACTCCTCCGGCTTCTAATAATCAACCAGCTTCAAAGAAGGCTAAAATTGGTAAGACTGGTGGGAAACAACAAACTTCTTTGATGAGTTTCTTTGGTAAGAAATGAGTATAATTAAAATACTAATTTTTATGATTGTATGTATATTAATCTACCCTGTAGTTTTGTTATTTTTACGTTTTGATTTGTTTTTTGAAGGTTTAGTCACTTTTAAATCTGTCTTTTTCTCTTTCCTATCACTTTTCACTTCTTTCTTATCTTCATTTTGTAAAGACTTGGTATCTTTGGTATTTTGTCTTGTAGTATTTTGTAATAATCTATTCAAAAACGCGGTATTTGGTCTAACTGAACGCTTTTTAACAGGAGTTTCTTCCTCAAGTTCCCTAATCATCTTCTGGATCAGTCTATCATCATTCTTCCCATTGGAAACAAACTTATCCATCACAAATAACTTTGTTCCTTGTAAAAGTAATATAAAATCAAGTTTTAATAAATCTCAATTTTTGGTTATTTTCTTCGCGATTTTGGTTGACAGTTGGCATAAAAACATCAACGACGATTTGAACGAGAATTGAATCAACCCCAGTTTAATCAACTCAATTGAAATCAATTGAAATACACCTCTGAAGTTAGCCAATTGGTGTTTTTATGGGCAAAGATGAGGTTGTTTCAGTTTTTTTTGCTGCTGACGATTTACTTACACGGTGCTTTCGCTGTCAAAGAATATCTATTCAAGAAATGTGCACAATCTGGGTTCTGTAATAGAAATAGACATTTTGCTTCACAAGTTGCTGAAAATGTTGATTATCAATCTAGGTATTCAATTGATGAATCCACATTGAATTATATTGAATCTGATGCTTCAATTGTTGGTGATATTTTCAAAACTGTTTCTGATTCTACAAAAATTAGATTCCCATTCATTATTAACATTTTAGAAAATAATAATATTAGATTAAGAATTGATGAAGATCGTTCTCAAATTAAATTGGAAAATAAATTATTGAAAAAGGAAAGATATAATGAAGCTTCAAAATATGCATTCAATGGTGAACCAAAATCATCAACAAATTATAAATTTAATCAAATTTCAAATGGGAAATTTTCAATAGTTTATGGTGATAAAAATCAATATGAAGCTATAATCTATACTACACCTTTTAAAATTGTTGTTAATTATAATGGTGAAGAACAATTAGTCCTTAATGACCGTTCATTTTTAAATATTGAACATTTCAGAACAGAAGATGAAAATGATGTCAATTTAACACCTGAAGAATCATCATTCAATTCCTTCCATGATGATTTCAAAGATTCTAAAGATGATTCATTAATTTTTGGTCCTGAATCCGTGGCATTGGATGTTAGTTTCAATGGGTTTAAACATGTTTATGGTATCCCAGAACATGCTGATACATTATCATTAAAAGATACTTCAGAATCTGAACCATATCGTTTATATAATGTTGATATCTTTGAATATGAAACTGATAGTAGATTACCAATGTATGGTGTTATTCCATTCATGGTTGCTCATAAAGTTGGATTATCTGCCGGTATCTTTTGGGTTAATGCTGCTGATACTTATGTTGATATTAAAAAAACTGAAAATCAAGTTGATAATGTCTTGAGTTCTAAAACAGATACTAAAACTCATTGGATTTCTGAAAATGGTATCTTGGATATTGTGATCTTGATTGGTGAAACTCCAACTGATGTTACTAAATCATATGCTTCATTGACTGGTAATGTTCAACTACCACAATTATTTTCATTAGGATATCATCAATGTAGATGGAATTATAATGATGAAGAAGATGTTTTACAAATCACTGAAAATTTTGATAAATATGATATTCCATATGATGTTATTTGGTTAGATGTTGAATATACTGATTCAAAAAAATATTTCACATGGAAAAAGGAATTATTCCCAGATCCAGAAAGAATGTTGAATAAATTAGATGAAACTGGTAGAACTCTTGTTGCAATTATTGATCCACATTTGAAAACAGATTATGAAGTTAGTGATGAAGTCATCAAGCAAGATATTGCCCTTAAAAATAATAAAGGTGAACCTTTTAAAGGTCATTGTTGGCCAGGTGAATCAGTTTGGTTTGATTCTTTTAATCCAAAATCTCAAAAATATTGGGATCATCTATTTAGAAATGGTACAGGATTAGCTGGTGATGCTACAAATTTCCATATTTGGAATGATATGAATGAACCTTCAGTCTTTTCAGGTCCTGAAACTTCATCACCAAAAGATTTAATAACTTATGGTGATTGGGAAATTAGATCAGATCATAATGTTTATGGTTTAACATTCCATGAAGCTACATATGAATCATTAACCAAAAGATTTGTTAATAAGAGACCTTTCATCTTAACAAGAGCTTATTATTCAGGTTCACAAAGAACTGCATCAATGTGGACTGGTGATAATATGTCAAAATGGGAATATTTAAAAATTTCATTACCAATGATTTTAACTTCAAATGTTGTAAATATGCCATTTGCAGGTGCTGATGTTGGTGGATTTTTTGGTAATCCTTCAAAAGAATTATTAACAAGATGGTATCAAGCAGGTATTTGGTATCCATTCTTTAGAGCTCATGCTCATATTGATTCAAGAAGACGTGAACCTTGGGTTCCTGGTGAACCTTATACTTCACATATTAGAGATGCTCTTAAAATTCGTTATGCATTATTACCATTAATTTATACTAAATTTTATGAATCTTCAATAACAGGTTCTCCAGTTGTTGATCCATTATTTTATATTACTCCTGAAAATATCAAATCATTTGAAATTGAAGATGAATTTTATTTTGGTGGGTTATTAGTTAAACCTGTTACTGATGAAGGTGCAGAATCTGTGGAAATTTATATTCCAGATGATGAAATTCATTATGATTATGAAACATATCAAACTTATCAAGGTGAAGGTGATCATCATATCGAGGCACCATTAGGTAAAATCCCAATTTTAATTAGAGGTGGTACTATAACACCAAGAAAAGATAGAGTTCGTAGATCTTCAAAATTGATGAAATATGATCCATATACACTTGTTGTTGCTTTAGATTCTAAAGGTGATGCTAAAGGTACATTATATATTGATGATGGTGAAACTTTTGATTATGAAAATGGTGATTACTTATATATAAATTTTGAAGTTTCAAATAATGAAATTAAATCTAATGTTAATAGTGGTTCATTAAATGCTTCAAATAAAGTTGAAAAAATCATTATTATTGGAAGTTCTACTGGTGGAATTGGTAATGAAGCCACTGTTTCTCAAGGATCTGAATGGACTACAAGTATCATTTCTGGTGAAAATCATGCTGTTATTAAATCACCAGGTGTTAAATTGAATGAAAATTGGTCCATTAAGTTTTAAATTCTATAAATTGAAGTTTTAAAAGAATATATTATGTGTGTTTGGAATTGTCTTTGTTAAATCCTACTGTGTAAGTTCTAATTCTGCTTCATCGTCATATTTGTCATTAACTTCTCCTTCAAGTTCTTCTAACTCTGTAATTGGCTCTTTCCCATCATAACCAATAACTAACCTAATCATAGTAGAATATCTAACCAAACTTGACCAAATTAAAGTCTTATCACAAGAAGGACATTTAGCCTTTTGTGGTATTAAATTCCCTTTTGGTAATTTGGTAATTTCTGAAATTTTAATCCTTTGTGATAATCTTTGTAAGGCTATTTCATCTGCAGTTTTTTCATCTATTTCTGTTTCTTGCTCTCTAAAATATGTGGTTAAACAAGAAAGGTGCGAGATATGATCACAAGAATCATGGTAACATATTCCAACTAATGGATAATCAGTATCGGTCTTAATATAATCTATGGTTTTATCACAAACAATACATGATTTTTCACCATATTGTAACATTTCTTTAAATTTTGTTAAAAGTTTTTGATCATTTTCTATCTGTGCCTGTTTAAAGTTCACCACACTCTCTATATTCAAGTCTTCATCTGTTTCTTGAATGTTATTGTAATCAATATGAATTAATTGGTTTGATAAGTTGATACCAAATTTGTTTGTACACCATATTTTATAAGTTTCTGAATTGAATATTTGAACTTTGAGGTTCATTCTATTGAAAAAGGGAGCATTTAATAACAATCTAACATTACCCAATTTGTGATGAACGGATCTACCAGCTGTTTTAGATGTTGTAATTCTTGCTGATTTATCAATATGTCTTGTTTGGTATGAATGTTGCCATGCATGTTCAAACTTGTTCAATTGTTAGTTCTATATTCACAAACTATTTTTGGTTGATTGTTTGTTTACTTACTTGTAAAGCAGCTATCTTATTAGGAAATCCATGAACAATCATAATCATCTCCCAAGGTCTGAAGCCTTTTCTTTTGGTTTTGTAAGCACCAGCTTTTAGTTCACCATTATGTTGCCGTAGTCTCTGAAGATTGGTTAGTAATATGAAATCTCTATTAGTTCATCAAAAGCTTCCAAAAACACATACTCTAACTGGATCTGGTGTGGATCCTATATAAAATGAATTCTGTTTGGGTATTGATCTTAGTAAATAACAACCATAAAACTTGGGTACTGAATGTGCTAGTTTCTTTCTTGGACCTTGTGAACCACTTGGTGGCATTATTATATATCAAATTTAACGATCTATAAGCTTCTGGATTGTTTGATGGTGGTATTTTCTTTTAAAATATTAGATATCAAGAAAAAGTAATATCAATGTTTTGATTTTGGGTATATGAATTTTAATTGACACGAGCTCATGGCAGATAGCACCAAAACCTGTCAAAGTTTGGCATAATGGCACTTGATGCCAATGATGGAAAGGTCATATTGTTATTATTGAGTTTATTCATTATCACATCTCATAATTATCTAGTTCTTTTCTCAAAAGTTGTTCAATTGGAATCAAAAGATCCATTTTGACACAAAATGTCAGTACCGGATTCATTTCCGATCTTTAAAGGAGTATTAAAATTCTGAAAAATCAAAACATCAACAAACTAAAACTTAACACCAAATACAATCAACCAATGAGCATCCAAAACCATTAGTTCTGGAACTCCCGGGGAAAGTGATCATTATTAAACCATCTTGATTCTTGATATCTATTGTCCTGAGAAATCCGCAGCTTCCTAGGCATTTATCCATATCTTGCGGATTGAGTTCCGTCATCTTTCGCTAGTTGCTCCGACTCTATAAGGACATTGACCCCATATAAAGAAGCATTAATATCACCAATTATTCAAAAAAGTAGTATGGATGGTATTTTAAATGATAAACTTTACTATACTTTGAAAGTGCTTTAAATCATAATGATGTTCAAATTTGCTGCTAGAACTACAGTAAGGATTGGTATCCGTTTTTCATCAACATATCCAAGTTCATCAAAAATTGTCAAATCTGCAGATGAAGCAATAAATGGTATTAAATCTGGTGATATGATCTTATCAGGTGGATTTGGTTTATCAGGTGTATCAGAAACTTTAATTGATGCTCTATCAAAAAGACCAGATATTAAAAATTTAACTGCAGTTTCAAATAATGCAGGTTTAGAAGGTAAAGGTTTATCAAAATTATTAGAATCTGGTCAAGTTACCAAGATGATTGCAAGTTATATTGGTATGAATAAAAAATTTGAACAACTTTATCTTAATGGATCTATTGATTTGGAATTAACTCCCCAGGGTACTATAATTGAAAAAGTTAGATCTGGTGCTGCTGGAATTCCTGCATTTTATACACCAACAGGTGTTGGAACATGGGTTCAAGAAGGCAAATTACCCGTGAGATATGATTCAAACGGTAAAGTTTTGAAAACTTCAAAACCAAAAGAATCAAGAAGGTTTAATGGTAGAGATTTTTTACTTGAAGAATCTATTTATGGTGATGTTGCATTTGTTAAAGCTTTTAAAGTTGATACTTTAGGGAATTGTTGGTTTAGAGGATCTTCAAGAAATTTTAATCAAGCATTTGGTAAAAATGCAAAATTAACAATTGTAGAAGCTGAAAATATTGTGGAACCAGGTGAAATTGAACCTGAAAATGTTCATTTACAATCAATTTTCGTTGATAAGATTGTTCAATCCATAAAACCAAAACAATTTGAAGTTATTAAATTTGCTGAAGATCAAAAATCTCCTGAAGAGCTATTAGAATCTGGTAATGAAAAGGAAATTAAAAGATATAAAATTGCTAAACGTGCTTCACAAGAATTTGAAGGTCATAATTCTGCTAATTTAGGTGTTGGTCTTCCTAATCTTTCAGCTGCTTTCTTACCTGAAGGTTCAAATGTTTTATTAGAGTCAGAAAATGGTATTTTGGGAATGGGTCAACATCCTAAAAAAGGTAAAGAAGATGCTGATTATGTGAATTCAGGTAAAGAAACTGTTACTTTAGTTAAAGGTGCTTCTTTATTTGGAAGTGAAGATAGTTTTGGTATGATTAGAGGTGGTAATATTGGATTAACAATGCTTGGTGCATTTCAAGTATCTGCAAATGGTGATTTAGCAAATTGGGGTATACCAGGTAAAATTAAAGGAATGGGAGGTGCAATGGATTTAGTTTCAAATCCAAAAGCTACAAAAGTTGTTGTTGTTACAGAACATACTAATAAAAAAGGAGTTTCAAAAATTGTGGAAAATTGTGAATTCCCATTGACTGGAGAAAAAGTTATAAATACTATAATTACAGAACTTGCGGTTTTCATAATAAAAGATGGGAAATTGGTTTTAACTGAAATTTCTACAGAATCATCATTAGAAGAAGTTCAAAAGAAAACAAATGCTAAATTTATAGTTTCAGATGATTTGAAAGAATTCTAATTAATTGTCTCTCTATATATTCAATATACAAAACTCTTATGAGAATCAATTATTTACCTGCTGAGTATATTTGTAATTATATTTTGGATTATTATCGGTATATTTTCCATACAAGGTAAAGCTGATAAAAAAATCTCATTAAAAATAATTAATTGTGCTTATTATATTTTGATATGTTGCCCGAACCAAGTGGTTCAAGACGTACTAAAGTCCACAATAAATGGTAATATAATATTTAAATAATGAATCTTTAACATCTTATATGGTGTTTGAAGATATAAGGATTCTACTGGGATATTTAAAATGGCTAAAATATGAGTTTGAAATTATCAAAATAATTAATTTTAAATAAAGTCGACTTTAACTTTTTTATATTCATTTTAAAAAACAATTTTTTGATATTTTTCAAAATTTCAAACCTTTCAGAATGCTTCAATATCTATATAAGTAGGTGAAAATAGCTATTAAAATTGATATTAAATGATAACTCACAAGGTTTTATACCAAATATCTTTTATTGAACCATCTTTATATTGATCACGCTTATGTAATATTAAATGTGCCATATAATCACATATAATCGGAGATACCAAATACCAAGTATAGTATGAGTTTCAAAACAGTTTGACACAAAGCTTCAAATCAATTGGATTCAGTGTGTAGTATAATCTGGATTACAATATACATCTCATATTCAATAGTTCAATTTGGTCTATTTCAGAAGCTTATCATACAACTTATCAATGTAATTTCTTATTGTGCTTTAAACCAAAATCCCTTACGTATGATTTAAAATTTTGGAGTTTTCACATATAATCATTTGTGATTTGTAGTCTCAAGTCTTTGAATATTCCATGTATTTAATCAGATCTAGTTGGAGACCTTTTAGATCCAGAGCAGTTTTCATTATTTCCACCAAATCAACTTCAACAATGTCACAGAATCAACAGGTTAGAAAACCTTTCAATGAATTAGAAGCTGAACGGAAAGAGTTTGATGATCAATCAAAATTTGAGTTAACTAAATCACCAAATCCCAATTGGAACTATAAGGAACAGATTAAAGTACAAGGTGTTAATCATGAAAAAATTGAAATCAATCCATCAGATTCAAATAGATCTCCAGTGGATAATTACAAATTATTAATCTCAGCGGTTATTCCAAGACCAATTGGTTTCATATCAACAATATCATCTAATGGAACTAGGAATCTTGCACCTTTCAGTTATTTCACAATGGTTAATCATGATCCACCAATCTTTGTTGTTGGATTTTCATCCAAAAAGGATTCATATCAAAACTTGTTAGATACTAAAGAATGTACAATTAATATTATTAGTGAATGGTTTGTTGAAGCGGCTAATAGTTGTTCAATTGATGGTCCTTCAGAATTTGATGAATGGGAATTAAGTGGATTAACTTCATCTCCATCTTTATATGTTAAACCTGGTGTTGTTGATGAAAGTGCTTTTGCAATTGAAGCTAAATTAGTGAAAAATTTTGATTGGTTTTCTAAAAAAGATCCTACAAAGAAAACTGGTTCTACTGTGTTTCTTGAAGGTATAAATTTCCATGTTAGGAAAGATATTATCAATACAGATTTAAATCAAGTTGATGTTTCCAAGTTGAAGCCAGTTAGTAGGCTTGGAGGTATAACTTATGGTAGAACAACTCAAGGTTATGAAAAACCAAGACCTAAATATTCAGATCTTGATAATGAAAAGTAACCAGCTACAAGAGAATAACTTTTTAAAAATATTATATTTTATATTACACAACATCCTAGAAATAGCTTAAACATAAATAGATAAAAGAAAGACAAAATTATTATAGTAACAAAAAAACAACCAAAAATAAAAAAAAAATAAACCAGCTATAAAAAATCAGTACTAATGTACACTAATATACAATTTTTCCAAATATATCACATATAAAGTTAACACACACACACACACAATAGAAACTAGAACTAAAATTCCAAAAAACTTATCAACTAATTAACGTTTCTTCTTTAAATGTTCTGGAATATGATGAAATAACCAATACATAGTTTCTCTACCACCATTATCTCTATCTCTTAAACTTTCTAATTCATTAATAACACGTTCTTTTGCTAAATTTTCATTACCACCCATTTCATTTAAATAAAGATGTGTACCAATTTCAACAGCAGTAACAACTCTAAATCTTCTTGAAAAAGTTTTTGATAAATTTTTATTCCCCTTTCTCCATCTTTTTTGATTTTCTTCTAAATATTTTAATGAAGTTTGTCCCTGGTAACCATAATAATATTCATCTAAAACTTCTTGAACAGATTTTGGATTTGGATTTAATTTATGGAAACCAGAATCATTAATTAATCCATCTTCATCATCATCATCATCTGGTTGAATTGAATCATTCCCAGGTCCACCACTTAAAACATCAACAGCATCCGTGGTACCAACTGTTGATTGAGATCTTTGTGGTGTCATAACATTACTTGAAAGTCCATGATCTAATGAAACATTCATAAAATTTCTACCAGCTGCTGTAGTTGTAGCTCTTCTTTGTGGTATAGAATTATTATTTGATGGAACACCTCTTGTTAATGGAATATTAACACCTGGATTAGTTTGATTAACTCGATTAGCTTGATTAATACGACTTTGTTGATTTAATGGAACTGGACTATTAACTCGATTTTGGGAACTAATACCACCATTTTGAGGATTTAAGATATTAGCAGCATTAGCTAATTGAGATTGTTGTTGTTGAACAGCTGCAACAGCTTGATGTTGTTGAACTTGTTGATGAGCTTGTTGATGAGCTTGTTGTTGTGCTTGTTGATGAGCTTGTTGAGCTTGTTGTTGAGCCTGTTGAGCTTGGTGTTGAGCCTGTTGTTGAGCAGCAGCAGCTTGTTGTTGTTGAGCAACTCTTTGATGTTGTTGATGTTGTTGTTGACTAGCACTTGAATTAGAATTGATTGAATTGGTTGAAATATTGTTATTATTACTATTACCTCCTGTTGCTGTAGAAACCGCACTTGAAGTATTTAAACTAACATTAGCAAAAGGTGGATTTTCAGTATCTTTACTAATGATATTTGAGAATCTTTTGAGTTGATATTGATAACCAAATAGTTGAGTTTCAATAAGACTAACTTGATTATTATAAATTTTTGGTAAAATTAAAAGATTTTGTTCAATTTGATCAAATTTATTTGTTAATCCATGATCACGGTCTCTGACATTGTTTTCAAGGGATTCAACTCGTTTAGCAAGACCAACAACTTCTTCATGGATTTTCCCCAGTGAACTGTTGAGGTTACTATTAATTGTAGCCAGTTGCTCTTGGATCAAATTGTATGGATCCATCACTTATGATGATGTTTATTTGTTTGTTATTGTTTTGATTAAAGCCTCTAGCCCTTTGTTTTGAATCAAAGACTATGGAACCTAAGTCCCTTTTTCTCAATTTTTCTGAATTCCTAGATCCAAAAACCCACGCGAAAATGCGCGAAATTTTACCACCACGTCCGGGTAAAAGATTATATAATGCGTTAGTAATAGTCCCTACATTATTAATACTGGCATAATATACTCAGATTCTAATTTAATAAGACTAAACACATAATCTATTCAACGTCGAATAGACTTTCATTCATTTCTTTAGTCAGAACAGGATCGTTATTCTTTGTAGTGTTTGGTTGTTGTTGTTGTTGTTGTTGTTGTTGACGAGTTGTACCATTTCTTTGTGATTGATTAGAACTTCTTGAAGTATTTGATGATACATTTGAACTTTGAATTGAACTTCTTGAACTATTTGAAACACCAGTACTAGTACTTGATGGTCTTGAATTATTTGATGATCTATTATTTGATCTATTATTTGGTCCATCACCAAATAATGCATTTAAAGTTGATGTAAATTCAGCAGGACCTCTTGCACTTGCATTTTGAAGTTCTTTGAAAGCAGCTGCAACCATTTGAAATCTTGGATCATTTGGATCAATTAATTCATCATCACTATCTTCTTCTTCATCTTCACTTTCAAAATCTTGTTCAACAAAATGATGATTACAATGTGCATGTGGATCTTCATTATTTAAACCTTCTTCATCATCTGATGTAACTAATGAACCATCTGGACGGAATGGTCCAAACATAAAACCTGGTAATCCAAATTTTTGTGCAGATTTCATTTTACCTAAATCTTTTGGAATTGTATGTCCATCTTCATCAACTTTATTACCATTACTATTAACTTTAGGTTTTGAATTTGAATTATTTTGTTGTTTTGGTTGTTGTGTATTACCATTAGTTGTTTTAGATTTATTATTAACCTTTTGTTCATTTTGATCCATAATTGTTTTAGCCATCATACTTTGTTGAGCAGCAATTTCACTAAATTTTTCAGTTGGTATATTCATTAATTTACCAATATCACCTTCATCTAACCCCACTGCATTCATTAAATCTGATATACCATTACTATTCAACATTTCATTTATATCTCTACTTAATATAGTTTCAATATCACAATCATTTGCAATTGCTTCTTCAAATTTTTCTTCAACAATTTTTTCAACATGTTTCCTAAAATCTTCTGGTGTACCCATAATAAATTTCTTCGCATCAAATTTACCAATTGAAGTTTTAACTGAATTGATTGTTGAATCAGATCCACCATTACCATTAGTAGTATTACCACTTGCTTTTTTCAATTGATCAACTAATTGTGGTTCATGTAAAGCCAGAACAGGTATTTGATCAAAAATTAAAGGTTCTAATTCTGGATGTTCAATCATTGATTTACCTCTTGCAGTATTTTCACTATAAGATTCAATACCTTTTAATTTTTCTAAACCTGGATAAACTTGTCTTATAGCTTTACCAGGAATAAATCTTTGAATTTTTTCATCATATTTTTCAAAATATGCACCAATTAAATTTTGTTTAACAATAAATTCAATATCAATATGACGTGGATCAACTGATTTAAAATCTGGTGTTTCATATCCAATACCAACCATACCTCTACGAACATCAATCATAGAATATTGATCTGGTGAATCTGCTGTACCTTTAATATAACCATTAACAATATAATATAATCCTTCCATTTCGATAATTTGACCAGGGAAAAAATTTGGTAAAAAAACTGAACGTTTAGCACCTTTTTGAATTCTTTCAATTCTTTTATTTATATCATCTGGGACTAATTCTAATGAAGTTTTCAAATCGAAAAATTCTTTAATTGTATGATTTTTCAAATCTTCAATTGGGATAGCTCTAGAAATATATTTTGGATTTAAAACACCAAGATCCCATGGATACATTTTTAAGATAATTGGTACAAAATTTGAATGATTATCACAATTTTTTAAATATTTTAAAACATTTTGACCTGGTTTTTTCATTGACATTTTGGAATGTGATTGAATCAAGACAAAATAACCAGATGCAAGTATAATATTATTATGTGGTAAACATTCTTTTGAAACGGGGAAAATCTTGGAAGGTTCTTGAGATAAATCATTTCTATCCCATCTTGATTTAACTTCAACCATATCTGATAAAAATGCAGCAACAAGCATTTTATTTGCAAATTCTTTTAAAAATCTAGCTGCTGAAGTTTGACGACCAACTAATTTTCTTTTAAATAATTCTTCACTTAATTTATAAGATGTTTGTACTATTAATTCTAAATTTTTTTTACCTCTAAAATCTGGATGTAATGAAATATATGATACATTTAATGGATAATTTGTATCGAAAACTCTTAAAACACCAGTTGATATATTTTTTGGATCAAAATCCATTGGACATTGTAAAATTTCACAATGAATATTTAATTCAAATGCAATTTTTTGAATGATTGCTAATCTCATTAATGGTAAACCTAAAGTTTCACCACAATAAACTCTCATAATTGAACCATCTTCAGAAGTAATTGGTGAAAATTTTGGTTTCCCACCATTTTGTTCAATAATTTTTAAAAAAACTTTATTTATCCATATTATTTGTATAGTTGGTGATTCTTTAATAAAATTTTTATCATATTTTAATTCATCAATAATTTGATTTATTACTTTAGATCTATATGGTAATAAATTATCAAATGATGGATCTAAATGACTAATTATAAAATAAAAATTTTCCACTGGGCCCAAAACTTTACTTATTGGAGCCATTGGTTTTTGCATTGCAGTTATATCTAATAATCTATAAGCCATTTTATGTCTAGTAGTTTGTAAAATAGTTCTAGCATATGAAACAGCACAAACATTTTTAGCTCTATCTAAAGTCTTGATTAATTTGTTTAAAATAGGTGTTAATTCAACACCAAAATTATCACTTAGAGACCAAACAGTTTCAAAAATTTCTTTATAAGTTAAATTACCAGATTGGATTTGTTTTAATTTTTTAGTTGTATAATTATCTTTCATAGATCTATTAATAAAATATTTGAAATTTCTTGTAACATCCATTCCAATATCTTGATCATCATATTTCAACCATTTTTGTTCAATGAAATCTTGCCATACAGGTAAAGCTTCTATAATTTTTTTAGATTTATGATTCAATATTCTTAATTTTAAAAGATCCTTTTGACTCAAATCATCTGTAATTTTAACCAACGCGTCATACGGTAATTCCAAGTAGTTGACACCCATGACACTTGTACCTAAATCACCAGCAGCACCGAATTCCCTTTGAACTTTCCCTTGAAAACCAACCTGAGCTACTCAACCGCCACTGAATTTTGCTTCTTTGTTTTCTTTGTTGATGTTCAAGTTTTCAATTAAGTAAATAAATTTCAATTTTTTTCAAAATGGCGGCTGTTACGTCATCGCTGAGTCAGCACACAATACAAAAATCAATTATACTCATTGAAATTTATACTGGGAAACTTTCCTTGAAATACTATATTCTCTTGATTTTAAAGAGGTAATTTATTGAATTGGTTAATATAATTTATATCACAATGGTTAGCAAGATCTTATTAATCCACGGTCCAAATTTGAACTTATTAGGTACAAGAGAACCTGAGAAATACGGTACAACAACCCTAAAACAAATTGAATCAAATGCTCTTGATCAAGTTAAATCACATTCCCCAGATGCTGATATTCAATTCTATCAAAGTAATCACGAAGGTGGATTAGTTGATCGTATCCATGAAGCAAGAGACCAAGGTGTTGAATTCATCATTATTAATGCCGGTGCTTATACTCATACTTCTGTTGCCTTGAGAGATGCTATATTAGGTGTTGATATTCCTTTTGTTGAATTACATATTACAAATGTCCATGCTAGAGAACCTTTTAGACATCATAGTTATTTGGTTGATAAGGCTATTGCTATCATTAGTGGATTAGGTCCAATTTATGGTTACAAAGCTGCAATTGAATTTGCATTAAATTATGAAAGAAAGTGAAGATGGGTGTTTACAATGATAAATGAATGATATGGATTTGAATTTATTGTAGGAATCTTTTATATAGATTTAGATTCTTCTTTAATAGTCTTATACAAACTTTCAATGATTCTCTTTGTAGGTATTTCATCAATTGAAAATCCAGTCCATAATATCTGTTGTGCAATACCTTGATAAATCATTGCTTCAACACCACTTATAACTTTCCAATTTGAATTTAAGAAATCATTATATAAAGTTGTTTCAATTATTGGATGATAACACATTTCTAATACAATACCAGGTTCATCTTGTTTCAAGAAAACATCTAGAGTTGATCTTGCTTGAATTTCCTCTTTTGTAGTAGGTGGGAAATTTGGTACAGTAAGTACAACTAATTTTGGTAATTCCAAAGTTTTAGCTTGTTCTGGAGTGGAAACATGAATAATTTCACCTTTAAAGCCATTAGAAATCATTGATTGTTTAACTTGTTCAACTTCTTCTGCAAATCTATTAATAATATAAATTTTTGGAACTTTTAATAAATTATATAATGCAAAAACTGCAGAACGACATGCACCACCACCACCATAAATTAATCCAGGTGATTTACTTAAAATTTCAGTTTCTTTTGGATAATTTTGTAAAAAACTTTCTTTGATACCCACAGTATCAGTATTTGTACCAACTTTAACCTTTTTATTATTTTGGGGATCAATTTTAGTATAAATTGTATTTATTGATCCACAACCTTTACCAATAGAATCTAAAAAATCAACATTTTTAATACCTTCAACTTTATTAGGCATAGTAATTGCACTACCAATCAAGTTTTCATTAGAAAATTTCTCATTGAAGTTCTGGAAATCTGAACCTTCATATAATTTATATTCCCAATTATTTAAACCAACACTTTGAAAAGTTGTATTATGTAAAAGTGGTGCTTTTGATTTTGAAATATGTTCACCAAATAAGTAAAAAGTTTGTGAAGTTTCCCTTAATTTTTGGAAATCTGGTGATTCGAACTGTTCTGGAATAGTCATTATGTGTGTTTATAGTCTTGACGATATATTGAGGTGTATATTTTATAAGTCTAGTTTTAAAATTATTCAAGTCTCTCGAGATCTTGATTTTTTTTCACCTTTAACGGTTTCGGAAATATGAACATTCAATACTATAACAGGTGCATTTATCCGATGTGATAGATACGTTCAATTTGATACCAAAAATATTGTTAATTAACTTCTTTCATTTCAAGTCGTATACAAAGATATATAGCCAAATATATAGCTAAATCCAAGTAGATCATAGTTAATCCAATTTCCATCTTTCAGTAACACTATTAATCCCATCATAAATTAATGTATTATCTAAAGGAATATATTGTTTTGTAATAATCTTTATAGCTTCTTGTGAACCAATACCACCCATTAATGAAGCAATATTATTTAATTCTTGTCCTTCACTTCTGACTAATTCATGTAGGATTAAATGTAATGAATCATCATCACTTGTAACAAAATCATGACTAATTTTAATTAACTCATCTATGTTTTGTAAAGTTGGGAATTTTTTGGTATCTTTTTGAAATCTTTCAATTATGAAAAAGGATAATAATATTAAACTATTATGAGATTCATCAAATATCTTGTTAAAGTTTAATGGGATTAATTTATTTGAGTTTTGGGAAAAATATAAAAATTTTGAATTTTTAGCAAAATTCTTCAAAATTTCATCGGATATTGGTAAAGATTCTTTACCTAATTTTAATCGAAGTTTGATTAAAATATCTTTTAATTTAGCCAGATCTTCCTGGGCTTTTTTCAAATAAATGTTTTGTAATTTAATATAATTTTCAGTTGTTGAATCCATATCAGGTAATTCACCAGATAATGGTAAAAATCCATCATTTAAATCAACAAATTCTTTCAAAGCTTTAACCAAGATCCAAAACACACTTCTCTTATTGAAATCATTATAATATTCATCAATATGAGAGAAAATATCTTTTACGTTTGAAGGAATTTTAACATTATTGAAAATTTTATGACTATTATCAATTGCTTCATCAAAATTTAATTGATAATGATCTTTTTTCCATGATCTGATTAATTCTTTGAATTGTTTTTTCTCTTGTGAGGTGGTTGGTAATTGATTATCATGATTTAATCTCCAATTTTCCACAGCTTTTAATTGAATAATTAAATAAGGGATTTGCGAATGTTGTTCAATATCTAAGGAATGTAAATCTATTGAATCAGAATAATTTTGTAATTCATCCCATGTTGATAATATTCTTAAATCTATTAAACTTTGTGGATGAGTTTCATAAATTTCAAAAGTTGATTTGAAAATTCTTAAAAATCCATAAAATCCAATAGAATTTATAATCATTATTGGGATTTTTAAATCATTTAATTTGGTGATTAATGATTCTAATTGATAATTTGATATAACAAGATCAAACTGTGACCAATATAAATCATTTTGAGCGTTAATAAAATCTTCAATGGATCCCTGGGATGGATCAATTTTTTGAATTGAATAAGATACATCATGGTTTAATTCTTGTAAATTTGAAGCTAAGACATCAATTTTCGATTTTCCTAAATCATCATCCCCCAAATAGAAATTATTACTTAAATCCACATCATTTATCTTTGAGTCATAATCAATAATAGTAAAATGTCCAATTCCTGGTAAGATTAAATTTTTTAATAATTCTGAAGTTGTTGAAGTTGGTTGAATTATTAATATTTTAGCAGATTCTAAGCTAGATTGACCGCTGTTTGCCCAAAGACGCAATTGTCTATCATATTTTTCTTCTTTATTAACCTGTGTCATTATAACCACCTTTGATTTACCACCTTGTTCCTTAATAAATTGTGTCAAATGAATATAAAATGAACAATAAATAAACAATTTAAAATCAAGAAATTCGCGAAACAAAAAGACTAGGCTTAAGCTAGTCCCAGTACATAACCTAGTCTTTCAAAGTCCCACATTTGAGTCCCTTCTCAGTCTCTGAATTTTCCCACGTTTTACTTTGCATAACTGATAAACTTTTCAAACCAGCATAAAATAACTTTAGAATATTCTTAAATTTACTGGAAAACTCCCCCAAAAACCAGGGTTATATTCAAATTTACGTGATTTGCAACGTATTGTGTGTTAAAACAATCAAAAATTAACGATTTATTTGCATTTTCCTTGATAAAAAACGTTTTTAATTGGGTTTTAATGTGCTGCTTTTTACCAGGAAAAAAAATTATCATATAAGTACAATTGTGTTTAACATTTACATTGATCAACAAAACCGTTGACAAGAAGAGATACTGCTAGGCCTTGATGAACATATGACAAGCTAGGTGAACAATGAAGTTTGGTAAAACATTTGAGAAATCTATGGAGGATCATCATATCCCTAAAGAATGGATAGATTCTTCAATTCATTATAAACTATTAAAGAAAAAAATTAATAAAGTTGTTGAAGAAATGGATCATGTTGGATTAACTCATGAAGTTATAAATGATAAACATTTGTTATATTATTATACGTTCCAAGAAGATCCAAAACATCAAATTTTACCTAATTTAAAAGCTGATGAAGAATATGGTGCTAGAGATGATTCAAGTATAAATGATAAAATGTTAACTTTACATTCAGATATATTATTTTTTCAAGATTTATATCAACAATATTTATCATTATTAAAATTTAATAAGATTCAAAGTTCATTGATATTGGATAGAATTCAACAATTAAGTATATTAATTAAGAAATTAACTAATGGGAATAATAAAAATAAAAATGATATGTATCTTTGGAGAGAAATTTTTAATAAGTATGTTGAATATAAATTAGATTTAAAATCACAATTTAATTCTAAAAACTTGGAAATATTTGTTTCAAATGTTAAAGAAAATAAAATTTTAAAAAAATTTAAACATACAAAGCAAAATACTGAATATTTTCAAACTTTTTATGATTTGAATTTAGAATTATTAAAATTTTTGTCATTTGAAAATTTAAATACAATAGCTATAAGGAAAATTGTTAAAAAATTTGATAAAAATACATTATTAAACAGTTCTAAAAATTTCAACAAGATGATAGTTTTTGAAAAATCATCTTTATCAACATCAACTATAGAACAAGTCATTTCAACAGATATAGTTAAACTAGTACCACAATTAGATGATTACCTATGTCCCATTTGTTTCACAATTGCTTATAAACCAATCAGATTACAATGTAATCATTTTTTTTGTATTAGATGTATGATTAAATTACAAAGAAGAAATGAACCAAAATGTCCTATATGTAGGGATAAAGTTGTTATGTTTGCTACAGAGGCAAATTTGGATTATGAATTAATGAAGTTTTTAAAAGAGAATTTCCCCAAGGAGGTTAAACAAAAGCAAAATCAAAATGAAAAAGAAGTTACTGAAGAGACATTAAGTCAATTATATGAGAATGAAAAATGTATTATTGTATAGAAAGGAAGCCCCTTATAATAGCTAATAATTAATAATATTGGAATAACTTGTACTATTGTATATATGAATTACTTTATCATTATATAAATATTCAAATTATCATGATTTTAATCAATTTATGGTTATACCATTTGTTTTTTAGTACTGGCGCGAATATCCGACCTATATAAAATCCAAAAAAAAAGCCATACTCAACAAGATCCCGAAACACCAGCAACACCAACAACAACACTAACTAACAACCATCGATCAACTATGAAAAGAGTCGGACTAGCAGCATTTGATGATAACAAGATCAAACAATATTCAGAACTAGGACAATCTTTATATGATAAAAAAATCAAAGAATTAACAACACAATTACAATTATTCAAATCAATTTTATTAAATTTTTTAAAAGAACATAATGAAGAATTATCTCATGATTTAAAACTTCGAAATGAATTCATTCAAATTTGTAAAACCGTAGGGATTGATCCTTTACAAATATATAACAAGACAGATTCCAAAATGAATGAATTTTATTTTGAATTATGTGTTCGGATTATTGAATTTAGTAATTCAATGCAAAAAATTAATGGTGGATTATTACCTGTTAAGGATTTCCTTTCAAATTTTCAAGAACTAGGTATAACTTTTAAAGATGTTGAAATATCAGTTAATTTATTATCTAAATTAAATCCAGAATTTAAATTAATTCAAATTGGTTCAAAATTTTATATAAAGAATTTTAATATTGAATTAACAAATGATCAAAATATGGTTTTAGAAGCTGTTAATAATATTGGATATATTTCAGTTTCTATCCTAAGAGATAATTTTGGTTGGAAATTGTATAGATCTCAAACTATTTTGGATGAAATGATAGCAAATGGGTATCTTTGGTTAGATATTCATAATGGTGAATCTTTATATTGGGATCCAGCATGGATAAATAAGATGGAATGAAAAGCTTGAAAACTACAATTTTTGATGAAATTTATATAATGATTAAATCTGAATAATGAATGATGATATATTTTACTAGTTTAAGGATCTTTTACTAACAAAGTTCTTTCGATTTATTGAAATTTACGTATAAATTCTTGTTAACTACTCGCGAATTTTGACTTTTCCATATAGATCTTTTACACGGTAAAAAAAAAGTTTATACGCGTTTGACATTTTATACTTGATAATAAAAATACAAAACATTACACAACCAAAATGTCTTATAATCCAGAAACTTGGACTATCTCATCAAATGAAGCACTCAAAGTATCCATAGCTGATGATCAAGGTTATATCTCTTTTTCTCCATTATTCACATATCCAATTTTTGGTGATGCTGAACAAATTTTTGGTTATAAAGATTTAAAAATTAATCTTGTTTTCGATAGTATTACATTCTTACCATTTTTAAAAGTTAATTATAGTGAAAAATTAAATGATGAAGTTGATGATATTCAAAAGAAAATCTTGGGGTTCTTACCAAGCTCTACTATAATTGATGATGAAGCTAAATGGATTGATACATTTACTCAAGAACAAAAAGAATTGAAAAGGGATTCTTGGGAATTAATTAATGATTATAATGTTAAGAATGAAGATTTCCAAGTATTTAAAACAAATTTTAAACAAAATGGTCAAGATAATCTTCAATCAATTGAATTGAATAAAAGATTACAAATATTTGTATTATTATTTATTGAAGCAGGTTCTTATATTGATACATCAGATGAATTATGGGATTTATTTTTACTTGTTTCTAAGAAAACACAAAAAATATTGGGTTTTACCACTGCATATTCATACTTTAAATACAATGGTGCTCAAGAATTTGATTCAAATGATGAAATTTATACAAGAAATAAAATTTCACAATTTGTTATATTTCCACCTTATCAAAAACATCAACATGGTTCATGGTTATATAATTCTATTGTATCATATTGGATGGGGAAATTAACAGTTAAAGAAATTACAATTGAAGATCCAAATGAAAAATTTGATGATTTGAGATATAGAAATGATTTTAAAAGACTTTATGAAGATGGTTTTATAAATTCATTACCAACTACACTAACAAAAATTGATTTGAATTGGTTTCAAATTCATGCACAACAATACAAGATTGAATTAAATCAATTTAAAAAACTAGTAGAAATTGGTTATTTATATACAGAACAATTTAAATTAGCAAGATTAATCATTAAAAAAAGACTATATGAAAAAAATAAAGATGGATTATTAGAACTAGAACTTGCAATAAGAAATGATAAACTTCAAACAGCTTATGAATCAATAAAACAAGATTATGATCGTATAATTGATTCAATAAGAGTTCGTGAAATTGATCAAAATCCATTGAAAAAGCAAAAAATTTAAAAAAAAATTTAAGAGTTTATACGCCATTGTCCGAATTAGGAAATGTCATTACACTTCCTAATCGGGAACAGTCACCACAATCCGAATTTCAAATTTCAGCAAATAAACAAAATCATTTAAAAACGAATCCTTATTCCTTGTAAACTTTTGTACTTGAATCTTTTTTCAATCAATTTAAAGATCACAATGACTTTACACAGAACTTATTCTTTAAGAAACTCAAGAGCTCCAACTGCTTCTCAATTGGCTAGTCCTCCTCCTCCAACTTCCACTACAAAATCTAAATTTTTTGGTAAAGCTGGGATTGCTTCTACATTTAGAAAGAACACTGCTGGTAATTTTGGTCCTGAATTAGCTAGAAAATTAAGTGCTTTAATTAAATTAGAAAAAAATGTTTTGAGATCAATTGAATTAGTCGCTAGAGAAAGAAGAGAAGTTGCTAAACAATTATCCTTATGGGGTGAAGATAATGATGATGATGTTTCTGATATTACTGATAAATTAGGTGTCTTGATTTATGAAATTGGTGAATTAGAAGATCAATTCATTGATAAATATGATCAATATAGAATCACTTTGAAAGGTGTTAGAAATATTGAAGCTTCTGTTCAACCTTCAAGAGATCGTAAACAAAAAATTACTGATGAAATTGCTCATTTAAAATATAAAGATCCTCAATCTCCAAAAATTAATGTTTTAGAACAAGAATTAGTTCGTGCTGAAGCTGAATCTTTAGTTGCTGAAGCTCAATTATCAAACATCACAAGAGAAAAATTAAAAGTTGCATTTAATTATCAATTTGATGCTATTAGAGAACAAGCTGAAAAATTTGCCTTAATTGCAGGTTATGGTAAAGCTTTATTAGAATTATTAGATGATGCTGCTGTTACTCCAGGTGAAACAAGACCAGCTTATGATGGTTATGAAGCTTCAAAACAAATCATTATTGATGCTGAAAATGCATTGGCTTCATGGACTTTAGATGCTGCTGCTGTTAAACCTTCTTTATCTTTACATCAAACTCATGAAGATATTTATGAACCTGCTGATGAAGAAGCTGCTGAAGCTGAATGGGCTGAAGAACATGAAGTTGTTGATGAAGTTGTTGAACCAACAACTGCTGGCACTACAACTCATTAAGATATGACTATATGATGATTTTTCTCTTCTAGTTCTAATCTTTTTTTCTACTTCTTTTATAATTTGATATTATTATATATCTTTTAAAGTATATCTCATGTGCTAATATGTTGACTATCTTTTAACCAATTTTTTTAATACTTGATTATAAGCTGTTTAGGCCTTAATTTCATTATATAAACAATTTGTGTTTAATGTTTTTTTATCCATTGAAATAATTGTATATGCTATACTTTAGTCTCAATACAATTTTGTGTTATATTAATTTACGTGTATTCACTGTAATGTAACATTATGTGTATTAATGTAGATCAAATTAGATAAGCTAAATTTTAGTTTATACATTTGGACCCTTTTCATAATAATGTTATAGCAAAATCTTTTGAAGTTTGTAATTTAAATTTATTTGATGTTGGTCTTTTATGAATTTTAATTGTATTTAAAGTTGTCAATTGTAAAATTTCATAAAATGATTTAACAACTAATGATTTATTTGTTTCAAATTGCATTAATTTTTCAAAATTCATATCATTAACTTCATCTTCATCAAATCTTGTTTCAATAAATGATAAAAATTTTAAAGTTTTTTTATCAATTTGACTTGGATTTATAATTGGTCCTTGATGATGATATTCATCTTCTTCACCTTCTTGAACAATTGGGAACCTTGTAATTGAAGATGAACGTTTTCTTGTTGCAGATCCTGGTTCAGAATTTGGATAAACCTTGTTAAATTCATCAATATCACCTCCAGCACCACCAAAATCAAAATCAAAATCAAGATCAAAATTTTCTGTTGTATCACCACCAGAACCAACAATACTTTGATTACCACCTTGTTGTAATACAGGTAAATTAAAACTTGATAAACTATCTCTTGAATCACGACGTCTTGAACCTGAATTATTTCTTCTTGCAACTTCAATAGATTCACTTGATCTTCTAGCATTTCTCATCAATCCATCAACAAAATCATCATCTTCTCCTTCTTCTCTTCTTTGACGAGTTGGTGATCTACCTCTTCTAATGAAATCTTGATTATTTGATCTTTGAGATGTTGACATAACACCTCCAATGTTTCTTTTAGCAAAATCAGGTAAATAACACATTCCACTTAAAATTTCATTAATATTTGGTAACTCTAATTTTGGTTTTTTGGATTTAGTTTGAGATTTCATAATTTCAACATAATTATCTCTAAATCCTCGAAGATCAGCAGTTTGTAAACTAACATGTTCATCAATTATAATTGATGCCATTGTACCTTTTGCTTTCCTCTTTTTTCTTATTTTTGGTACTCTCATTTGTTGTTGTTCCTCTGGATGTGATTCCAATTGACCAACTTGATCAACTTCTTCAAGAATTTGATCTAATGGTGTACTTTCAGTTCTATTTGGAACAACTTCATTATTCGGAGTTATTAATCCACCTTGTAATGGTTCTTCACCTCCAGCACCACCAAAATCAAAATCAAATCCAAGATCAATATCATCATTCACAGGGATAAGATCACTATCAGGAATTGCACCACCAGCACCAGCACCAGTACCAGTTGTTGTATCACCATGTAAATCTAAAAGCATACCTTCTTCATCGAATGCAAATTCTGGATTTTGAGTATCTAATAAATCATCTTGATTCACGTTCCTAGTAAACAATTGTTCTTCATCTGTTGAATTTGTAATATTTGATAAAATCACTGAAACAGTATTATTTTCTAAATCATCTTTTCTAATTTCATTCTTCTGTTGATTGGAATTCACAACTTGAGTAGTTTTGATCCCATCAATGAAATCTAATTCTTCTAAATTTGGTAAAAGATCACCTTGAATATTAAACAATGGATCATCATTTAACAACACTTGATTATTACCATTACCGCCCTGATTAGATCTATTCAAATCTGTTGGTAAAATGATATAACGCGGTTCCTTCATCGAAACATTATTATTGGAATTGTTTTGACTGAACAAATCACGTTGGATCTTTGTTTTGATCAAAGAAGCATCATTGTTTAAATAATCCGTCTTTTGTTTATAGATCAACGCGACTCCATACAACAAATTGGAAGTGAGTCGAAGTGCCATTGGATTTGGTGGGTTCTTGATAACATCACAAGTTTGAGGAATCGAAACTGATTGGATTTCTCTTTTAGAAATCTTTTTATAACTGGTTTTGTTTCCTAAAGTTGATAAAAGCCAAACCGTTGCAACTCCAGAATGTTCAGCTAAAAGCAGATCTTGATTGACAAACATTGTTGATGATGAAGTTGATGAAATTGAAGTAGTTCATGTTGGTGGCAAAATTGAATTCAATGAATTCTTTCTTAAATTGAAAATAAATTTCTATAAATCTTTTATACCCATAGTCTTTTCCTTGACTTCCCAATTAGGCAAAAACAACAGCAATTGTACCAGAGACTGCAAATATCAAGGCAATGATTATACCAATATATGAAATTGTTTTCTGTAAATTTGAAAGTTCATCATGATATAATTTCAAATAAAATGCTAATGGATAAATAATACAAATTGAAAAACAAATTGCACTACCTAAAAATGACATAATTCTACCAAAATCTGTGAAAATTAAAGAAGTGATTAGGAAAATCAATGTAACAACAAAACGATTAATAAATTTAATGACAAATTCATGATTTGATTTCTTTGGGTGTAATGATAAATCTAAAGTTAACTGATCAGTCATTGTGATAATTGGACGTGTAATTAATGGACCTTTTGAAATTGGTAATAATCCCATTAATGTACAAATAACAAGTCCAATCCATTTTGGATAACCTTCAGTAAGCATGATTGATTTAGTAACTTGATCTGTAATTATTTGACCAAACATTAAATAACCTAAACTTGCCATAACATAATCAACAAACCAAGTAAATGAAAATATAACATTACATGATTTTTTATATTTTTGTGGTGATTTCATATCTTTATATAATTCTGGGAAAATTGCATGTCCACCAAATGGTGACATGAATATACCTAAACTTAATAATAAATGTTTTAAATCCATTGGCCATAATGAAGTTGATGAAATTTCTAATAATGAACCTGGTGCATGAGCTTTGATAAATCCACAAAAGAAAACAACACAAACAATTAATGAAGTACATATAATACCAACAAGACTTAATGATGATAATATACTTAAGTTAACAAAACTTAATAGGAAAAACATAATGGAAATTAAAATTTTAAAATAAACAGTTTTAATACCAGTTAAGACATTAAATGAATCTGCAAATAAAATAATCATTGAAATACCAGCAAATAATAAATCAATTGTGAAAGTTGATACAACAACTAGATAAGCAATTCTACCATATGAATACTGTGCAATATCACCATAAGTTTTCATTTTTGGATTTTTTTTCAAACATTCAGATAAAATTTTAGCAGTAATTTGTGAAGAAATTGCACAACTTAACAAGATGATTGAGCCTAATATCCATCCAGCATAATGTAAACCTAAAGGTAATGTCAAGATACCAATACCAATTAATGTATTTATACCATTGAATATAGTTTGTGGTGCTGTACTATTACCGGACTTTAACAATACCTCTTCTCTAATACTAATGTTTTCTTCATCCATTATAGCTCCATAATTATGTTGATGTTGATGTAGTGGTTGGTTAGGGTCTAAATGATCATCATCGACACCGGTATAAGTACTTGGACTATCTTCATCAATCAAAGCAGATTCTTCATCTAATTGTGCATCGTCTGATGTACCTAAGGTTAATTTTGATGGTCGTTGTGAATAATCAAAATCAGCATTAAGAAAATTTGCAGAACGTGAATATGATGAAGCAAAATTGTTTATTGAATTCTTACCACCTGCATTTAATACTTCTTGGAATGAATTATAAAAAGAAGAACGCCTTCTACCTTCATTTTGTTGATTTGATGGTGGTGATGACATGATTGATAGTGGTTCTTTAATTGCTAATGAGTGTAGGTTTGAAAGATTTATGAGCAAGGAAGATGATGGTATGGCAGCTTATGAAGATACTCAAATACCACTTGAATGATGGGTTATATTAATGAAAGGCTTGAACACTCGTTTGACCTTAAAGAAAACTTTTCAAGTTTAATCGAATGTTTTCGTCCCACTAAATCATGTACATCAAAAAAATTCTCGACACTATGGAATTTGACAGATTTTCCATACAAAAAAACACTTGAATTCGACCAATATTAATGGAAAATTTGAAAGAAAAAGTAGAAGTATAATGTCATTATAGCTAAAAGTATATTTAGCCATTTCAATGATTTCAAATTCCCAAAGATTAGATCACTTTATCACCAAATTCTTAATCAGTTGCACATCAAATATGTTTAGAATTCTCGCGAATTTTGGGAAACGTAAACAAAGGGAATTTTTATTGTGACAAAAGTTGAAAATTAAAGTGCTATTATAAGGGCAAACACACAGCTTTAACCAATTGGGAATAGTAAAGTGGAATATGTCACTACCAGAGAATTACATCTTACAATCTGAGAGCTTAGAACCTTTCAATAAAGCTGTTGCGGAACTACAATCAATTTCGAACGAGAACAAGCAATTAAAGAATTCTATTGTTGGTGAAGTTGATGGATTAATTAATCAATTGAATAAAGGTCATACTGATCATTCAGAGGTGATTAATAAGTTGAATCTTTTCATTAAGCAGTTTGATGATACTTATGAACCAATTGTTACAAATGAAGAAAATCAAAAAGAGCAAAAAATTGATTCAATAGGAAAGAATGAAGATGATTATGAAGGTGATGATGAGACACAGGCTCAATTATTACAACAAAATGCTAAATTAAAAGAAATTTTAAATCAAAAATTGAAATATAATCAAGAACTTGATGAATTTTCTCAAGAATATCAACAAGCTATAGATAAAGTTATGTGGGATATACGTGATACAAAATCTAAAAATGATGAATTTAAATTTAAAAATTTCCAAAGAATTAATAAACAAATTGAAGAATATCAACGTGAAGAATTTGAAATTTTTGAAAAATTAGTTTATAATAATCATATTCTTTCCAAATTATCTCAAATTTTAGTTAAATTTAGTAAATCAATTATTGATGATGATTATACAAATGAAGTTGAAATTTCCAAACATTTATCAACTTTAGAAAGATTAAAATATGAAATATTGGAAGATAAATCAATTCATCATCGTGAAGTCTTACAAAAAAGTCAATGGGCTCAAAGAGCTAAGAATAAGAAAAATTTTATACCAAGTTCTTCAAATTCATCATTATCAGATCAAGAATTTCCTTCATTAGGTGAAACACATATGACTGGTGTTCTTAATCCTTCAAATGTTTTGTGATTGGGAATCAAAGTTTTGTCATGGATAGGTGAATGTGACTGAAGATTCACTAAATTGCCATGTGTTTCATTAATGAGATCAAATGAGCAGACGTTGATTGAAGAGCTAATTAGCAAATCAATCAATCATTGTGGTCATTGAAACTTTTCCTTATGTGAATGTCCTGTCAAAAAGATACTTCATATAATTGCTATATCATTATTCTTATTTGATTTTTTTCTTTACCACATTCTAAGAATGCAGAAAATTCAACATTGATTTGCGTTGATGAGTCTTACTTAAAAAAAAGATACTGAAATACGAATGGACAGGTCACAGAAATGATTATCATTTATCAAGATTCAGAATTGTTAAGGGGTTTTAAATTTAGAAGTGATCATGAATATTCATTGATATTGGTTTTCTTGATGAATGATTATTGTTGGTCAAATTAGTGATACATTGGTAAAGACTGAATATTCTAAAGGTTTTAAAATGATGCATGGGATCAAAATCAATTGCTATAAAGTCACCTGAAAGCTAGCGTATACCTCATAATTATGATAGATTACAAACTACTAGTTACACGTTGATGTATAGTTGCAATCTGAATAATTAGACTATGGTACATAGAACATATGACTCTAAATACGGCAGCTATAATATATTGGTTTAATGACTTATGAACTACAGTTCATAAATCTCCTCGTAATATTTTCAATCGATTTAATCTGATCGGATAATTAACTGTTGATTTTTTTGATAACTTTGCAAACCCCATTCAGGTATGAGTTTGCATAAAGTAAAGAAGATCCATAAACCATTTCTATGCTACTTGTGCAATGTTCATACATGAGCATCTTGCGAGACTCGAAATATATACTTCGTGGATCGTGATTCGTTATAACGAGTGTACGTATACTACAATTCTGTATATACTTCATCATATTTTATTAATTTAGTCAAGTTCATAAGTACAAGGCATAAGCTAGAGTATAAGGACTTTAGTGCTATACGTATTCATAGATCATAGTACATTCTGATCACGCGTTATTATTAACCTCTAGGAATCTGTTTTCTTCATATAAAGCTTTGGAACCGAGTTACATTACTATTGTCTCGAATATCTATGTGAAGGACAGATGTAGCCAATAACGAAGATGATAATGAGCATACTTTTAAAAAGATATTCAGGGTTTGATCTTTTTGATATTCAATTTAACGTACTTTTTACGTAAATATCCGTACAACCAAGTTTAAATTAGGAATTTTTGCATTGTTTAAAGGCGAGTAGTATACGTTTAAAGAAGTTTTAACTTTTCTAATTGGCTATATAATTATATTGGTAAGTAAAATGGCTGCATTGTCCATTTATTTTAAGCCCGATTTTGAAAACTTAAGCTTTTTTGGAAATCAAACGACAGGCGTTTATTGGTCGGACACTGGACATAGGACAACAGGCATTCAGATTGGGCGACGTTGGGTCGTTGAATCGGTTGATTATCTTTGGAATCAGTTAGATGTGAGTTATGAAGCTGAACAATCAAAAGAGTTCGAAATTCATGTAACACATCATCATGAACTTTAAGTCAACTTGACCATAATTTTGTCTCAAAGGGTATCATGTGTTCAACTTTATTTCAACTCGAAATTGTTAGTTAAAAAGAAAAAGGAACCGATCGATGAAATTCGAGCAGCATGATTTTTCCAATTACACTTCCGCATGGGGTGATAATTTGTTTATTTAAACTTGTCCCCCCGAGTAACTCTCTAAAGTTTACACCCTTTCCCGGTCGTAAAAGTTCAAACAGCATGAACAACGATGAAGAGTACAGACTACGATCCTTAATCATTTGTCCTTTTACTAGTAGACTAGTAGTTACGTAGTTAACGTTTAAGCTTTAAAATGACTGATCACCGTTGTAGTATATACTTCAAGACTTTTGAGCTTGAATTTGACATCTTTCTTAAACAATTAGGTTTGGCAAAGAATCTTTGTCGGCACAAATCATATAGTAGTGAGTGAATTATAACATAAATTGAAATATGAATACTGTTCCTTACTTTCAAAACTCTTCAAGCCTAGAAAATTGAAAGGAAAGATGGTAAAATAAGCTTAATTTTTTAATTCTTAACCCAATTGAGGCATATGTCCTGACTGGGAGCGCATACAACCACTGAAAACAAGCCATGATTGGTTCTAGAATATGCATCCCAAAAGACAGTAAGTTGCAGGGTGTTTGGACATACGCACCATTTAGATTTAAGTTATCTGATCAATCAGACTGACAAGAGGACAAAGGACATATGTTCAGGACAAAATGAAGCCATTGACCGCGAAATCTCGGGACATGTCACTGATTTTTCGTAGAGCCTGACAAAAAGACATATATACCAAATTCCAATGGACATATCTATACAGATTTTTACCAAGACTTTTTCCTAATCTACACCATCAGAAGCTTAATTTTTTTTTTTCTTTCATACATATGGACTCTAAAGGGTTTTTTTTTCATCTCCCATAATTATATAAAAGATATAGATTTCATCATTTTGATAATCTTAATCAATATATTGGGTCTTTTAACTATTGAAGACCGTTTAATTGATCACCAACTTTTGACAAGATGGCTAACGCAACTAAAAAAGTCTTTAACGTTGCAGTTTTCTTCGTTGTCTTTAGAGAATGTTTAGAAGCTGTTATTGTTATTTCAGTTTTATTATCTTTCTTAAAACAAGCCATTGGTGATAATGATCCAGCATTATATAAAAAATTAAGAAAACAAGTTTGGATTGGTGCTTTTGCTGGTGTCTTTATCTGTTTAGTCATTGGTGGTGGTTTCATTGGTGCTTATTATGGTTTAGAAAATGATATTTTTGGTAATTCTGAAGATATTTGGGAAGGTGTTTTCTGTATGATTGCAACTGTTATGATTTCATTCATGGGTATTGCCATGTTAAGAATTAACAAAATGCAAGCTAAATGGAGAGTTAAAATCGCAAAATCCTTAGTTGAAGTTCCTGAAAGAAAAAGAGATCGTTTCAAATTAGGTTACTTAGCTAAGAAATATTCCATGTTCTTATTACCATTTGTTACCACATTAAGAGAAGGTTTAGAAGCTGTTGTTTTCGTTGCCGGTGCAGGTGTTACCACTCAAGGTTCTAAAGCTTCATCATATCCATTACCAGTTGTTATTGGTTTACTTGCTGGTTGTTTAGTTGGTGTTTTATTATATTACGGTGTTTCATATTCATCATTACAAGTTTTCTTGGTTATTTCCACTTGTATCCTTTATTTGATTGCTGCTGGTTTGTTCTCAAGAGGTGTTTGGTATTTTGAAACTAATACTTTCAACAAAGCCACTGGTGGTGATGCCTCAGAATCTGGTGATGGTAATGGTTCTTATGATATTTCCAAAGCTGTTTACCATGTTAACTGTTGTAATCCAGAATTAGATAATGGTTGGGATGTTTTCAACTCATTATTAGGATGGCAAAACACTGGTTACATTGGTTCAGTCTTAGCTTATAACTTATATTGGTTAGTCTTGATCATTGTGATCTTATTAATGTTATTTGAAGAAAAAACTGGTCATTTACCATTCTGCAAGAACTTAGGTTTAAGACACTTAAACCCATTATATTGGATCAAAAACAAAAAGAAAAATGAATTAACTGATGCTGAACGTGAAGAATTATTTAGAAAAGCTCAAGATATTAGATTCAACCAAGATGGTGAAATCAGTCAAGTTCAAGAAACTGTTCCAGCTTCTAAATAAAGTTGATACCGTAATGTGTTTTTTAATGAAGTTGTACATACACTATATATGAAATTAATATATTAATAAAGTAATATGAATGAATATGTAGTACCATCTAGATATACCTCTTATTCTGACTTATAATATTATGAGTTATATACGATACGATTTTGATTCTTGACTCTAAACTCGAGTCTATATGAATTTTTTCCGAGAAGCGTCGACCGCCAAGAGACGTAAAACTCAATTAAAATACCCGTTTAGGAAATTGCCCCAATCAGCGGCGCGTCATTGTTTCAAAAGCCAAGAGTTCTTATATAAGTATAGATATAGAGTAAATATTTTGACACAAAAGTGTTGATAATTCCATAAATTGATGATAGAGATATATGAGAGTTCAATAATTGATGTAAAGATATCATAAAGGTAAACAATGATGCAATAGGGGTTTGTCTTGCTCATCGTTGATGAATGGCTGTTCAATGTCCTCTAAGGACGAAGGACAGAAATTTCAAATATCGGAAATCAAGGAATTGTCAAGACATAGACTGTCCATTTGACTCCAGGTCAGCTAACTTATGGGACAAAGTCATAAGCTGGAATTCCCTGGGAACTGGGAAGGAAGTTGGAGCTCAAGACTCAAGACTCAAGAGGTGCCATTATAAGCCCGATTTTCCAAAGTGTTGTATTTAAACTTTCATCGAACTGATCAATCAGAGTTAAAGCTTTAAGCTAAACAGTTGATACCCTACAGATTCAATGAACATTCACACAAGTAAAGAACAGTTCTAAGCAACTTTTAGTCGAATCCAAAGCTATAATTGTCTTAATTAAAGATTCATCTATTCTCTTCCAGGTCTCATACGTATAAATCTGATGTATCAGTTATACCTATCTTCTAAATCTTTCCAATTGTTAAAATCGGGAAAAGTTTTTTCATCCATATGTATGCATAATCTGATTAATCTGCACTAATTTCGAAAAAAAAAAAAGGCCTTTAACGTAAAAAGGAAAATAAGAGACAACTGCATCAAAAAAGAATTCACCCGATGATGGTACGCACCGTTTGGGAATTAAATATATAAATACACGAGAAGATCCTCCATATTATTTCCCAATCTATTCCATCAAGGTTTGTATCTCTAAGTCATCTTGAACTGGTGTTATATATTTTTGACATATACCCCCTAAATATAACAGTATAGACGTTTCAAGATGGGTTCTTCATCAAAAGTTTTCAACGTTGCAGTGTTTTTCGTTGTTTTAAGAGAATGTTTAGAAGCTGTTGTTGTTATTTCAGTTTTATTATCCTTTTTGAAACAAGCTATTGGTGATCATGATCCAAAATTATACAAGAAGTTAAGATTACAAGTTTGGATTGGTGCTTTTGTTGGTGTTTTCATTTGTTTAGCTATTGGTGGTGGGTTCATTGGTGCTTACTATGGTTTACAAAATGATATTTTCGGTGGTGCAGAAGATTTATGGGAAGGTATTTTCTGTATGATTGCCACTGTTATGATTTCATTTATGGGTATTGCAATGTTAAGAGTTAATAAAATGCAAGCTAAATGGAGAGTTAAAATTGCTAAATCATTAGTTGAAGTTCCAGAAAGAAAAGTTGATCGTTTTAAAATTGGTTATTTAACTAAAAAATATTCCATGTTTTTATTACCTGCTTTCACAACATTAAGAGAAGGTTTAGAAGCTGTTGTTTTCGTTGCTGGTGCAGGTATCACCACACAAGGTGCTAAAGCTTCTTCATATCCATTACCAGTTGTTGTTGGGTTAATTGCCGGTTCAGCTGCAGGTGTCTTATTATACTATGGTACATCATATTCATCTATGCAAGTTTTCTTAGTTATTTCAACTTGTATTATGTATTTAATTGCAGCTGGTTTATTTTCAAGAGGTGTTTGGTATTTTGAAAGTAATACATTTAATAAACAAACTGGTGGTGATGCATCAGAATCTGGTGATGGTAATGGTTCTTATGATATTTCAAAAGCTGTTTATCATGTTAACTGTTGTAATCCAGAATTAGATAATGGTTGGGATATTTTCAATTCATTATTAGGATGGCAAAATACTGGTTATATTGGTTCAGTTTTAGCTTATAACTTATATTGGTTAGTTTTGATCATTGTTGTTTTATTAATGTTATATGAAGAAAAAACTGGCCATTTACCATTCTGCAAAAACTTAGGTTTAAGACATTTAAACCCAATGTATTGGATTAAAAACAAAAAGAAAAATGAATTAACTGATGCTGAACGTGAAGAATTGTTTAGAAAAGCTCAAGATATTAGATTCAACCAAGAAGGTGGATTGGAAACTGTCCATGATGGTCCTGTTGAAGAAGTTCAACATTCTGGTGTTCCAGCTAAATAGATTTATGTTTAATATACCACTAATAATAATAATATAATGTTTATATGTATATATATATATTTGAATTTGTATTTGAATCTAAATTGTAATAAATATAATTATAAATAAAAGGTCTTATTAATCATGATTATCTTTTGGATCAATTTTAAAAATTTTATCAGGATTTAAAATTCGAAGAGGATCTAAACTTAACTTTAATTTTCTCATAACTTGAATAGTTTCAATACCTAATTCTTTTTCTAAATGAGATCTTTTAGACATTCCAATACCATGTTCACCACTAACAGTACCTTCAAATTTTATACTTCTTTCAGTAATTCTATTAACTAAACTCATTGCTTTATCAACATCTTTTTCATCATACATTACTAAACAATGGAAATTTCCATCACCAACATGACCCACTATGGTTGTATATAAACCTGTTTCTTTTGTGTCTTTAATAGTTTCTTCAATCATTGATGATAGATTTGATATAGGTACTGCAACATCAGTTGACCAAATTTTTACATTTGGAGAAATTTGTGAACGACCATAATCAATTGATGACCAAAAAATTGATTTTCTTGCACTCCATAATTCTTGTTGTTGTGATTCATTTTTAGCAAATTGAAATTTATAATAATTATGGTTTTTACTAATTTTTTGAACATCTTTAATTAATTCATTTAGGATCTTGGAATTATTTGAACCAATTTTGAAAAATAATGTTGGTTTTTCATCCCAAACTTTGGAAGTTTGTTTAGAGAAATTTATACATGACATCATTCTTTCATCTAATAATTCCACTGCATTTAATTGAACACCTTCAGATATTAATTGAGTTACAGCATTTGTTGCATCTAATATAGAATTAAAACTAACAACTGCAATAGTTTCAAATTTTGGTTTAATATGTAATTTTAATGTAGCTTCAGTAACAATCCCCAAAGTTCCCTCAGATCCAATAAATAAGTTTGTTAAATTATAACCATTTGAAGTTTTTTTAGCACGTTGTTTAGTTTTAATTATTGAACCATCAGCTAATACTACTGTTAAATTAATAACAGATTCTTTCATAGTACCATATCTCATTGCATTTGTCCCTGAACATGAAGTACCAATCATACCACCAATTAAAGCACCAGGTGCAGGATCAGGACCAAGCATTAAACCATATTCATCCAAGTATTCATTAATATCTAACCAACTTGTCCCAGCACCAACCGTGATATCAAGATCAGATTTATTAAAATGTTTAATTTGATTTATTTTAGATAGGTCAATGATCACGCATGGTTGTCTTGATGATATATATTGACCTTCAATTGAAGTACCTCCACAAAATGGGATTATTGGAGTTTGATAATCATGTGCAATTTTCATTATATCTGAAACTTGTTCAGTTGAGGTTGGATAAAGAATTAATTGAGGTTTTTCATGAGGTTTTGGTTCATGAAGAGTATAATTATTCTTTGTATGAGTTTCAATATCATTTTCTAATTCAGAAACAGAATCTTGACCTAATATTTCAATGAATTTTTCTTTAGCTAATTGAAATTCAATATAATTTGCATAATTTGGTGATGGAATATCATTTAAATCAGTTTTAGAAGAATGTGGGAATATAAATTCAGGTGGGTTTGCTAATGTTTGTTTCATTGCGAAATAAAAACCAAAGATTGAACCTGTAGCAACACCAACAGTTATCAAAAGACCATTGTTATTCTTATTTTGTTTCTTACCAGCAGAACCAGAACTTGAACCAACTTGTTTAGACTCTGTTTGTATCAATCTTCTAGCACCAAAACCACCACCAAGACCACTGCCTAGTCCATACTTTATTGGTCTTAGTCTACCTATCCTAGCACCAAACCGCCATGCCATTATCCTGTCTTTTGAATATCTTGTAATTGATTCAAATGGAAAGTGATTTAATTCTTCAGCGCTTAATTTAAAATTCAAGATCTCGATCAAATATCCCATTCGAATCCCAACAGTCGCATTTAATTTGATATTTTTTATCCAAAGTTTACCCGGATTACACTTCGCGAAATTTATATTTTTTGTATGATAATTTGTTTACGCTTTTAAAAAAAACATAGTAAAGTAAAAGAACTGGTTTGTATTAGGTGCCCATCTATTCATGACAGGTAATTTGCAGTGCTAGTTCATAACAACAACAACCAACAACTAATCAACAAAGGAGAATGTCCAACGCTGATGACCTCGCTGCTGGGAACGGCTTTCTTTTCCACAATGACGTTGGTGCTGACGACGATTTGCTAAACATTGGAAATATTGGATCTTTAATTCCTCCTCAAGCTTTAGAACCTCAACAAGATCATCATATTACTCAACTTCCAGAAGATCATAGTACTGGCTCATCTATGGACGATGGGATCCCTATTGCTGCTGCTAGCGTGGAACAATTACCTGATGATGAAACAAATAATAATCAACTGGCTCCATATAGTAATAATCACAAAGAGAATACCTCTACTACAAAGAAGAAAAATCAAGATCCAAATTATTTAGCTTTATCAACAAAAAACAATAATAAATCCACTTCAAAAAAATCAAAATCAACAAAGAGTAAACCTGCTTTTGTTTTGAAAATTTGGTCAATGGTTAATGATGAAACAAATAATGATTTAATTAAATGGTATCAAGATGGTAATTCATTTATTGTTACAAATAGAGAATCTTTTGTTCAACAAATTTTACCAAAATATTTTAAACATTCGAATTTTGCAAGTTTTGTACGTCAATTAAATATGTATGGTTGGCATAAAGTTCAAGATGCTTCATCTGGTTCTTTACATAGTGATGAAAAATGGCAATTTGAAAATAAAAATTTTATAAGAGGCAAACCTGAATTATTAGATAAAATTGTTAGAAATAAACCAAATGAAGATTTAAATAATGGGAATGGTTCAATGGGGAATAATTCAAATGATTCAAATTTACAATTTGATGTTAATTTATTAATTCATGAATTAAATCAATTAAAATCTAATCAACAAAAAATTACTCAAGAATTATCAAGAGTTAGATCTGATAATGAATTATTATGGCAAGAATTATTCAGTTCAAGAGAGAAAAATCTTGTTCAAAATGATAAAATTGAAAAAATTTTACAATTTTTAGCTTCAGTTTATGGAAATAAATTACCAACAATTGAACATAATTTAGGTCTGAGTGCTCATAATGCTTATTTACAAAATAATCCAACTACATCAACTTTTTATAATCCTTATCAAACAAATCCAAATACTCCACAACCATCATCTTCATCAACATCAACAACAAATAATGGGGTTGTTGATTATAATTCAAATAATTCAAATCCAAATACAATGAATAAACCACCAACAAGAACAAGATTAATGATTTCTCAACATCGTCATGTTTCAAATTCAAATTCAAATACTCCAAACTCTGAGGATTCGCCAATTCAAGAAATTGCTCGTACACCAAATAATTTTCAACAACAACAACCATTTACACCAAATTATTCAATTGGTACACCACAAGGTTTTAATAATAATAGTCCATATAATAATCAATATCTGCCATCAGATGATTTCCAAAATTCAAATCCAAGTATAAATCAACAATTAAATCATGCTCAACAACAATTACATCAAGCTCAACAACAACAAGCTCAATTACGTGCTCAACAACAACAAGTTCAACAGCAACAGCAGCAACAGCAACAAGTTTTCAATCAACAACAACAAGGACAACAAATGCAAGGACAAGGCCCATCATCTGATAGACCAAATGTTACAACTCATCAACCAAGTTTTGATGATTTATCAAGAACTATTGAAGAACAAGGTCAATCAATTAATGATATTATATCAAGAATTCAACAAGGTCAACCAAATAATCAAGAACAAAGTAGTAATAATAATAATAATAATACACAACAAATTGGGAATGGTATAGAACAATATGAAACTTCATCAACTTCATCATCAAATAATAATCCAAATACATTTGATTTAGATGATTTTTTAAATCAAGAAGTTTATTTACCACAAGAAGATCCAACAACAACCATTGGAGGAACTGGTGGATCAAAATTAGGTAAAGTTCATGAAATTTATGATGCTAATGATGATGATGATGATGATGAAGATATTGAAGAAATTATTAATCCAAGTAAAAAAAGAAAAAATTATAAAAGATGAGTTTTAGTTCTTTTTTGCATATGGTTTTTATGTTAATTGCATTATAGTCATATAGCTATGAAATATGTTTGTTATGAAAGAAAGAAAGAAAGAAATAAAGTATGTGTGGTTTTATTAATGTATTTGCAGTGTGTTTTTTTGTTATTGGTTTTTTTAAAATGATTTTATTATTATTAGCTTTTATATTATTATCTTAATATGGGTTTTAAAAAGGGTGATTAAGGTTATAAATTAAATATTGTTATTAAATTGTATATTATATGAAGTTTTTATGTTTATAAATTGGCGTGTGTTTTATTATTAATAAATATATATGGAAATTTTACATTTGATTAGGGTCTGGTCTGATTTAAATTGTTGTAATTTAATAAACTACGTAGCGCCAGTGCCTAGCAATATATACTAAGTACAATAATATTACAATGTTCTATATATGTTATATATTCTAGACTCCATACAAATAAACCTTTGTATTCGATCAATATATAATTTAGCTAGTCACGTCGACGTACGTACAATTTCAATATATTAACATGGTTTAACTCAACAGGTATATTCCATCATACCCATTAAATATTACCCATGAATTGATTTTCATGTTAGCTTTGAATCAAATTAATATATCAAATATATAGTATTGAGTTTTCATTATGAGTTTAGTATCATACAAGTTAAGCAGGGTTCAGTATGTACTATGAATTGTGTATTTAACTGCCTGGGTACTTATAAATTATCATGCAGCAGCACAATTTAGTATGTTTTTCATCACGCATAATTACGGCCTCGTCGAAGGTTTATAATTGAATAGTTTTTCCGTAAATACTTTCAAAGGATCAACAATTTCCAGATTAAGTTCATTGTTTCAGTTCAGTTGAAATCTTGGTTTCTAATATCTCGTATAATTAGCTCTCATTTGAGTAAATCATGGTTAAAACAAGTCTTTATTATGTATTGATCACATTTCTAATTCTTTGTTCTAATATCCATTGTAAAAAATCTTCAGAAAATGTATTAAAGAAAGACTCAATAGTTACAACAAATGATAAATTACCTCCAATGATTCATCAAGGATTCAAATGGAACACTGAAAATAAAATTGCAGCAGCATGCAGGTTCTTTAGGTCTTAGTGAAGTAGGTATTACAATTGGTGGTATTAGACCTTATTGTTCCAAGAATGGTGCTATTACATTTGGATCTAAGACTTATTGTTTTAGTTGGTTAGTATCAGGATTGATGATGTTTAATGGATTTGTTTATGGATTTATTTATTCGTTACAATATTTGGGTGAATGTTTGATTTATTGGTTGATATTTGGGAAAAATGTTTGTGGGATGGAGTTTTGTACTTGGTTAAGATCTTTTGTATGAATGTTGAAGTTATTAGATTATAGTGGAATGAAATTGATGGTGACCAATAACATTGTTTTTTATTCAATTTGAATAGAAGATCAGGTTGATATTTGGTTAAGCTAGTGATTATAATCTTTGTTATAAAAGTACCAAAAGTACTAAAAGTATCAAATATCAATGATTAACAATTCGTGATGTACTTTGGTATAATCATTAATATAAACTTATTATAACATTAAGTTAGATATCAACCACTAGTTATATATACATATATATAGCCAGAACTATTGATGAAGGTACGTAATATAGCTCTGAATATAATCAAGTAATACTTAATCCTATATAATAATCTTGAAACATGTATGTAAACCGATTGAAGTCAAAAGCTCAACGACTTAACGTATTCCAAGACTATTCATATACTTAGACAAAATCACTAAACTCCATATCTTCAATAATAAACCAACAGTACGTCGTTCTTAACACTTGTATAACTTAATGACTTATGTAATTAAAATTGTTTGTTGATGATAATAAATTAGCCGCTGATCAGAAATTATATATAAAAACAAACAATTTGCCACTTTTTTATACACCTAATATTATATTTATATAGTGCACAATATAATTGAATTATGAATTTCACTAGAGAACCTGGACGATATTCGTTTTTAATTTAATCTCAGACCTGGAAGATATATAGGAATGGTTGAGAATGGTATATCTCAATATCAGCTTCAGTACCTGTTCTACACCTTAATGGTCAAATTAATTGTTATAATCAACTACTAGTTGAATGAATAACAAATTTCTAGTTTAATGATTTGATGATTTGAATTATTACCAAACAATTCATCATTTGAATACATGAAGCTTTTGATCTTTAACCACTAGTAATTTTGTATACACTTGATCAGTTGTTTCAGGGTGTGTTCTTCACCTCCAAGATTTCCGATTTCCTTTATGCATATGTCACCCCATTTTAATAAGGCTTTAACAACATTATTTAGCTTAATCTGGGGACATAAAAGTTCAGGTGTACTATGAGTTTATGAGTTTATATGGATATATATGGTATTGTTCTTAAGTCCTTTTAGTAGTTATGAACAACGTTGTATTATCGGTTATGTATTCCTAATACAATATCGTAAGTTTATTAACTACAAAGATATCAATTCATATCATATATCATATACTAAATCATAACACATAACTGCATAACACTCTACTAAACCATAATTACTCTATTAAACCATAAGTACACCATCCAACTAGCTAGCGCTAGTTGAATCATCTCTTAAATAACAACTCTCTCAACTTCATATCATCAAAATTATCATTCTTTTCTTTATAATATATTTTTAAAAATTCATTAAATTTATCAAGACTTTTTGGATATCTATGTTGATTGTTTAGTAAGTAATCTTGGACATACTTATTCACATTTATTTCAAACTCTTGATCTGTTAATGTATAATGATTTCCAGCTGTTCCAGTTGTTGAAGTTGTTGTTATACTTGATGTATTTGTTGATGTAGAACTTATTGAAGAACTTGAAGAACCAGATGATATTGAAGAACCTGAAGATATAGAACTTGAAGGAGATGTTATTATCTTGGAACGATCCATTTCTAATCCAACCAATTCATTAAAAGATGTTAAATAATCATCATCTAAAAACCCCTGTACACCTTGTACACCCTGGACTTCTTGAACCACAGTATCTTGATTTGAATTTGAATTTTAATTTGAATCAAATAAATCATAATCATTCTCAACCAATTCAATAGGTTTCTTATTCTTTGAAATCCCATTTCTTTTCTTAAATTGAGTTAACCAACCATGACTAAAACTTGATATTCTTTTGGGATCTTGAACACCATAAATTGAAACTAATTTACACCAATGTTGTCTAAGCATTGGTTCATTAATAACTTGATTTTCTTGTAATGCTGATTGAACAATTTTATCCATTTCTTTATTTATTTTATCATATTTGAAGTTTAATTTCCTTTTGGAGTTTCTTAAGAATTCATTTGAATTGTTATATAATGATCTTAGGTTTTGTTCATCTTTTAACCATTCACTAAAACTTGATGTTGATATTGAATATTTGGTTTTGAAATGGTTCACGGTTTCAGCTTGTGAATTTTGTGATTTATGATGATGGTTTAAGATCATTATTTTCTGTTCTAATGTAGTTCTTGGACGTTTTGATATTTTATTCATTTTGATATTGATTGATCCCTTGATGATGGTGGTAATGGTTATGGAATACAATTATGGATCTTTCAATCTTTATAAATAAAACCCGATTTAAACGACAAGAATAGTTACTTAATTGTTATTAGTTCACTTCTGAGTTTAAAATGCAATCCCCAGTACAATTGCAGATCTGAATTAAATCTGTTCTAATCACCGTAAATGAGTTTATACTACTTTCCATAATTCGCGTATGTAATCAATAATCATTAGCTAATATTAACACTTGTTTATACAGAACTACTAACTTTCTTTAAAATGGTTTCATAACTAACTTCACTATAATCAGTACCTTGAATATCAGCAGCAACACCATTTAAAGCTTTTCTTAAAGCATCTTTTGATGAAGCATAAACCATTTTGGATCTAATTGGTGCAGTATCTGGAGACCAAGCGAAAAAGATAATCTTGGATCTTAAACCTTCACCACTTTCATATTCAAAATCATAAACTGCATAAAGTGAATCATTTTCTGGTAATTTACCTAAAAATTCATCATAATCCTTGGAAGTTGAAGTTTCTTTAACAACAATTTCAGTTTTTGATGAATTTAATTCATACAAGATAAATTTAAATTTTTTACCTAATTTTAATTCATTAAAAGCTTTTAAAGATTCATCAGCAACAACAACACTGGAATTGTTAGTAAAATAACCCTTGATAATCCATAGTTACATAACATACCCTGATCTTGACTAGTTTCATCAATTGTTAGTAATCCAATCCCCTAAAAACTTGTTTAAAACAACCATTATGATCCTCTGTGTCCATAGAATTCAATGATATTGGTTATAACTCACCATATTGTAATTATTTACTTGTTATTATCAAATTTTGTTGGTTTGTTGTTGTTTAAAAGGGGCAATCAAAGTGGTTTTTTGAAAAATACGTGGAATTTTGGGAATCGGGTTTCGCGAACAATAAATAGAGCCGGGTAATGTTTTGGTTTTTTATAATTATATATTATATTGTTATTGATATTGATATTGTTAATTGTTATATTGTATTATATTGCTGGTGATATATCGGTTCAGTGGTATTATCATAGGTTCTGTTACTATATTGGTTATCTTGTTGTTGATCAGAGTTTTAGTTAGATTGGTATTGGTATTATTATTGGTATTGGTATTGGTAATATTATCATCATGTCAATTGAATCAAGAATTAATCAATTGGAATTCCAAATTGATACTCAACAAAACATTCCATCTCAAGTAAACAAACTAAACAATTATATAAATCAATTCATCAAATCTCAACCATCAATAACTAAACTATTCCAATTCTTAAACAATTCAAACATTCATTTTTATTATAATCAAGAATTTCAAAATATAAATGAATTAGATGTAAAAAGACAATTCATAAACTCCAACTTACAACAAATAACAAATCATGTTGAAAATTTATTAATTTTACAAAATATGGAGAAAAAACAATTGGAATTTGGAATTATAAATAAATCTAAACAAATTGAAAATCACTTTGAGAGGTTAAGAGAATTGGAGTTTAAATATAATCAATTGATTTTAAGATCTATAAATTTATTACAAAATTTTCTGAAATTGAATGAGAATATTAAACGGTGTTCTATGAAACTTCAACGAAGCTGAACCAGTATTGTGAGCATTAGCGTTAGTTCCTTTGGAACCAGAATTGTGAGTGATAACGACCACTTCAACTTTAGTTGAAGCAGTATTGTGAGCGCTAGCGTCGTGGAACGTTAGTGGAACTATAGAATCTGTGAAACGATTAGTGAAACAATAGAATCTGTGGAATGTCAATGGAACAATAGATATATAGTTTCATTATGAAACAATAGAATAAATACTACATTGATCAAATCTATTTTCAATTCATATCATATCATATCATATATACAAGTTATAATAGATTAAACTCTATTCTTCAAGAATTTTATTCTCATTAATTTCAAGATTTTCATCACTTTTATAAACTAAATCAATAAATTTTTCAATTTGTTGAGATAATAATAAATTTTTAATTTGTTTTGTATTTTCAATTATTGGTTCTAAAGACTTGATGAATGGTTCAATATGTTGGACATTAATATTTTCATTAATTTTATCTTGTTCTGAAGTTTTTATATTAGTGGATTTTTCATTTAATGAGTTCAATATGGTTTCTGATTGGAAAAATTCTAATGATAAATTTGATACAATTTTAATAATTTGTTTTATATTATCAATTTTTTCAACATGAGATGAATTTATCTTGATTAAATCAATTATAAATGCATGTAATAACTTCTTCTTATTTGTAAATAACGAATCTATTGGATCAATATGTTCAATATTTAAATTTTCCAATTTCTTGATTAATATAGGCGAAGGATTTTCAATATCAATTATTAATTGTTTTAAATTAATATAAAATTCATCTTCAGGTTCCACATATTTAGCAATTTTTAAAAATTTTGGTTTTTTTGGAGATCTTTTACCTCTGTTAAAATCTTGAACAATTCCATAAGCTATATTTTTAACTTGTGGATAATCATTAGAATCAGATTCTTCTAATTTGATATATTCATTAACTTTACGTTTAATTTCATCCTGATCATATGATTGTTTAATCTCTTCAATTTCAAAAAAATTAGGTGGTAAACGTATAACAAATTCCATAATAAACAAGATTAAATTATTAATTTCAGCATGTCTAAATTGTCTCTTTTTTGATATATGTAAAACATCATCTATGAAAGAATTCATCAATTTTTGCTTTTTAATTAATAATGAATCTTCTGGTTTTATATCTAGTTTCAATTTACTTATTTTCAATTTTAATGATTCAGAAATTGAATCAATATTTATTTTTGGATCTCTATAATAAAAAATATTAAATTCTTCATCAGTCCCAGAATTAAATCTAATATGCTTATTCATTATAAATTCTGGACAATTAATAGGTCTTTCATTATAATTATGATTTAAAAATAATGGATTTTGATAATTATTTGATAAAAAAATTATTGGAGTTGAATCATCTTTATGAAATTGATTATTCCAAAGTGTTTTCAGTGAATTTTGTAAAATTTCTTGATTTTCCAATATTATTGATGAATCTGTTTTGATTAGGGTATTAAGGGAATAAAATTGTGTATAATTATCAATTGAAGTTATTGATTGAATGAGTTTGAATAAATGTTTATAATTTGGTTCATAATCAATTGTTTCAATGTTGTATTTTAAATTTTTATTGAATTTATTAACTTGGGTTCCATCTTCTTGTGTTGTTGTTAAATGCATTGTTTCATTCATTAAATCAAATTTATTAAATTGGAATTCATTTATATAAAATTTTGATAATCCAGGATAATAATACATTGAATCTGTAAATAATAACCTATAAATAATATTCATGATTAAATTCTTACTGAACTCAATTCTTTCAATGGATTTATCAGATTCATTCTTAATTATTGTTAAATATTGTGCTAAAAGGGGTAAAAATTCATTAAATTTTGATTTGTTTTCAATTTGATAAAAATTCCCAAGAATGAATTTATCCCATGGTTTTACCAAATTTGAATTAAATTCTAAATATTCTTTTAAACTTGGGAAATATTGGAATTTATCAGAATCTTCATAAAACTCTGAATGAATAAATTGTAAAACACTTGACCAAACGTTAACTATATCATATTCTTGTAAAATATCCAAATCTGATATTGAATTTTGTGTTAATATTATAGATCTTATAAGATCAATTGAATTTTTTTTAATATTTGATAAAGGAGTTTTAGAATTTAATTGATGATTCTTAAATATAAAATCTTCAAATTTTCTTTGATTAATTTTTTCTAAATCAAAATTAAACTGTTTCTTTGGAGTATTATAAACATACTTATTACTAAATGAAATTGATTTATATCTTGAGCTTAAATTTGTTTCATAATTTTCAAAATTTAAAATTTCATCAGCTTGAGGAATCTCAGTTAAATTGACATCATCTTCTTTTTCATTTATATATTCATCAATAACATATGGAGTTATAACATCTGTTAAAGGTGGTAATAATCCAAATTCTTGAGAAACTAAGGTAGCTAATTCCATTGGAGTTGAAATTTCATTTGTTTCAGAACCTGGTTTTGGTATCTTACCGAATTTAATCACAGGATACTCTAATTCTGTGAAATGTTTCCTATGTGATAATATGAAAGATGGAACAAGGGCAATCAATTCATTTGAAGATGTTAAATCTGTTTCAATGAATTTTATTTCACCAACCAAGGGAAAATTTATAGTTTTTGAAATTAATTCATTATATAAAGGATGTTGAATATTTATACCAATAGCTTTTATGAATGGAAATATTTCTAATGCTTGGATTTTCAAATCTAAATCTGTGGTTTCAAATTTAAAAGGAATGGATTGAATTAAAGGTTTTGCAACATTAAACCCTTTAACACCTTGATATTGGAAATTCCCATGTTTATTCTCCACAAAAAATAATTGTTTTGAAGATTTAACAAGTTTCTCATCTGATTTAAAAGCATCTAATGGATCTGAATTTTTTTTAATTAAACCTTTTGTAAAAAACCCATGAATCTTATTTTCTAATATTCTTTCAAATATAGGTAATGATCTTAATTTAAATTCATTATCTTTATGAAATTGACCTAAAATTTGGAAATGAAACTTAGAATTCTGATATTTAGAGTCCATTTCAATTAATTGTTTATAATCTGCCAGTGTAAACCTCGCCAAGTGTTTATTTATCCGTATAACTTTCTTTGTTTCATTATTATCTTGTTTACTTGATTTTTCAGAAAATTCTTCAATCGTTCTAATCATTCTCCAATATGGTAAGATCTGATTGTTTTTGCTTTGCGTTTTCAGCATTGCAGAAGCACATTTAAAGACCCGCATGGACATCTTATCACAGAATATTGGGCTTTTATCTTTTGGTATTTGATCTAGTTCAAATTCTAGTTTATTACACTTTAATTTTCATTGAGTATAAAAGAATTTAATTAAATGTTGCGCGAACCGACCGTTTAAATTTTAAAACTTTTCAATTTATAAGCATTTTTAAAAGATTTATATAGTTTTATTGAGATATTTAGTGGTGATAGAAGACTAGGAGGATGTTTAGATCTATTTTCAGAGTACCCAGTGGGATAAGAGGTGTTTCCTCCAAAAACTTTCGAGGAATAAGCTCCATTATCAACCAAAGAATACCCAAAGGTTATACACAACCAACTCCAAAATCATCAGATTTAATTATAATTGCAATGTCTTCAGGAGTAGATTCATCAGTGGCAGCATTGTTATATAAACAGAAATATGAGAATTGTTTAGGGATTTTCATGGAGAATTGGAGTCAATTGGATAATGAGCGTTGTTTGGAACAAGATTGGAAAGATGTCCAATTAGTGGGAAATCAATTAAATTTACCCATAGAACGAGTTAATTTCGAAAAAGATTATTGGATTGAAGTATTTGAACCAATGTTGACAAGTTATAACAAAGGTTTAACACCAAATCCTGATATTAATTGTAATAAATATGTGAAATTTGGAAGTTTAATTAATTATGTTTCTAAGAAATATAAAGATCAAAATTGGTGGTTAGTTACAGGTCATTATTCAAGAATATTACAAAATGACACCACAGGGGAATTACATTTATTAAGATCTTATTATCCAGATAAAGATCAAAGTTATTATTTATCACAAATTGAAACAAATGTATTGAGCAGAGTTTTATTACCAATTGGTCATTATACAAAACCTGAAATACGTAAATTAGCCCAGGAAAAAGATTTAGTAATTGCAGATAAAAAGGATTCACAAGGCTTGTGCTTTGTATCACAAACACAGGGGAACTTTAACAATTTTTTGAAAAATTTCCTTATGGATTCACCAGGAAATATTATAACTGAAGATGGTAAAATTTGGGGTAAACATGATGGACTTTGGAGTTTAACTTTAGGACAAAAATGTGGAATATCAATGCCTCAAGGTGATCCTAGATATAAAGGTGTTTGGTTTGTAAGTGAAAAGAATTTTGAAACTGGTGATATAACAATTGTAAAAGGTGGTAATAATGATAAATTATTTAAAAAAATTGTCTATGTCCAAGATTTTATTCCATTGGGTGATGATTTAGATATTACAAAGATGGAAGGGCTCACTGTACAATATAGATCATTACAATCACCAATCTCTTTGAAAACTATAAATTATTCAAATGGGAAATGGATATTCACTTTAAATGATAAAGCAAGAGCTATATCACCAGGTCAATATTTAGCTGTTTATCAAGGGGATAGATGTTTAGGATCCGGTGTTATCGAGGGGGCAGAGTAATTGTGGTGATGGAGAATAATAGTAACTACTTGTACATAGATTATTGGTGTTTTAATGGTGGTTTTTTGGGTAAAATAATTGTAAATAATTGAAATTTAGTATATTGTAGTCCCGTAGTCCCTGGGTAGTCACTATATTTATAGACTAGTCCATATATCACGTGAATAGTCTCCCTAGTCTCCAGTCTCAAAATTCCCAAAATCAAAACAAATTCAAAGAAACGAAACCAATTAAGGAATCAAAACAGATCTAAAAGAAGTCAATTAAAGAAGTCTTCAAAGGGAGAGACTAGTAAGACAATGGCATGGCCTTATTCAACTCCCAAGGTGGCTCAATTGCCAGGTGGTTCTGCTGGTGCTCAAGGTGGTGATGGTGGTGCTCAAGGTGATGCTGGTGATGCTGGTATTATTCAGATTAGTTCAGCTAATAATAAAGGTCAACCATATGCTATTTTAACCAAGAATTCAATCTTACTTTATGATGAAGCTACAGACTCGGTGATCTCTACACATGATAGATCTCATGATTCTTTGGAGAAATACGGTGTCAATTTATCAATGAAGAGAAATTATGATGATTCTTTAATTATTATTCAAACTGATCAAAATTATTTATTAATTTACATAATATTAAAACCACAAGATGATGAAATATTATCTGTTTATCATGGACATAATGGGAAATTATTACAAAATGGGAATGTCATTGAAACAAAATCTCAATTTTTCAGTAATACTGAAATATTAGAAGAACCAATAAAGAAATATCAAATTAGATTTAAATTGTTTTTAAAAATATCAAATGGTATAATTGATTATCAACCATTGAATAAATTGAATTTATTATTAGTTACACAAATCAATACTCAATTAATCAATTTAGAAAATAATGATAATCAACCCTTGGACTTGGGGTTATCACCTGATAATCATGTCAAGAAAATTATACATTCTTGTTATAAACCACATTTATTTGCATTTAAATTAAACAATGGAAACATTTTATTCCATAATAGAACTGGATATCTTAAATTTGATAAATTTACTGAACCTTCATATTTCCAAGGTTGTCAAAATGGATCCATAAACCCCAGATATAAGATTTTAGTATTTATATTTGATTATAATAAATTAATTTATTATAATTATGATATTCAACAAAAAATTAAAGAAAAAGATCTAAGTTCATTTAGTTCAAGTCCTATAACTAAAATTACATGGGATGGGAAAGGTGAATCATTAATTGTTTTGTTCCAAAATGGGAATTGGTTAATAACTTCAACTTTTGGTTCAATAATTTTTAATTCTTTAGAATATGATATTCCTAAATCATGGTTAACTTCTATTAAAACATTAGATATTGTATCAAGAGGTGATAAATTAATTTTATCAGATGGGAACACAATATTTCCCTTAGAATTAATTAAACAATTATATTTATCAAAACAAACAAATCATAATTTGAAAAGACCTGTATTGATCCAAGGTTCTAATGTTCATATTTATACTGGTTATGAAATGAATCCAACCTCATTAAATAAACCATTTGATTGGAATATTATTAAAATTCCAATGGATATTCATATTCAAATTCCCCAAATCACTTATTCATCAATTTCAATAGATGGGAAATATCTCGCTTTGACAAATGAAAAATCTTTATTAATTTATAGTTTCCATGGAATGGAATGGAGTTTTTATATTAATGATTATAATTCAGAATTAAAAATTGATCAATTAAATTGGTTTGAAAAATTTAATTTATTAATTGTTACAAATAAGACAAGTATAAATTCTGAATTAATTATTTTAAATTTTAGGAAATTTAAACATGAAGAGACTTTTAATTCTAATTTGATAATATTTAAATATGATTTTGATTCAAATATTAAATTGATTAACTCTTTAGATGATGATATTTTGGTTTTCACTGAGGATAATAAATTTTATCAATTTAAAATTTTACCAAATGGAATAAGTTTCAAGATTGATTTAATTAAAATTTTATCAATAAATAAAAATTTTAATGAAGATGATAATAATTTCCATAATATAATTAAAATAAACTCAAAAGATCCAGAGAATAATGATTTATTAGTATTGAATAATGGTGAATTATTATATTTAAATTACAAGACAGATAGATATGAAAAAAATTTATTATTAGATAAAATTGAATATATCTACAAGATTAATGATGAAGAATATTATTTATTCAATGGTGATTCAATCTTCCTAATTAAAAAATTATCAAATTTATTAACCACCAGGGATCCAACCTCTTCAATATTAAAAATTTCAATCGATGATGAATCAAATCATCCATTTCTATTAATTTTAGAAAAAGGTTTAATAATATCTTTAAAAAATTCAATCATCAAGAAACCTAATTTGGAAATAAATCAATTAATTACCAAGAATTCAATTTTCCTACATGATTTAATAAGATTTGAAATTACAACCCAGAGCCCTATAGAGATTTTCCACAAGTATCAAAAATATAAAAATTTCCAATATAGTTTAGAATTATTATTATATCAATCCATTATAAATTCTTTAGATATTGAAAAATTAATTAAATTAATCAAGATTAACCCCAGTTGGGAATTAAACATAATTTCTAAATGTTTAAGAAAAATAGATCTAAAATATTGGGATCTTTTATTTCAAAATTTTCAAAAAACTCCTCAGGTGTTATTAGATCAATGTATTGAATTAAAACAATACAAAACATTAGGTAATTTAATTATAATTTTTTTAAATTATACTAAAGAGGAAACAATTGATGATGATGGGATCTTGAAAATTTTAAAGATTATTTTTAAAGAAGCTGATAATGATGACGAATTATATAAGATTGGAGTTGAATTAATTGGATTTTTGAAAAAATTAGATCCTTCGGGTGAATTATTAAAGAAAAGTTTAAAAGAGTTGAAAGAAGATGTGAAAACAGGTGTATAGAGATGATTGATATGATTACATGAAGATATATCTATGAATATGTATGTATTTAATGACCGTAAATTCCCATTTATATAACCCTATAACCACTTAGTGACCCACAGCTAGTGATAAACTTTAACCCATTTTTTAATAGTTAATCCATCATGTAATTCTTTAACTTCATTCTCTAATTCATATCCAAATAAATAAGGTAAAATTTTAAATTTCAAGCCCCAAAATCCAACACAAGATATTAAAATTAATGGTGATAATATATAATAAGGTGGTAATCCACCTAATTTAGCTTGATTACTATCTTTTGTGAAGAATGGACTTATAATAATAAATAATGTAACAAAGATTATTAAAATTGTACCTATTCTAGAAGCTCTTATTGATGCTCTTGAATGTGGGAAACGATATCTAATTATAAAGATACCTATTGATGTAAGTAACAAGAAAATTTGACCTGTATAACCTTCTAAACTTATAATATAATTAAAAGAATCACCACCTTGAGGTAATAAATATAACCAAATACAATTTGTAAAACAAGTTAAAACAAGACAAGTTATTGGAGTTTTGAAAATTTTGGAATTTGATGCAAAAAATCCACTATATGGGAAATAACCTTCTCTAAAAATTTCTTGATTCATTCTAACTAATGAATAAATAACAACAAATACATTTGATGCTGATGATATGGCAATTGATATTGTTATGAATTGTCTACCTAATTTATAACCAAATATTTTTTCAAAAAGGATTGAACCGATTAATGGACCAATTTCCATGATTTCATCATGTGGAATGATTTTTAAATATGCTATATTGATTAATGTAAAATTTAATAATGCAAGGATTAATGATATTGGACCTGCGATTTTAAAAGTTCTATTTGGGTTTTGAATTTCACTTGATAGAGTATGAACAGAACTCCAACCACCAAATGTAAAGAAACAATTTAATAATGATGATGATAAACTTGAAGTTGTTACTATGGAAGAATCTTGGAATTTGAAAACTTCATCCCAATGGAAATGATTTGGTAAACCTGTTAGTTGGGTTGGTGTTATAAGGACATAAATACCAGTTATTGTCATTATTGCAACAAGGAATAATTTTAAAGCACCAAGGAAATTTTGAACAAAAAGTCCAGTTTTAACAGAAATACCATGGACCAGACAAGTTATTATTATAAGTCCCATTCCAATATTACTTGATGCTTGAGAAGTTTCAATATAATCAGGTTCAAACCCCAAAGCGAATAATAGATATTTCCCAAATACCAAAGCATTTGTAATAGACATACTGAAAACTAGTTGAAATATTGCAAAAACAACGCTAATCAATAAAAAAGGTCTTGGATATATGAATTCAAGAAATACTTTTGTACCACCTGATTTAGGAACAATGGACCCCAATTCTAAATAAATAAATAATCCAGCAAAAGCCATTAAAGCAGCTATAATCCACATAATAAAGAACAATAATGGTGAACCACCAACACCTTGAAACACCAAAGCAGGAGTAGCCCAAATCCCAGAACCAAATATCCTACTAATAAACAAGACAATTGTAGAGAAAACACCAAATTGACGTCCTTGAGGTAAATTTTCTAAATCAACTTGTAATATTGAATCATTGATTTCCTTTGTGGACCCATAATCAAGAGCATTCTCAGAGATTAATTGTTCATCTGAAGCATCACTATTTGATCTTGAATTGATTTCCACTATGAATTGATCCTTATAAAGATCATTAGACGAAGACATCTTTGAATACCTTGAATATCAAATAAACCACTAGGAATTTATTGGAATCTCACTTGTTTAAATACTGATAAGTGATAAGATAAGCCTAGTACTCAAAGATCATGTCTATAACCACTTGTTCCATGATGCATACTAATATCCTTTTATTACAAATCATTTCTATCCCTATCAAATCACCACAGTTTAATAAAACACTGTGTATTGAAAATAACCATTTACAAATTGTAATGATTAGTATTAAATGTGTCTAATTAATGCCACAGTTTATATTGATTATGTAATGTTCTGTGAATGAAGCCCTAATCATGTGATTTAGTTGACTTTCATGTGACTTTTAATTTTTCATTGTTTTGATTTTTAAATTAATTTGTTTTGATATTGATATTGTTATCTTGACTATTATATTGATGGTATATTGATATATGGGATTAAATAGTCATCAAATATGCCACTGGTTTATAGTATCAGAAAGTACTCCTTCTGCAAAAACAACGGTCAATGGGAACACTTCCCCTCTAGAAATGATCTTGTCTTGATGGTTAATAATATTCAAATCACTGGTAATTCAATGGATTATATATTCAAGATATTTTGGAAATCAACTTTATTAGTCTGAAGAGACCTTTATTTATTATATAGTTATTGTTATTATACTAACCATGCACCACAGGAAGAATTAGATGTTAAGAAAATTCATAAATTTGATGAAAATTTATCAATATATTCTAAAAATCCATCAATTGGTTTCAAATATCAAATTATAAATGAATTACATCAAATTATAACCAAAAGATTTCAAATTAGTTTTATTAATCCAATGGAATATCAAAAATTTATTTATTTGTTACAACAAAATAAATTTAATATTAAAGATGATTCAACAACTTCATCATCAACTCAATTTATTCCAATGTCACAAATTAATCAACCAATAGATTTTATGAATCAATTCCAATCTCAACCAACAACTCAACATTTAAACACTTCAATTTTAAGTCAACCAATCTTACCAATGATTCAACAAACTCAACCTGAACAACAAGTTCAACAAACTCAAAAAAATGATATATCATCAGATTTTTTATCAAAAATTCTTAAACCTACAAAAGAAAAAACTGAATTAAATGACTCAGAATTAAAAAATTTATTAATTGAAAAATTAAATGATTTAAATTTTATAAAATTTGTGGAAAAAATTGAAAAAAATTTACATTCTTTAAATGAAAGTAATGAAAGTAAATAATGTGAAAAATATTAATAATATGAATAAAAGAATTTTTTGGTTAATAGCTAATGACTAATATGTCAATTATAATAAGAAAAATGAAATCATAACTAATGGGAATGAAATTATTGGAATATATAATGATTCACCTAAATTTGATGATTGTGAAGCTGATGTAGAACTTGAAGAAGATGAACCTTCACTTGATGAAGATGAACTTCCACTTGATTCATTTGAACTTTCACTTCCACTTGATTCAGAACTTGATTCGGAATTTGATGTAATACTTGCAATAGAACTACCACTTCCACTTCCACTTTCACTTTCACTACCACCAGTGATTGATGCTTCCTTAGTTAAAAATTCAGAAGGCATTAAAACTTTTGATAATCCATTTTCACTTAATAAACTTGAAGCCCACTCAAATTTTGTAAACATTGTATTAAATTCACTAAATGGGAATGATTTACTTTTTAGCACCTGAATCATTTCTTCATCATCTGTAATACTTTGAATTTGGAAAGCATAATTTTGTAAATTTGCTGGATATGTCATCTTATTTTCATCCATAAATGTCTTATATTTGGGGAAATTATAATTAAAATCTGATAAAAATGCATAAAATAATTCACCATCTGTTTGTAATGCTTGTGATGATGCTTTGGACCATTGTTCTGCGTTGTATGATGTTGTTTGAGCTATAGCTAGTGAACTTAGAAATATTGTGATTAGGAATTTGAAAAACATTGTATGATATGATAATCTATAGTCTATAGTACATATATCTTTATGAAGAGAATCAATCTTTTATAAATACGAACTTCATTCAATTTTGAGGTTCATTTATAAAAATTCTTTTCTCTTGATTTAATTGTTTAATTACCATATTTGGATCTCAATGGGTATTAAAGGTATGAATATTCATGAAAAATTGTACTTAATCCATGCAAAAAATTAAAAAGAAATCATTTATGTATGGTTTGCATTAGCTTAAGTGGTACTCACTGCTCAGCTAGACTTTGGTTTAACCGAGTTTACTTGTTCAGTTGTTGAATCCCCAGTTAATATGGTATAGTTCTTTTTGTTGATGGTAATGAATCCTGGTTGTACTCAAGAAATCTGGAAATCGTCAGGTGTCAAGCCGACAGTTATACGAACAAAACCATGAACGTAGATCACAGTACATCTTCTATAGGACCCATTACCATCTCTTCAATTGTAAACACTATGTATCTGTTATATTAGGACCCTGGAGTCTCTTCAAGACAAAGTTTAGTATATCTCGTACTTTTTGAGGTTCGAATAAAGTACATGAAAATCCATTAAAAAGCATATACGTTTAATGGTCAAGACACAACCGAAGTAAAGTTTACGAAGTATTTAAGTTATAATTATTTATTCATTCAATGTATATCAGTTCATATAACTTATAATAAGGCAACAGCACCTAAAGCAACAACAACAGGAGCGAAAACACCTAATGAATTTCTTAAACCTGAATTTTCTTCATCAAATGTATTAGCTGGAGTGGTAGCATTGTTTGTTGAGTTTGAATTTGGTTCAACTGGAGCAACTGATGAAGTGATTTGTTCTTGAGTTGATGATTCAACTGGAGCTTGAGATGATGAAGCTGGTTCAACAGTTGATGATTCAACTGGAGCAGCAGATGAAGAGACTGGAGCATCTGAAGTTGTGGAAACTTCTGGAGCTTCAGTTGATGGAGAAGCATCATCACCGAAAATAGATTTTAATCTTTGATCATACCAATCTAAACCAGTAGCAAAAGTTGAAACTTCATTTAAATCAACATTATCATATAAAGTGGTATAAGAATCATCAGTATAAGTTTGAGCTTGTTTAAATAATTGTAATAAATCTGATGGAACTTGATCAATGATTTTTAAATATTCTTCTAAATGTGAATTGATATCATTATAAACACCATTAATAATTTCAGTTTTATCAGCTAAGGCAATTGAAGCTAATGATAAAGCGGCTAAAGTTTGGAATCTCATTGTTGATTGGTATTTGTTTGTTGTAATATAAGCGAGTGTATATGGTTAGTATAGTATAAACTATAGAGCCAAGATTGATATAATTTGGTGATTTATCAAACCTTTTATACTTTTTGAAATCAACCCATTGTAAGACAATAATCCCAAACCCAATGTATGACAGTTTACCTAGAGGCTAGAAGTATGACATATCTCATAGCTAGCAATAGACCTTTAGCAATGAACACGTATTCTTCCAACCTCCAACCCAACATGGACCAATTAACATTATAACCAATTCACCAAATTAGGATAATCATATCACCAAATTCATATAACAAATAACAACAACAACCTTTTAGGAAACCTTTGGGAAGCTCTAAGAAACCCAACAGATATCGTTTGACTAAGTTATAACACCACCTTATACCACTTGATACCCCGATTCAAGTATTTCCTCATTTGATCAATAGACTTATACTAAATATGAACTATTAAAGATACGATCATAACTAATAAAAGTCTCAGACTGATTGGAATTTTAACCAATGAATGAGTTTTTTCATTCAACAAAGAATCGAACCATGATGGACTATGAGCTATGAGCTTATAATTCAATTGCAAACAAACACAACAGTGCTTTTGCTCTTTAATGAACATTCTTTTGTTGAGTGAGATTTTGTATATTTTGTTTCTTTGTAAAATTGTTCAAATCTATGAGAATTCTCGCTTATTGGCTTTTGCGATGGGAACCACTTTGAAAATTTATTTCATCAAAACAATGAAATCAAAGAAGACAAATAAAACTAACTATGAGTTAAGTGGTGAAGTAATAGTACTTAGTTGAATGGAATAAGATTGATATGAGGTTGGTGGTTATCATAAAATTTTACAAAAAAAGTACGATATACTACCAAATTGTTGACTCTATTATCAAGGATGATGATACTATAAACAAAAGGACAAAAATACATACAGAAACTACAAATTAAAGTAATTATAGCACAATTATATTAATTAGCAATCAGCAAATCATCATTGCAGTATATATAATATAGAATAAAAATAATCAAAACATCAAGTTTTTATGGTATATAAAAAAGTCAAGTATTAAGAATTGAAATAAATAAATAAAACTATAAGTATAACTTATTATCTTATAATAAAGCTGGAGCAGCCATCAACATAACAAATGGAATAACCATATAAGCCAATTGTCCACTTTGTTCTCTAACTGCAAAAGCACCATTTGAACTATCTCCTGAACCTCCTGAAGATGATGAACCTGATCCACCGGATCCTCCTGATGATGAACCACCTGAACCTCCTGAAGAACTACCTGAACTACCACCAGATGAAGATCCTGATCCTGATGAGCCTGATGAGCCTGAACCTTCAGATGAAGAACCTGATTGGGATCCTGATTGTGATCCTGAACCACCAGATTGTGATCCTGATTGAGAGCCTGAACCACCACCAGCACCACCAGCACCACCACTTGAAGCAGAATTAGCAGATTCAGTGATTGAAGAAACAATTGATGAGGCACTTGAACCACTTACAACAGAACCAGAAGATGATTGAGAACCTGATTCTGAACCTGATTCTGAACCTGAACCTGATGATTCACCAGTTTCTGCAGCTTGGAAAACACTTTGTAATCTTGAACTATACCAAGGTAATCCAGTTGCAAAACTTGAAACTTCATTAACATCAACTTCTGTAAATAATGAAGTATAACCTTGATCAGTATAAGTTTGAGCTTCACGATAAAGTGATAATAAACCTAATGGAACACCATTACCACCTGCACCACCACCAATATATGATAAATATTCAGCAGAATGTGCTTGAACATCACTGAAAACACCTTGAACTAATTCTGTGTTTTGTTGACCTAAAGCTAATGTAGCTAAAGCTAATTGTAAAAGGACTTGTAATTGCATCTTGTAGTAATATTGTCTTGTATGATTAAGAGTCAAAGTTCAAATTCTCATTATCCTGGAAATTTATGATATTTATACCCATCATCAAGGTTAACATTATATACATGAAATTTAGTACTTACCAAGACTTAATCTTCTCATAAACTGTCAAAGTTTTTGGTTTGTTCACTAATCAATGATGATTGGTTTAAATGTAGACAGTTATTTAATTCATAAAAGGCATTTGTATTAAAATGTGGGGAGATTTACAATTATAATGAATTTTGGTGTCAATCTTTATGGTTCTCGGTGACTAATTGAACAATATTTAACACTAGTGCAATGGAACGTCTAGACAATATACATAGAAGCTAATATATACTACGTCTATATCACTAAATAGATTGTATCATTTGTTATACCACAATATACCACTTTCTCACAATGTATTACCTAATTTGAACCCTTCAAACCCTTAAACTGATATCCTTATAAAAGAGGAGCATAATAAGCATTCATACTTAACTTAATCATACAACCGTAATACCGTACTATATACCCCAATTATACTGTTAAATAAGTCACGTAAATCGTTTTTAACCATCTTGCTTACGAACAATTGTAGAATACACGTAAATTGTACTTTATTGCCCTTTGATGACCAAATTGGGTATTAATGAAATTATTGTTAATGGCCTCGGGAAGAATAATCTGGGGTTTTACCTTAATTGAATTGTAATTAAGTTATGAATAAGGGATATATGGAATAATTAAAGTGGTGTATGTCATTAATAGAGATATAAACTGTTTTAGCGCTTGGTTAATACTTGGTTACATACTTGGTTAAGCTCGGACAGCTATATATAGGTCTTCATTTAACCGTATTTAAGTCTAAATCATCGGAACAACTGGATAATAATAAATAAACAACAATCAAGATAAACTTTACCAGTAAATTCTCATCATATACTGCAACTGATCAATATCTTGAATTATTTAGTAAAATTAAGCGTAGTTTATATACTTATCCATTCACGTGACTATAAATTATCGGTTCGCGCAGTGTTTTCATAATTAATACTCGGGTGATTTGTACTCGTATAAACAAATTTGAATGAATGAAATATTTTGAAGAGCTAGAACAATTAGAATCAAATTAAACAATGTCATTTATAATAGCATGGTATAACAAGATAGAATCCATAATAATATCAATCTTATCTTCAACAGAATTTTCAAATCATCATTTAAATAATGAAATATCTAAAAAGATCACAGTTTGGGCTATTATTATACTGGTATTAATATTGATTTATAAATTAATTTTCCAAATTGGTGTTAATTTCCAATTATGGGAATTACCTGGTAAAGAATTCTTTATTGATAAACCTGTTCATTGTGCTCATGTTTATGTTGATGGTTATGTTATTACTAATGGTGAAATAAATAATAAAATTATTTTATCAAAACCATTAAATTATCATTTAGAATTTACTATTGAAGATTTTGAAAATAATAAAGATCCTGAATTAGGTTGTACTTTAGAATTTACCAGGAAAAAATTATATTTTTTGTTTAAAGATTCTTCAATTTTCCAAGAAAAATTATCATTAAAACAACAAGAAAATTATAAAATTAATGATGTATTAGTTTATCATAAAAACAAACTATTAAAAGATGATAATAAAGCATTATGTTTATTAGGTGTTGAAACTGGTAATAGATTAAAAGTTTACTACAATTTAATATAATATCATAAAATCATAACATCACATTCATTCCAAATTTAATTTTGGAAATTCAATATTTTTATCATAAACTTGATTTTCACTCCATATCCATAATTTAATCATTTTTTTCAAATTTGAATCAATAATTTGATTATTTAATCCATCTTCATCATCATCAATATCAATTTCATCATTATTACTAGTATTTGTAGTTGTAGCTTCCTTTTTTTCATAAAATTTTTTTTATAATTTAAATCAATTAAATTATTTGAATCATTAACTAATATTGATTTATTAACTAAATCTGCTATATCTCTTCTTAATTTAAATTCAAATAATTCATTTAATCTTAATGGTAATAAATTTGAATCATTTGTTGAATATAATAATAAAGTCATTGTTAATTCTAATTCTTCCATAAATTTAACATTTTTAATAGCTTTATTTGTTAATTTTTCTTGTGCAAATTTAATAATTTTAAGGACAAATTCTTCTTGATTAAATTCAGTGGGTTCATCATCTTTTATTGAGGTTTCAGAATCACGATTTTTTCTAATCATTTCAATTAAATTTAATAACAACAATTTAAAATATAAAAAATTATTTTGTTCTAATAAATCAGGATAATTTAAATTTAATTTATTAATCCCCAATTGGATTTCACCATTCAATATATTTAATTTAATTTCATTTCTAATTTTAATACTATTTAATCCCATTATAATATTTGCCTTTATAGGTTCATCATCTTCTTCTCCTTCTTCTCCTTGTTCATCAACTTCATTATCTAAATTAATACCAATTTCTTTGGCAAATTTAATTGTGGAATTTTCATAACCTTCAAATATTAAATAATTTAAAATTAAATGATTTAATGATTGTTTATCTATAAGATTTGATTCCATTAATGAATTCCAATCAATCTCTTCTGAGCTCATCTTGTTGTATCCTTGTTCCTTGATATTATATTCTTATTCCTTGACCCGCAAAGTACCTATTATCACCAATACACCTAAACCGATAACAACTATCAAATGTTTAATTGTTTAATGGCAAATACAATGTGTTCTTATTTATATTTCTCAACCCACAAATGATAAACTCTTTTCGCGATCAAGGAGAAAAAAGGTTATTGACACGGTATAACAGGCGTGATAAATGGCAGATGGTATAACCTTTCAACTTTTTATATAAACTACAAATTTTGGTGATGGAAAACATAGAAAATTGTTTTATTTTAAGTGATTATTATGATTATACACCATGGTTAGATAATGCACCATTTTTCATGTTGTTCCATATCACTATACCTTGGATAATCAATATATCCTTCTTCACCAGGTGTATAAAAAGTTTCACGATTATATTTGGTTAAAGGTAACCCTTTTTCTAACCTTTCAGGTAAATCAGGATTTGATATGAAAGTTCTACCATAAGCTAACAATGTATTTGGGTGGTTAGTGATATCATTCAATGCAATCTCAGGATTTAAAGCATAATTACCAGCTCTAATGACCAAACCTTTCCAAAATTTATAAATAAATTCATTTGAACCTTGAGATTCATTAACACCTTCATCATCAACAAATGATGTGACTCTTGGTTCAACTATGTGGATATAAGTTATTCTCTTACCATCTTGAGCTCTTTTTTCTAATTGATCAAATATATAAGAATATAATTCAATCATCATTGGATTTTTATCACCATTCATATTTCCATAAACTCCAAAGGGTGAGAATCTAACACCGATTTTAAAAGCACCAATAGCATCAATAACAGAATCAATGATCTCTAAGATAAACCTTGATCTGTTTTCAATTGAACCACCATATTCATCAGTTCTCTTGTTGGAATTTGTATCCAAAAATTGATTCAATAAATATCCATTACAACTATGAATTTCTACACCATCAGCACCAGCTTCTAATGAATTTTCAGCAGCTTTAACATAATTACCAACATGTTCTTTGATCTCTGGGATTGTTAAACCATGAATAGGATTACCAACTTCCAAAGCAGCTTGTTTACTTGTCTCATCCATATAATTATCATCACTAGCACCAACAAATTTTAATCCATCATTAGCTAACACCCCAGGCCATGATTGCCAACCTAAATTCCATAATTGTTGAAATGAAAAAGATCCATTATCATGAATTTTTTTATGAATTGGTTTCCATGCCTCAATTTGTTCTTGGGTGAATATACCTGGGGCAACTTTAATACCACCTGATTCTGGTGAAATGAAAGTACCTTCTGTAATTATTAAAGTACCTGGTTTTTGGGATCTTTGATTATAATATTCAATCATTTGTGCTGTGGGGGTATAGTTATCACTTCTACCACGGGTTAAGGGGGCTAAGACAACTCTATGTTTTAGTTCAATTGAACCAAGTTGGATTGGTTTGAAAAGGTTGGTATCTTTGAATTGGATGGGGTTATCTGTTCTGAATTGCATTATTATAAAGCTTAGCTATATTTGTACCCTCTATAGCTATAATTCATCATTAATTCAGTCATTATGGTCTCTATTTATACTCAAAACATGAGTTTCTGCTAATCATGGTGAGATATAATGTTAACATTCACATAATTTCGATTCAAGTCAATATTTTATTCTACTCCGAATATCAACGTTATTTCCGTGACTGAAAAATTCGGATTTAATATGTATGGAACATTTTTGGAAAAGTTTTATATGGGAGTCGTTGGGGACTTTAGGGAATTTAATGGATTTAAATAAAAGACGTTCTGAGATCAACATTGGTTAATTACATGTGATCAGGATCTTATAGAGTGCTATAGTGCAGTATTTGGGCTTCTAGAATCTCGTGGGACCTTATTTAATGTCAATTAAAGGTGAAATATGATGAGCCTAGTACCTACATGTGATATCTTACCTCTATCCCAAAAGTCTATCATAACATTAATCATCTATATATATGCAATTATTTAATCAGCTATAGTACACAAAGCTTTCTAGTTCAATTTTAAATCTTCAACTTTTTCAGCTTTTATAGCTTCTTCATAAGTTGGATAATCAGTATAACCCTTAGCATCTGGATTATAGAAAGTATTACGATCATAAGCATTTAATGGTAAACCTTTTTCTAATCTATCAACAATATCTGGTGTAGAGATAAAAGTTCTACCATAAGCTAATAAAGTATTTGGTTTAGAAACATCAGTTTTAGCATTATCTGGATATGAAGCATAATTACCAGCTCTAATAACATTACCTTTCCAAATATCATAAATAAAATTATTTGAACCTTCAACTTCATTAACACCTTCAGCATCTGCAGGTGATGTAACTCTTGGTTCAACTAAATGAATATAAGCTAATCTTTTACCTTGTTGAGCTCTTTTTTCTAATTGTGCAATAACATAAGCGTATAAAGCAATGAATTCTGGATCATTTTTACCAGTCATATTACCAAACCAACCATATGGTGATAATCTAATACCAACTTTTTCATTACCAATAGCTTCAACAAGTGCATCAACAACTTCTAATGTGAATTTAGCTCTATTTTCAATTGAACCACCGTATTCATCAGTTCTTTTGTTTGAATTTGGATCTAAGAATTGATTTAATAAATAACCATTAGCTGAATGGATTTCAACACCATCAGCACCAGCTTCTAAGGCATTTTTAGCAGCTTTAACATAGTTGGCAACATGTTCTTTAATTTCTGGAATTGTTAAACCATGAATTGGATTTTTAGCATCTAAAGCAGCTTTTTTACTATCTTCATCCATATAAACATCTGTGGTGGCACCAATATATTGTAAACCATCTTCAGCTAAAGCAGCTGGCCATGATTGCCATCCTAAATTCCATAATTGTTGGAAAACAAATGATTTTTGATCATGAATAGCCTTGTGGATTGGTTTCCAAGCTTCAATTTGTTCTTTAGTGAAAATACCTGGAGCTGGTTTATAACCAGCAGCTTCAGCAGAGATAAAAGTACCTTCTGTGATGATTAAAGTACCTTCTCTTTGAGCTCTTTGACCATAATATTTAGCTGATAATTCAGTATTTGGAACATAGTTTGTTGAACGTAAACGAGTTAATGGAGCCATAACAATTCTTTGTTTTAATTCAGCTGAACCAACATTGATTGATTTGAATAAATCAGTATCTTTGAAAGCAATTGTTTTATCGTCTCTGAAAGGCATTTTGTAATTTGTATTTATAATGTATAGTTGTATAATTGATGAACTTAATACATGTTACTTTAAAACTTCAATTGGATATCATCATGACTTTATATAGATTTAGTTCAACTCTCGTATTTCTAATCAGGTTTAAATTCCAGGTTCGTATGTAAGTAGTTCATCGGTATATGGAGATAATTCTTAGAAGAGTAAAGATTTTTCCTTCTTTATGCGGATTTCTAAAGGAATCCAGCAGCGTTCTTGTACTTTAAATCTATCACATAACCGATGTCAAATATATCCTTGCTTGAACTTACACTGCAAAAGTAATTATTTTTTTATAGTAGATGTCATAATTATTGCGTCAAAACTCCGTGGATAGTTGGGCAAATTAGTAATATGATATAGTACGGTGTACGTCACTGGTTAATTTTTAGACCTAGATCACGTCAAAGAGTTTGAATTAGATCGTACGATTCAATTGGTGAGACATTGCACACTCTAGTGGATTCTTTAACTGATAATTTTCAAAGTAATTTTAGAACACAGGGTTCTATTTGGTCACTTCAAAGTTCATCGCTATACATTTCAAATTTCAATCGGATAAACTTCAAAACTTTTGCGCAATTCGACGCTCGCTCACAAACGGATTCCCGACGAAATTTTAAAAGTTTCTTTTTAATGCGCCAGAAGAAAAGAATACTACGCAAATTACGCCAAAATTACAAAAAAGGTAAGAAGTGCAAAGAAAACGCCAAATCTCACCTCTTAATTAGGAAATTCGAAACCGACACGTAACGGTTTTTCAACGGAGAATTAAAAATTTATAGCCGATGTAACTAAATACAGAAAACTAAAATATCATGAATGCGTTAGACTTCCGCCTTAAGCACATAACGGAGATTGAAGTTTAAACTATAATTTATAATCAATCATCTTTTGTGTCAAAAATTTATGCTTTTAAATAGATGGTTGATCTTGTATAAGGGTTTAAATTTCTGGATTTTGCTATGAATGCACTTGTATATAATTACTATAGGATCATGAATCATGAATGTCATAATTCATCACTAGACAAGCTTATAATCTTGAACGGGTTAATTGATCGTGTCCGGTTGAACGAATTCGCTTGACACATGGTAGATCAATACTCAATATATATTTCTTGTAAATAAAAGTCACCTCGCTCATTTTTTAATCTACAAATGAAATTAACCCGTCATGATCTATATCTTAATTCAAATATACACAAAATATACCATTGACTCAAGATCTTCACCAAAATTATGAACTAGTTGATTTCTTAGCCTCTTCATAAGTTGGATAATCAGTATAACCTTTAGCATCTGGTTGATAGAAACTATTACGATCATAAACATTCAATTGTAAACCTTTTTCTAATCTATCAACAATATCTGGAGTTGAAATAAAAGTTCTACCATATGCTAACAAAGTATTTGGTTTTGAAGAATCTTTTAATGCAATATCAGGATATTGAGCATAATTACCAGCTCTAATAACATTACCTTTCCAAATATCATAAATGAATTCATTTGAACCATCAACTTCATTAATACCTTCTGGATCAAATGGATTTGTAACTCTTGGTTCAACTAAATGAATATAAGCTAATCTATTACCATTTTGAGCTCTTTTTTCTAATTGAGCGAAAACATAAGCATATAAAGCTAAAAATTCTGGATCTTTTTTACCAGTCATATTACCAAAATAACCAAATGGTGATAATCTAATACCAACTTTTGAAGAACCAATAGCTTCAACAACTGCATCAACAACTTCTAATGTAAATCTTGCTCTATTTTCAATTGAACCACCATATTCATCAGTTCTCTTGTTTGAATTTGCATCTAAAAATTGATTTAATAAATAACCATTTGCTGAATGGATTTCAACACCATCAGCACCAGCTTCTAATGAATTTTTAGCAGCTTTAACATAATTGGCAATATGTTCTTTAATTTCTGGGATTGTTAATCCATGAATAGGATTTTTAGATTCTAATGCAATTTTTTTACTTTCTTCATCCATATAATTATCTGATGTTGCACTGATATATTTTAAACCATCTTTTGCTAAAACATCAGGCATTGATTGCCAACCTAAATTCCATAATTGTTGGAATGAAAAAGATCCATTATCATGAATAGCCTTATGGATTGGTTTCCATGCTTCAATTTGTTCATTGTTGAAAATACCTGGTGCAGTCTTATAACCACCAGCTTCTGGTGAAATGAATGTAGCTTCTGTTAAAATTAAAGTACCTGGTCTTTGAGATCTTTGACTATAATATTCAGCCATTAATTCAGTATTTGGAACATAATCAACATTTCTCATACGAGTTAATGGAGCCATAACAACTCTATGTTTCAAATCAACAGGACCAACAGTGATTGGTTTGAATAGATCTGTATCTTTAAAAGCAATTGTTTTATCATTTCTTAAAGCCATTGTGTTTTATTGTATATCTTCTATAATTTGTGTGCGAACTCCATCTCTCATCTCATTTCAATACCAGAGGAGTCTAATCATTTATATACCCTTGTTCCACTTGGTATACTTCAAATTTTGATTTCTAATCAAATAAATCAATCATTTTGTGGGCTTTGATTCAATTTGAAAAATCATGCATAATACATATAGAATTGAAAAGAAAACATGAGAACTAAACAAACACCTCAATTGGGAAAGTCACTGATAAACTATAACATTGATATTTTCAGTACAACCATACAATCCACTTCCTCTGTCTTTCATGCTCCTCTATATTTAAGAATAAACAATCAATCAACTTTCAATCGTTCAGCTTTTGAATATCTGAGCTCTTTCAACCGATATCAAAATTTTAAACTTTTAAATTTTGCGCCAATTTTCACCAAATGCCGATCATCCCATAATTAATTTTCCGATCCTTGCATAATTAAAATAAGAAACCCTACAAAATTGAATTAATATTACAATTAATATCACAATTAATAATATATGTAATGCCATAAAATGTTATAATAATCATCATTCAAAAATTAAACGTTAACGTATACTATATACTAAGCAAATAAAAAAAAACATTATAATGCACCTTTTCTTAAAACCACAAATCATTTAAATCATAAATCTTTAATATTCATCTCTGTTCTTATCGCTTCTTTTTTGTTCATTTGAGATGTTGGGGGACCTACATCTTCATTCCATAATATTTATAAATACCTCTTTCAAAATCTCCAAATACTTCATGAGCATTAAATAAAATCCCCTTTGAAACACTAATTTTTTTATTTACATTTTTAAGGAAATCTGGTTGTTTTAAAATCTTGAATAATTTTCTACCCGTATTTATATCATATTCCACAAGACCAATTTGTGATAAATTATCTGGATTTCTTTCTTGGTCAACTTTAAATAACCAACCTCTTCTACCTAATGAATCATAAGTTTTCCATATGATTTCCTCGTGATTTTCATTTCTTGTTATGAATTTCCCACCCATGGAATCTATATCATTTATAGTTTTAATGGAAAATTCAAATGCAATTAATGATGGACAACAATTTAAAAATTGAGGATTATCTAAACTCCATCTATTCATAAATCTATTATTTGATAAATCTAAGAATTCTAATCTTTGATAAAAATTTGAATTTATAGTTTTTTCATCCTCAGGAGGTTTTAAAAATTCAATTAATTGTTCAATTTCAATTGAATTATTTGCTATTGATAAACTTTTCAAATTTACAAATTTCCTCTTTATAAGCATTAAATTTTCAAAACTAACATCTAATCCACCAAGATTTAAATAAACAAAATCACAATCCAAGATTTTTAATAAAAAAGTTAATTGATTATTATTTAATGGAGAACTTGTTGATGAATCACATTGTAAATTAAGCCAAACTAATTTATTACATGTAATTGCCGGGTGATTTATGAAAAAATTAATTAGTTCTCTTGTTGTTAATTGAATACAATATGATAATGATAAATGAGTTAATTTTGCAGTATGTGGTATTAGATTCAATATGGTGGAAGTTATTTGAGTATGAGTTAAATCTAATTTTTTCAAATTTGGTAAATTAACAATTAATTTCTCCAAGATGGATGGAGTTAAATCTGTACAATCATGTAATGAAAGATCTGTTATATTATAATTTGCAGGTTTTTTAATGATTAATTGATCAAAATTTGAAACAAACATTTCACCAGAACAACCACAAAAATCAATTGATTTTAAATATTTCATATTATTAAATAAATGATATAATAAATCTGAATTTAAATCATCTTTAATATTTTCACTTGCTAAAAATTCAATTAAATTCGGAGTTTTCAAAAGACAATTAAGGATTGTTGTAGAAGTAACCATTTGAATTTCTTTATTCATTTTACCAGTTCTTCCTAATCCAATTGAAGTGAATTCTTGGAAATCTAATACTTGAACATATTCACCTAATTTTGGATTTTTCAATAATGAATTTAAGAAAATATCAAAAGTATGAGGAGTTTTGAATGAACAATATTTATAAATAATCTTAATAACACATCTATAGAAAACTTTATTAACAGTCAAATTAGATTTAATAAAATATTGAATATTGAAAGAATTTGATGAAGTATTATTTAATAATAATTGATAAAATTGGAATGTTAAAATTTTCAATAAAATTTCAGCAGGAAATTGAATTTCTTTAGAATTGTTTTCATTATCATCATGATTATTGTTGATTGTGAAATGCCGGAATGAATCGTCCATACCAATATAGTAGTAGCAGCTCTCTTATTAATTATTCACTTTTTCTTTATAAATGAAGGATGGCAATTGAACATATGTGGGGGCATTAATATAAGCCGTGAAGGGGAACAACAAAAAACAAGAATCAGCCAAACAGCACCTTGATTAACAGCACAGTACCAGCCAACACCAACAATCACCAAACAATTGAAACCCAGTTGAAAAACCAACCAAAACCCAGTTAAAATGCAATGATTCTTATTGTTAAAATTGTTAAAATGTAAACAAATAATTTTTTTTTTTGCAATGAAATAAAAAAATTGAATTCCGGTATTTTTCAAATCAAAGAAGTCGGAAGTTGGAAGACATATAAACTTGATTCAAATAATCACATTTCCATCAAAATATTTCAAACTTGATCGAACAAAGGAGATGGAAGACTTAGCTCATAGACTATTCCATGAAGAGACACGATTAGATTTTATCAACTGTGTTCATTGAAGAAGTTCTAGCCTAATATGAACGTTCCACAGGGAAGTCATGAAGAGTTGGAACAAAGATCAGCCCATGAAGGTGCCAAAAGAAGGCGTGTTACTCGAAACAGTAACAAACAGAGAGATCAAGTATCAGGCTCAGATGATATTGCAAGTGGTGAGCTGGATCAAGTTGGTCAAGGTGGTCACAACTCATCTACTAATAATTCAAACTTAATGGTTCTAAAAACCACTTCAATTCATGAAATTCTTCATCATAAAAAATGTATTTATTTCCAAAAATTAAATGAAAGAAACACAATACCTAAAGCATCAACACCTACTAGTGAAAAATTTCTTATGAATTCCAAAAGATTTCTTCGTGCATTATCAAAATATTTAAAAGATGAAAAATTTAATCAACATTTTCTATACATTTTAAACAAAGATGAAAAAATATTTATCAAACTTTTTGATTTTTTAAATTTAGCTAGATTAAAAGATCATGAAGAATCTGGATATGTATTGGATCCTTTAACAATGTTAGATAGATATAGACTTGGTTCTATTGAAGAGTTACCAATTGAAGAAATCGATGAAATGCAAGGAAAAGAATTTTCGAATGAATTGAAAATTTTAACCATTATTCAAACTTTTAATTTTCAACAGAAAGATATTAAAGATAGAGTTAATATACCCAAGATTTATTGCTCTGGCGAATTAAAGATTGTAAGTTCAAAGTTGGATAATCATTGGGGAAAATACATTGCAATGGAACTTATTGATAATGTTAATGAGAAACCTCAAACAGAAGCCCAATTTAGATCTTTGAGAACTCAATTAGATAATTTACATAGTTCTGGTATTCATCATGGGGATGTTCATGAAAGGAATTGTTGTGTCATGGGAAATAATGAAACTATGTTGTTTGATTTTGGTAGAAGTTGTCTAGTTAAAGATTTAAAGAAAAAATCAAAATATTGTTTGAGAAAAACTTGTGAAGATTATAAGAATCTTGAAGATATGATGAAAAAAACACAATTTGTAAAGAGTTGATATAATCTACATAAATATTGTCCAATACATGATAATATGCAATTTAATTTCTATATATTTAATTGATATCCTTGATTGGTATTAACAATTGAAATCTTTGTCTAAGCTAATTATTCATTATAAATTACAATAATTATTGATGATATTTATATTGGGACATAATATTTTGAATGATTGATTGTACGTTATTACGTGTAGAATTTTCTCTTAATTTCTTCCTGTTTTTATATGAGTTTAATTATAATTTGAGTTTATAAATACATGGTACTTCTTTGCATGAAGCTGTTTTGATTGTGGAATTCCGGACTTAATTATACCAAAAATAATGAATTAAATATCAGAATTGTAAAAAATCAATTATATATTTGACACAATTAATACCAGCTGTGTTCATTGAAGGAATTTTAACCAAACAATATGAACAATCAAGAGGAGATGGAACAAAGATCAGCCCATGAAGGTTCCAAAAGAAGACGAGTTGATGGCGATGTCAAAAGAAGAGTTACTCGGAACAGTAACAAACAAAGAGATCAAGTATCAGGCTCAGATGATCTTACTGGTGGTGGGCTGGATCAAGCTAGATATGATGACCACAACTCATCTGTTAATGATTCAAGTTTGGCTTCAAGTAGCACTTCAGATTACAAAATCCTTCATCATAATGAACGTATTCTTTTGGGAAGCTCAGATTCTAATTTTGCTATTACAGAAATTCCAGAAGCATCAACACCTACAAGTGAAAAATTTCTAATAAAATTAAAAGATTTTAACAATACAATTGAAGATTACATAAAAGATGAAAATTCAAAACAAGCAATATTAAAGAAGTTACAATTAAAGTCATCGTCAAAAAATCAAAATAATACCAAAATCTTTCTTAAAGTCTTTGACTTTAATAACCTTGATTATTTAAAATTATATCTAGAAACATATGAGTATTTAAACAAATCGTTTACAAAAGCTGATGAACATAGATTAGGCACAATTGATGGATATTCTATTAGTGAAATCAATGAAATGCAAGAAAGAGAATTCGCAAATGAATTAAATATTTTATCCATCATTCAAGCTTTTAATGCTAAACAAAAGGAATCCAAAGATAGAATTAACATACCTAAAATTTATTGTTCTGGTGACTTAATTATTATGAGCTCAAAGATTGGAAGCCATCGGGGTAATTATATTGCCATGGAACTTATTGATAGTGTTAATGAAAAACCTAAAACAGTAGCACAATTTAAATCTTTGAAAACCCAATTAGATAATTTACATAGTTCTGGTATCCATCATGGTGATGTTCATGAAAGAAATTGTTGTGTTGTGGGACGTGGTAAAGTTATGTTATTTGATTTTGGTCAAAGTTGTTTAGTTAAAGATCTTGAGAAAAAATCAAAAAATTGTTTGAATAAAACTTGTGAAGATTATAAGAATATTGAAGAAATGATGAAAAAGTACAAGATTGATAATATAAATACTTGATTCATTTATTTGATTAGCTAAATATTAAGCTTTAATATATAATTTATTACTCATTTCTATGTATTGTATTGATATCCTTGATTGAAGTTAACAATAGAGGTCTTTAGCCTTTTGAACCAATTATTGAATACATTATCATCTTTTGGTGATAACCCTTTGATTCAAATGGATTGTATGATTGTATTGTTTTTCTCCTTTTTTGAAACCAATTATTTGAATTTCATGAGTTTATTTAACTTTATTTGAGTTTATTTAACTTTATTTGAGTTTATTTAACTTTATTTGAGTTTTTTGGAAATTTTCAGATTTGAGTCATCTGATTGATATAATCTGGGGTTGATTGATTCTTAGTTAAATGTAACTATAATTATTTTGAGTCTAGGTCTTGCTCTTGTTATTAATCCTTTTTTGTGTCTTGATAATTCAATTGTTATATTGTAGCTATTGATCCAACTTTGTCTGAACAACTTCAATCAACTTCAACCTATAATCACCTAACAATAACCCCTCCACACCAGCCCACCCTACACAAAAACCCCAATCCCATATTTCAAAACCCCATAAACCTTCTCTAAATTCCCACCTAATAGTAACCATTTTGAATCATTACTAAAATTTTTTAATAATCCAATAATCAATTCCATAATTTGAACTAATCCATTAATGATAATATATAAACTTATTATAATTAGACTTGAACATATGATTAGCAAGATTATGGATCTTATGAATAAAGGTTTTGATGAAAGGATTGTATGAATGAATTGTAAAGATATTGTTAATCTTGATTGTTCTTGGTTTGATGATGATCTTTCATTTTTTGGTAAGAAGTTTATTGGATTATGATGGATTATTAGTTGATTTGAATCATTTGGTTTGAAATAATGAGTTTTATTTGATTTTAATAGTTTTTTGAAGTTTTTGGATTTTGTTTTAATTGAATTTTTTAATATTGATAATGACATATTTGAATAATAAGATATTCTAATACTTGAATAGATTAATAGGAGATGTTCTTATCAATTAAATCAAGCTATTTTCCATTTTTATAACTATATTTGGTTTCTTATTAACCCTTCTTCTTCATCTTCTTCTTGTCTTCTTAGATTAAGCTTTCTTTCAAAACTTCTTTTCATCTCATGATTTAGATCAAAGATCAAATCAAAAAAATGGCTGGTTATAAAAATGATAAGCACACTACTCTCAAATTACATAATATATACAAAATACAAAATACTAATATAAAACTTATAATTTAAAAAACCAAAATATACAGAAAATTTAAAAACCTAATTTACAATAAAATATACACTCCAATTAACCATATGTACCCACCACCATATCATATAATCATAAAAACCAAAAAACAAGAAATAAAAGTATTAGACAATTAATGAGCTGTTAAAGTTGGATATAATTGTTTTTTTGATTCTTTTAGATCATCTTGTTTGTTGTTTTCTTCATTAGCTTTTTTAATCAATTCTGATAATTTTAATTGAATTAAAGAAATTAATTCTTTATGTTTTGATATTTCATTAATCTTAATATTTTGGAATCCAGTAGTTAATTCATCAATTTCATCTTCTGAGATTTCACCATCTGTTGAAAATTCAGATTCATCAGATTCATCGTCATCATCTCTGTTTGTTAATTTTGTAACATTATTTGATTTTTGATTTATACCAATGTTATAACGACGTTGATTATCATTTAATGAATCAAATCTATTACCAATTTGTGGATAATTGAAATTATTTGATGATGATAATGAAGGATATAATGAATTTGAATTTAATTGAGGTAATTGAGCTTGTTGTTGTTGTTGTTGTTGTTGTTGTGGGACTTGTTGAGTTTGTTGCTGGGTATTAGTTGGGAATTGTTCTAAAGAAGCAGATAATTGATTAAAAAATGAATTTGTATCATATAATTCTTGATTTGATTTATAAAATTTTGAAGATAATGGAGGTAATGATAATTCATTATTTAAATTAAATTCTAATGAATTTAATTTTGAAATCATTTCATTATTATAACGTGGTTGAATCTTGGATTTTTTAACATCTTCAAAAAATTGTGAAACCATTTCTGGTTTTCTTTTTCTTGATTGATCAAATGATTCATAATCATTTAATACATTATCAAAATTTAAATCAAATCCTGAACCATAAAGACTATTAGAACCATTAACAACACCATTTTGATTATTAGTCATATAACCACCTTGAACTTGAGATCTTTGTTGTGGTGGTTGTTGAGGTGCTTGTGGTTGTTGTTGTGGTGGTGGTTGTTGTTTTGTTTGTCTATCAGCATGAGTCTTGATATGTTTTTTCAAATCTTGAGGTCTTTTAAATTTTTTGGTACATGTAGTACAAACAAATGGTTTTAATGGAATATGAACTCTTAAGTGTGAAGTAATATGATCTCTTTTAACAGTTTGAACTTTACAACCATCCCAATCACAATTTAAATTTAAATTTCTATTTGATTTACGACCAACATGATCATCACATAAATGATTATAAAGCATTTCTGCATTAACAAAAATTTCTTTACATGACCCCCATTTACACATGATTGGACCTTGATGATCATCATCTTTATTTTTTCTTAAATATTTTAATTTTTTTGGTGCTTCATTAATTGAATTTGTTGCAGTTGTATTTGCATTTGGTAAAAGGACTTTTGGTTGAGGTAAAGAAGGATAAGATTGTTGAGCGAAAATAGAGTTATTATTGTTATTCAAATCTAATATAGCACCTAATGAAGGGATACTATTGTAACCATTGCCACTGTTGTTACCGCCGAATGAAGAACCAGTATAATTTGTATTTGAATTTAAATTATAATTATAACCAGAAGTAGAATCTAATGAAGTATTATGAGAATTCATATGATTATTTGGAGGAGAATCCATTGATGAAACAGAAGTGGTATAAGATTGTGGTGAGTTTGAATTTGGTGAATTTGAATCATTTGAAGATTCTGTTGCCTTGGATTCATGACGTTGTTGGATATGTTTATCATTTAAAGGGTTTAAGAATTCATCTGATAATTTCATTGCAGGTAAGTTTGGTAAAGTATAGCTATCTTTAAATAAATTTGTCATAGCGATGTGTTGATATTGACTACTCCCATAAAAAAACTTATGAAAAACAGGATTTGAGAAATTCAATCATTTTTAAACCTTTACTTAACGCCAAGTAAAATTACAACCTTTTTAAAAAAAAAGTGGTGAAGTTAAATTTAAAAGGAAAAGAAATTGGGAGTGGATTATGTAATTGTAACTACTGTGGATTATGTAATATAGCCATCACGTTTTTGAATTTGAAATTTCTTGGTAACGGGGACGACTGCGCCCCAGAAATTTACCCGGTGTTTAAATAATTGATGATGTAATGATGATGTAATACAAATTTAATAATCATGTGACTATCTGATCATGTGATTATTTTTAAATTATTTTTAAATTATTTTTAGTTTGTTTTGTTTTGTTTATTATTTATTGTTTATTGTTTCTTTATTATTTTATTTTTCCATTGTTTGTTTTTGTTTTGATTTTAGTTCAGCGGTTAATTTAAACATCACCAGATTTCAACAATACAATACAATCAACAGCGGTTAACTATTAAATTAATTATATTAGAACTAAACTTATATATGAACTAAAAAACAAAATTATATGCAATTTTTAAACAACCACTACCACTCTCACTCATTGGTAACTCTCAATACTCTTCTACTATAATCTAACTCATCAGCAAGACTTTTCCTACTACCATTCTCCCAATTCATAAACATCTGTCTAGGATCTAATCTTTGATCAACAGTCATAAAATCACCATTACTTCCAGGATTCATTGTAATATCTGAATTTTGTGGATTATGTCCATGAAATTGTCCATATGATCCATATCCATTCCCACCATTTGGTGATCCATTACCCAATTTTTCATTTGTAAGGGAATTAATACTATCATCATCTAATCCTATTGCACCTGCTCCATTAACACCTTTCTCCTCGTCATCATTTCTTTTCTTAAAACAACAACAATATAATAATGTTGATAATAGGGCAAGGATAACTACACCAACTGCTGTAAAAGTACCTGCAACTTTCCCCTTTGAATCGAAAAATCCATCTTTATTTTTATTTTGGGTATCATTAGAATCATTACTATTATTTGTTTCATTATTTGAATTATTTGTTGATGGATTTGTTGATGGTACACCTGTTACTGTTGTTACAATTTGTGTTGTTGCTTGAGTTTGTGCTGAACCGGTTATAGTTCTAACTGAATAAATAATTGAAGTTTGTGGTGTTATTGATGTTGATGATTGTTTTGTAGAACTTGTGGTTGAACTTGTAGTACTTGATGTGGATGAGGAACTTCTAGTACTTGTTGATGATGTTGTGGAACTTGTTGTGGAACTTGTTGTTGGTGATGTTGATGATTGAGTTGAAGATTCTTCTGTTGTTGAACTTGATGTTGTTTCTTCAGATGTAGTTTCTGATGTACTTGGAGGTTGAACCCAGCTTGAACTTGATTGTTGAGTAGTTGAAGTTGATGAAGAACTTGTAGAGGTACTTGTTGATGAGGTACTTGTTGATGTACTTGATGATGAAGTTGAAGTTGAAGTACTACTTGTACTTGTACTTGTTTCACTTGTGCTTGATTCACCACCATCTGTACTACTAGCTTGCCCTAATTGAATATATCCATATAATCCTTTATCTTCATTCCCACAATAATCTGAAGGATAACCAGGACATTTATCAGAACAATCTGATGTATCACTTGTATCATCTTTTGATGGTTCAACATTGGAACACCAACAATTTGAACCTTGTAATATAGCAAATGAATAACCTTCACATTCATCTTTACATGCACCATTTGATTGATATGTATTAAAATTTGCTGATGTTGAACCTGTGTTTTTTGATGAACATAATGATAAATTTGCCCAAGAATAATTTATTAAGAATAATAATCCAATTAAATGTAGATAAATCATTGTCCTTGGTATTATTTAATAACACTATGAGTATATGGATACTATGAGTATAATGAACAATGTTTCTGGTGATTTGGGTTCTTGTTTTGTTTTATACCAACCCCCTTTGTAGTTTTATTTAAAGATTATATTTATGTTTTTTTTTTTCTCAAATCTCCCTTTAATTTAATCTCCCAAAATTTCAACAGTTGTATTTTGAGAAAAACTTTAAATACGTTGAGCCTAAAAAGTTCAAAACTGAGATTTGAATAATATGAAATGAGAATGTAAAGGGATAAAACTTGAAGAATAACAATTAACTTTATTAAAGAGATTGAAAAATTCAAATCAAAATCTTTCAATGTTCAATTTTGTTTGATATCTTGATGTTTTGATTTCAAAGTATAAGTTTTTTTCCTTGTTGATCAAAGTTTCGAATTTGTTTGTAAGAAATTTATTTTTGAAAAAAACGTAACTTCAAATGTTCTACACATTCGAGAGGATATATTTTTAAATTACCGAGAAGCATTTGAATTTCTATTAATAACTGAAATCTAACACGCAAGATTTCAATAATAAACACACCTTACGTACAACCATCAGTTCATAAACAACTCTTCCTATACCTCATCAAAAGCTCATTAGTCAAGTTTTCTTTCATGTACTTCAAAAACTTCACTTGCAACATTTTACAACTTCACCTCTTTAAACAAAGAAAACTAGTACTAGGCGCTGGTTGTAAATTTTTAAATTTCTTAAAAAAGTAATTTTGAATTACGCAAATCGGTAAACTTTAATACTTAAAAGGGCATAAAGGACTATAAAGTTATGTATAATATTTACATGAAGCTCGGGAAACTCGCTAAGGTGAATTTAAAAGAGCACGGTTCGGGACACTTGGATTGCTAGATTTGGCACATGGATGTACAATCGGATACATATGGAATTTCCTAATTGGGACGACTGACAGATTTGGCCTATACTTATACTATTAGGCTATTTGTATAACAAAGGATTAGTATCTTATGATAAATAGCTTGTTCTTTAATTTAGTACCTGGTTTGATAAGTTTTGATCACCATAGCTTTAGGTAGTACAGGGACTTTATACAGGATGGGGATCAAATATAATTACTTAAAGGGGATTATGATCAGGTCTAAAATAGGATACGTTAGACATTGGTGTTTAGAGCTGTATGAGATTTAATCGATATGTAAACAATGGATATTTGTGGAGAACTAAGCTCCTCACAGAATATAAAAAAAACATTGATATATTAGTATATACTTATAATTTATATAAAAATTGTTCAAGAAATAAAATGATTAAAGTAGATTAATTTATATAAAAATGAGTTGGAAAGATTAAAATTAAATAAAAAGGGGAAATTAAAAATTGAAATAAAAGACTTATAAGTGGATTTATTCAAAAGCTTTTTTAACTCTTCTGAATAATGATGGTTTTTTTTCAATTTTAGAATCAGTTGTTGGTTTTGGTTTTGGTTTTGATCCATTAGTACCAGTGGTACCTGTAGTACTAGTCTTTGGTGTAGTCTTTGGTGTTTCTGTTTCTTTTGTTTCCTTTGTTTCTTTATCTTTTGAAGTTGTTGTGATTGATGGTTTTGAATCTTTTGTAACACCACTTGCACCACCTGTAGTATCTTTAACATCTAAATCTTTTGAATCTTTATCATTTGAAGTTGAATTTTTTGGATCAAGAGTTTTTGAATCATTTTCTAATGGAGTTGAAGAAATAACAACTTCTTCACCAGTTTTTTTATTTCTTCTAATTAATTTTTTAACTTTAACAATTTTTGTCTTGGATTCTTCAGATTCTTCATTTTTAGATTCATTTAAATCTTTATTTAATTTTTTGGAATCAACATCACGAATTTGTGTAAATTCTTCAATATCTTTACCATTTTTTTCGGGGACAACAATACCTGGTTCACCTTTAATTGTGGAATGTTTACCTTCTTGATTTGGTTCAACTTGAGTTTTGAAAACATTTGAATCATTTTCCTTATCTTCACCATTTAATTTAGCGTTTAATTCTTTAGCATCAACATTTCTAACTTCATTAAAAGCAGAGATTTGATGAGGATCTGATGGGATTGCAATACCTGGTTCACCTTTAATTGTAGCATGATTACCTTCATTTGATGGTAAAACTGTAGCTTTAACTTCTTTTTTACTTAAATCTTCACCAGATTTTTCAGCTTTTTCATTATTTAATTTTGCATTTAATTCTTTAGCATCAACATCTCTAACTTCATTGAAAGCAGAAATCTCATGAGGATTTGATGGGATTGCAATACCTGGTTCACCTTGATGTTGAACTTGTTTACCTTCTTGAGATGGTAAAACTGTAGTATTAACATCTTTTGAAGAAGTATCTTTATCTTTTGAAGTTGATGATAAACCTAATGCTGCAGCACCTGCACCAACAGCACCTGCAATACCAGCAGTTAATCCACCAGCTTCAGGGATTTTACTACCTTTTGAATTTGATTCAACTAAATTCTTCAAATAAATAACATTATTTAAATTCCCATTATCATCAATAGTTTCATATGAATCATTTGTTGTCCAATTCCCATCAACAATGAATTTGAATTCAACTTTATCATCTTGTTGTTGTTCTTTTTTCAAAGGTAATGTGATTTCAAAATCTCCTTTGGAAGTTTTAACTAAAGGTAAAGAACTTGACCAACTATCAAAAGTACCAGTTAATATCACTTCTTGTGGACCTTTTGGCCTGGGAAAAAGAAGATATAGTTAGTAAAACCATTAATATATCATAATGATCACCTTAGAATCTCATTAATTGTCAATTGTTTGGGATGGTAAGAGTAATTTACCTCATAGCAATATAATTTCGGTGGCACCTAAAGTTAAAACCCGTCAACCCCAGACCACCAACTCAATTCAGCTCCAAACCAATCGAAACAATCAAACAATCAACACCAACTAGGGTAAACTCAATGCGTACTTACCAATGGAATGTATGGTTATAGCTCATTATTACTAGTTTATTTGGTTTAATAGGAATTATCAATGTCCTTTATCTTCCTTGTTTTTCCTTGTTTTAGATTGTTTTTTTTTTTGGATTTCTGAATTTTTAAAAAAGTGAGAAATCGGTTAGGGACATATTGATATTGCTTAACTATGGGGTTTCATGGGTTTTACAAGGTTTTGAAATGGTTATAGTTGTTTGATTGAGCTGATAATTGGTGGAGTTATAGTAAATAATTAGAGGAATCTTCTCGTTTTTTAACCATCCAATTCTGAGCTTTTCAGCCCGAGGTGTGTCTTATCAGCTGCACTTCATTTGTTCCTGACATGGACATGGGAATTAATTGAAATATTTAGAATCCCTGGTAATTCATGGTTATTTAGCGTAAAAACATGGTTTTAATTGATAGATAGGGGTAATACTAGTTGAATAATCAATAGATAATATTATTTTGGTATGCTATCACATAAAATACCCTTCAAAATCCATAAAACGTACTAAAAATCTCTATGAAACTGTCAATTTAGTGCTGTGTAAACCGTTTCGGGAAAAAAAATTGTGTTTCGTATTGAAATGTTGAAGAATTTAAAGAAATTAAAATAAATTTTAGTGATATTTGGGAGTTTTTAGTACGTTGGATCCATTTCAGCCTTTGAAACGTTTGTTGATTTAAGCGAGGTTATAATCTTATTTGAATTTGTTCTGTGTGGAGCTCAGTTATTCAAAACCTTTTCAATATCCATAATATACTTCTATTTAATACCCAAGCCTCAAATCAAGAAACATATACAGATACCAGAATTTTTAAATAATGGAAACACAACGCAAAATATCATTCAATGTCTCTGATTTCTATCAAATCCAAGAAATCGTAGGAGAAGGTGCTTATGGTGTTGTTTGTTCAGCTATTCATAAACCAACAGGTACAAAAGTTGCAATTAAAAAAATTTTACCATTTGAAAAACCAATGTTTTGTTTACGTACCCTTAGAGAATTAAAATTATTAAAACATTTTAATAATCATGAAAATATTATATCAATCTTAGATATTCAAAAACCTTTAAATTGGGAAACTTTCAATGAAGTTTATCTTATCCAAGAATTAATGGAAACTGATTTACATCGTGTAATAAAATCACAAAAATTAAGTGATGATCATTGTCAATATTTCATATATCAAACTCTTAGAGCTTTGAAATCAATGCATAGTGCAAATGTTTTACATAGAGATTTAAAACCTTCAAATTTATTATTAAATTCAAATTGTGATTTAAAAATTTGTGATTTTGGTTTAGCAAGATCAATAGCATCAAGTGAAAATAATTTTGGATTTATGACTGAATATGTGGCAACAAGATGGTATAGAGCTCCAGAAATCATGTTAACATTCCAAGAATATACTACTGCAATTGATGTTTGGTCTGTTGGTTGTATTTTAGCTGAAATGTTGAGTGGTAAACCTTTATTCCCAGGTCGTGATTATCATAATCAATTATGGTTAATAATGGAAGTTTTGGGGACTCCATTAATGGAAGATTATTATAATATTAAATCTAAGAGAGCAAGAGAATATATCAGATCATTACCATTCCGTAAAAAAATCCCATTACAAAGTTTGTTCCCTCAAGGTACAAACCCCTTGGCTATTGATTTATTAGAAAAATTATTAACTTTTAATCCACAAAAAAGAATAAGTGTTGTTGATGCTTTGAATCATCCTTATTTACAATTATATCATGATCCAGAAGATGAACCGGATTGTATACCTATTGATGAAAGTTTTTGGGAATTTAATGAAAATAATGAAGGTTTAAATATGGAAGAATTGAAAAAATTATTATATGAAGAAGTTGTTAAACCTTTACAATAGAGGTGATAAGTAACAATTAGAATTTTAGGGGTTTTTAGAAGGGGCTTATGTTTGTTTTTGTTGTTTTTCTTTGAGTTTTACGTGCTAATATGTTAATTTTAAATATAGACTATAATTTTTGAAGATATAAACGTAGCAAAATTATATAAGAACAGACCAGCTATTCCTTATGTTCAACATGAGCTTTAACAGCTTTTAATTCAGTTTCATTACTAGAAGAAACAAATTCACCTTCAAGAACTTCTGATCTTTCAGGTTTAACAATTTTACCCTTTTCAGCTAAATCTTTAATTTCTTCATCTTCCATAACAAAATTAATTTCACCATTCTTATTTTCAGGTCCAAATAACATAACAACTAACAAGAATGCAAAAACACAACCCATAAATATAGCCATAACTTTCCCATAATCATACACCCCATCTCTTTGATTCCCAGCTTCATCATATAATGGGAATCGTTCACCAATTGTACTTTCAATTGTGGAACTTGCACTTGATGCTAAATTACCCAATTGATACGAGACACCAGTAACAAAAGCTCTAAATTCTGGTGGTGATAATTCAGCTAAATGAATAGGAACAATTGCCCAATTTCCTTGGACAAAGAATTGTAACCAAAATGCACCAGCATTAATCCCATTTCCTGTAACAAATGCCCATGGATAAATCATTGCACCACCGAGGATACAACCAATAACAACGATAAGACGACGTCCAATAAACCCTGAAAAATGACCCATGATTATACCACCTGTTAGAGCACCCAAATTAGCAACTGAATTGGTAACAGTAGAACGATCATGACCAAATTCTAATTGTCTTGTTAATAAAGTTGGATAAAGATCTTGGGACCCATGAGAAGAGAAATTAAAAGCAGACATCAAGATAACCATATAACAGAGTTTAATCCAATGTTCCTTTAATGCCTTTTTAGCATCTTTGAAGAATTGTGATTTATTTGATTCTTTTAAATGTAATTGTTGTTGTAAAAATTCATCAGTTTCTGGTAAGCATAATCTCCAAGCAATTAATAAGACTGGTGGACCTGAACTAAACCAAAAAATAGCTCTCCAACCATGTGGTGAATTATCTGTAATAGCTCTATTGAAAACAACCACAAGTAAATAACCAAGGGCATAACCTTGTTGGAAAACACCAGATAAAACTGATCTTGCACGAACTGGAGCACCTTCTAAAGCAGTAGCAGAAGCAACACCAAAACAACCACCAAGAACAATTCCAAATAATGATCTAACACCTAAAAATTGTTCAAATGTTTTAACAAATCCACAACTAATTTGTAAAACAACAATCAAGAGCATATTCAAGATATATGGGAATTTTCTACCATAACGATCACCTAAATAACCAAATATAACAGCACCAACTGATCTAAGCATCAAAACTAATGTAATACCCCAAGTAACATCACTAACTTCCTTATTTAAATCATCAGCAATTGCAGAGACATTCATTGAAACAGTAAAAAAATCAAAAGCATCCCAAGTCCAAGCTAAAAATCCAACAAGAAAGAATTGCCATTGTTTCCATGTCATTTGTTTTAATGCAGGAAATGGATTCAATGCTTCTTTCTCTTTTTGAAGTTCTTCTCTTGTTGGGATAAGTGTAGTCACTCTAGTTTTGAGATATTCTGTGATTATTGACATTTTGGTTGTCCCTAGTCATCAATATCATATTCATGTCTTCCACTAGAGATTTAATCTGGTATTTATATATCAAACTTCCAATCTTTATATGCTCCAACCTTTGACACATAGATATCAACAAGACGTACTCAAGAACTTGTCATTTCTCCACATCTAAAGATGACTTAACTAGACTATAACTTCCAATTACGTGGATAAAGTAGGATAGCTAATTGCCAATTGGCTTTGTACATAACCAAATATAAATTTGAAAGGTCTTGGTATAAAAATTTGTATGTAGTTTAATTTACTAAAGCTTGAAATTTATGTGGGTATACAAAAAACTAAAAAGTCTTGACTCTTGACTTTTTGGGTATGATATCGGATTTTCCAGGAGTTGAAATATCTTGTGAGAAGATAAGCTATGAGTTATGAATTGGGAGATTCATCGTAATTATATCTTGAGAATCTATATTGTTAAAGATCAAACTGAATACGAGTTGATGAAGGTTCGTTATCTTATCAGTTTGGTTTGAATTTTGGTATACCACTTTAAGAACCAGTGCAGATCAGACCCTTCTTTTGTCTTTTGTCCATGGGGATTTGACATTTTGAGCATAAACCACTCAACTTGTGGACAAATGATTACAGACTTTAGCAGTTTGTTGGATTCAGGATAGACTCGGGTTCTTGTGAGCTCCACTTAATAAGCACAAAGTACAAAGTACAAAGTCATCAACCTTTGTAATTCCATGGGGATTTCATGACTACGTAATACCAGCAATATTATACTACCAGCATTAGACTCCCTTTTCTTCAGGATTTTCTTAAACTAATACCAAGAAATTCAAGTAATTTTACGGCATTTTTGCAATCATTTATTTACCCCAGAAGTTTTGCACTTAACAATTAATTTAGTATGTTATGCTTTTGTTGGATTATGTGAAATTAACGCTTTATTGGTTTTGGAACGTCTTTGACTCAATAAACTAAGTATTGTAGTACTATTAATCCCGATTTTATACGATTTTAAACTCCAGTGTAAAGTATTGATGTCTTTGATCTTTAATACAGTGAATATTCTTTCGGTTTCAACGGTTTGAAGTACTGAATAGGAAGTCATTAACGTATTTGATAAATCATTGATGTATATGATTATAAAAGATAAAGAGGTGAGGCTGAACGTGGACACTGAAGGGTATAAGATGTTAAGGAGACCGAGTATACATTGATGTTCCACTGATCCATTATTTAATTGATCATTGATATTGTAAATAGAAGTTCTTGGGGGTGAAATATTGGAATAAATAGTTTGTTAGAAAAAGGTGTATGGGGTTACCTCTTTATAAACTACTATATCCAGTAATGTTAGGCTTTGGTAGATTTCATATGCATACATGATAGAAATTTAAAGTGATGAAGAATTTCAAATACATAGTTTTGATTAGATATCGTTGGATCTCGGAATTGTATGTTTTTTATGGTCAATTTATATCAGGTTTATATAGCTGGTATATACTATTTCATGGAATATCCTACTCCTCTACTCTTTAGATCAAAACTTCTACAATCCATTATAACTATCAAAGCCATTAAATTCTTTTATACATAATAATCATGAACAAGCACACACTATCTAAAAATAATAAACAATAAATATTAATCATTAAACCTCAACTATAAAGGTCATAAATCACTCTTTATGAACAATCAATGCCTTATCCTTTTCACCAGTACCTTCATTACCAGAAGAACTACCACCTTCAGCATATTCATGATGTTCTGAAGTATTAACAATCTTACCTTGTTCAGCTAAATCTTTAATTTCTTCATCACTTAATTGATAATTAATATTACCATTTCTATTTTCTGGTCCTAATAAAGTAACAACCAACAAGAATGCAAAAACACAACCCATAAATATAGCCATAACTTTCCCATAATCATACACCCCATCTCTTTGATTCCCAGCTTCATCATATAATGGGAATCTTTCACCAATTGTACTTTCAATCGTGGAACTTGCACTTGATGCTAAATTACCCAATTGATATGAAACACCAGTAACAAAAGCTTTAAATTCTGGTGGTGATAATTCTGTAAGATGAATTGGAACAATAGCCCAATTCCCCTGTACAAAGAATTGTAACCAAAATGCACCAGCATTAGTACCACCAACACCTTTAACAAATGCCCATGGATAAATCATTGCACCACCACAAATACATCCAATAACCACAATTAGACGACGTCCAACAAAACCTGAAAAATGTCCCATAAGGATCCCACCTGCAATTGCACCTAAATTTGCAACAGAATTGGTAACAGTGGAACGATCATGACCAAAACCTCTTTGTTTTGTTAATAAAGTTGGATAAAGATCCTGGGACCCATGAGATGAAAAATTAAAACCAGACATTAAAATAACCATATAAATTAATTTTAACCAATGTTGCTTTAGGGCTTTTTTAGCATCTTTGAAAAATTGCGCTTTTTGACCCTCTTGTAAATGTAATTGTTGTTGTAAAAATTCATCAGTTTCTGGTAAACATAATCTCCAAGCTAATAATAATACTGGAGGTCCTGCACTAAACCAAAAAATAGCTCTCCAACCATGTGGTGAATTATCAGTAATAGCTCTATTGAAAACAACCACAAGTAAATAACCCAAAGCGTAACCTTGTTGGAAAACACCAGATAATACTGATCTTGCACGAACTGGAACACCCTCTAATGAAGTTGCAGCTGCAACACCAAAACAACCACCAAGAACAATCCCAAATAACGCACGAACACCTAAGAATGCTTCATAAGTCTTAACGAATCCACAAGCAATTTGTAAAACAACTAATAATCCCATATTAAGACAGTATGGTAATTTTCTACCATAACGATCACCTAAATAACCAAAAAGCACAGCACCAACTGATCTTAACATCAAAACTAATGTTATACCCCAAGTAACATCACTAACATTTTTACCTAATGATTCTGCAATAGCTGCAGCATTTAAAGAAACTGCAAAAAAATCAAAAGCATCCCAAGTCCAAGCACAAAATCCAACAAGAAAGAATTGCCATTGTCTTTTATTCATTTGTTTTAAAGCTGGGAAGGGGTTTAAAGCTTCCTTTTCAGCTTCAAATTCTTCACGACTTGGTACAAGAGTTGTGAATCTTGTTATGAAATATTCTTTAACAGTGGCGAGTTTTGACATTGTTTGATACACTTGTTATCAACAACTTATTGTGATTCTAAATTATAAAACAGGAAACTTATTTTTATATATGATCAACATGAAAATAATTAGTACGCTTTCCATCTTAAACTCCATTTCTCCACATTGCTTAATACGTCAATTAATATTTTAGCCTATATATTCTCAAGATGGATAAATTAGGAAATCAAAATCAGAGACTAATTACTTCTTCACCAATGAATCAATTATACTTATACTTTAATATAGATTACCGTTGACAAGGTTCTTGGAGTCTTGGAGTTGTGGAAAAAGCTTGGGTCTGGGGACTATTGATTGATAAATGACTGTACTAAAGATGAAAAGTTTAGTCTAGAAGGATTTCGCTGTCTAAATGTTGAGAATTAGCACTTTTTGCATAGTATTTTTCGAGATGTATACGAGATGACTATTGGATGTATGTAGTGTTATATTATACGACTGGGGTACTTACTACTGGGGTAAATATTGGAGTTTAAGGATAATATCGGAACTTGTTGTGACTATTTTCATGGATAATCATTGTCCCACAAAATCACAGGGATTTGCACTGAAAATTATACGGTGAGTCTTTTAGTCCGTGATTCCATTGAGACTTTAAAGGTCATTCAAATAAAGATAACGCAGTGGAATAGTGGAGCTGAAAAGGTTGTAACGGTGAATTACTTTGGTGGAAAATCGATTGTTTAAGGAAATTATAGTCTATTCATTAGCTTAATTAACCAAGAGGTTGTTGATTCTCTTGACTTGTAGTCTGTAGATGTGATTTCTTAGTTTTACTAGTTTTCCATTGCTTGAACTGGCATTTAATTCCACAGGGGAACTGAATCTCCATGACTCAGTGGATCCCGAATTTAATCATCGATTTATGAGTACGTAGTCCTACCAGAGAACCAGGATTACAGATGAACATAGAAGACCACCACATCTAACAATGCTTTCAATGAATACCAAGAGTTTGAACAAACAATTGACTTTCAATTGGTTGTATTGGTCAATTTATTTATGTAGTATTACACAGATCATTAGATTCACTAATTCCACAATATCAGATCCAAGATTGTAAAACAGGTTGAAACACGTTCTTTTAGTTATCTGTATATCGGAAATATCCTCTTTAATCAATTACCCATAGGCTAAATTGTTGGTTGTTATATAAATTAACCCACTTTAGTTCCTTCTAGACCTACACGGTTTTTTCCAAAGTAACTCAAAACCCACTACAAGTAACATAGGTTTTAACTTCCCCATTTGATCATTTGACATATGATGTTAGATTATCAAAAGACCCTTAAGATCTTATGGAATCCGGAGAATCCGTGAGGACATATAACTTTGGAAGTTATTAAGCAATTGTAATCTTGTTACTTTTTGAATGTCAGATCTTAAAGTTGGTTTTAAATGATTGATGATAAAATTGTAATTACGTAACATGTGATTCAACAAAGTATTAACAAATACTTCCTTGAGTGGAGATGTATTACAAAATTTAACTGCACATCATATCAATCACTAGTCTTGATTTATATACTCCTTATAACTTGAAAGCTTTAATTTTGTATATCGATAGGTATAATGAATCAAATGAAGATTTATAAATTTGAGTCACTATATATAGTTTCTTTACGGGAATTGGTTTTACATTAAATATATTTATTAAATATATCTTAATAATTGATTCTTGTTAAAAAAACATCATTTGAACCTTTTCATAGTAAATAATAGTATTTGATATATTTAAAATCTTCAAACTTTACTCCTACATATTAATATCTTACAATTTCGATGATTTTAATTGTGGAAACTTATAAGAAAATTTTAATATGTCAACCTCAATAATTTTAATTTTACTTTAAAATTGAATATTTTGAAAACCTGTAAAATTTTTAAATCACAAAAACTGCATTAAACATGTTATAAAGTATACCATTCAAAAGCTAATACTTTAATGAACATTATACCGTAATAAAAAAGTACCATTATACTACAAACTTTTAAAGATATTTAAAATTAAAGCTTTTTTGATTACATAAGCACCCACACAACGCAAAAAACACCAAAATTATTCGGTCAGAACTCGTCCTTGTTAGCTCAGTTGGTAGAGCGTTCGGCTTTTACAGTCAAACTAGGGAACATTCATTTCTTAGCGGAAGTTAACCGAAATGTCGGGGGTTCGAGCCCCCCATGAGGAGTTCTATTTTTTTGCTATTTTTTTCGATTTTTGATTAATTTATACTATATTTTTTGGTTTTTTTTTGATGGTTGATGATATTTAATATCGTTATGGTCATATGTGATCTATTACTTTATTGGTATATGGTTTTCGGTTTCTGGCTATTGTTTTTGTTGGGTATTGCATTCATTATAAAGATCCCGAAGATCTATAGTACATGAAAAAAAAATAAATCAAAATCATATCAATCCACTACAAAGAGCTTATATTTAAATCATTCCCAACAATTTATATTTTAATATATACAGATTAAATTCATTATAAACAAGATTAAAAAAACTAAACCCAATGCTTAGCTCTCTTTTCTTTCTTAGCAGCACGATCACGTAAAACTCTTTTACTTTTATGTTGAGCAATAACATCATCAATTTTACTAATAGCTTCTTCTCTAGCAGCAATTCTTTCTGCAGCAGTTCTTTCATATTTATGACCTTTAGGTCTTAAAACACCTTTCATAATAGGTCTAGAATCATATTTTTCTTGATAAAATTTCTTACCATTTTGTAATGGAGGTAAATAATCTTGAATACCAAATCTATAAGCTAATTTCCATAAATCACTTTGTCTTCTCATTGAATATTTTGAAGTATGATATCTTTGTGTAACTGGATGCTTGTTAGCAATGAATGGATTAGCGTCTGGTGCATTTGTTAAAGTTGATTTTGATGCATATTCTTTAAATGGTCTTGGTGGATAACGTTCAAAAAATCTCTTTAGTTTACCTGGTAATGTATCGAAATAAGAAGCTGGATTGGATTGGTCTATCGTTTGTGTTATCACGTTCTTTGCAGTATGGAATAGTCCTACACTTGGTCTCATTTTGATTTTGATCTTTGACTTTCACTGGTTATCTTTTATACCCTTTGAATTTTGATTTCGTTATTTCAATTTTCAGTTTTTTGATTTTTTGATTTTTTCATCGCGAAAAAAAAAAATCGGTTCGGGAAACATCGGTATTAAATATTGATTATGACTGATTAGTTGAAATAAATATTTCAAAGATTTGATAAAGATTTGATTCTTTTTTAAAAGTATTTTACTTTGAATTTGGTAGAACACATCCCAATTATAATGTTACGCTCATTGAAATACAGATCTGTTCAAAGATCTTTACACACATCAAGAACATGTTTCTCAAAGATCGTAAGTATAGATAGGCCCCATGAGATTTGGCATTGACTCATACATCTAAATCTTCAGAGATCTAACATCATTCCTTTTAGACAAACCCAGATCCAACACCAGATTCAAAATCAGGTAAATTTATTGATGAAAACTCAAAATATTCAGTTACAACTTATTCACGTCCATCAGTTGTTTTCGAAAAAGGTGAAAAAGCTTATCTTTGGGATGTTGAAGGTCGTAAATATGTTGATTTTACTGCTGGTATTGCAGTTACAGCTTTAGGTCATTCAAATCCAGAAATTTCTAAAATCTTGTATGATCAATCTACAAAATTAGTTCATAGTTCTAATTTATATCATAATTTATGGACAAATAGATTATCTCGTGAATTAGTTGAAGCTACTAAACAAAGTGGTGGTATGCATGATGCTTCAAGAGTTTTCTTAGCAAATTCTGGTACTGAAGCAAATGAAGCTGCTTTAAAGTTTGCAAGAAAATATGGTAAATCTCAAAATGAAAACAAGACTGAATTCATCACTTTTACAAATTCATTCCATGGTAGATCTATGGGTGCTCTATCAGTTACACCAAATCCAAAATATCAAAAACCTTTTAGTCCTTTAATCCCAGGTGTTTCAGTTTCTGAACCAAATTTAGAATCTTTTTCAAAATTAATTAATGAAAACACTGCAGGTGTTATTATTGAACCAATTCAAGGTGAAGGTGGTGTTCGTCCAGTTTCAAAAGAATTTTTAATTGAATTGAAAAAATTAACTAAAAAACATAATGCTTTATTAATCTTTGATGAAATTCAATGTGGTCTTGGTAGATCTGGTAACTTATGGGCTCATGGCTCTTTACCAAAAGAAGCTCATCCAGATATTGTTACAATGGCTAAAGCTTTAGGTAATGGGTTCCCAATCGGTGCTACTATGATTACTGAAAATGTAGAAAAAGCTTTGAATGTTGGTGATCATGGTACTACTTATGGTGGTAATCCATTAGGTGCAAGAGTTGGTTCTTATGTTTTAAGTCAAGTGTCTGAAAAAGAATTCCTAAATAAAGTTTCTGAAAAATCACAAATCTTTAGAAATGAATTAGAATCATTGAAGAATGAAATTAATGAAATTGTTGAAGTTAGAGGTGAAGGTTTATTATTAGGTGTTCAATTCAAATCAGATCCAAGTAAAGTTGTTGATGCTGCTAGAGAACGTGGTCTTTTAGTTATTACTGCAGGTGGTAATACTGTTAGATTTGTTCCTGCTTTGAATATTGAAGATGATGTTATTAGAGAAGGTTTAGCTATCTTTAAAGATGCTGTTAAATCTGTTTTCCCATAGATATTCCAAATTGTCTAGTGTTTTATATAGATTATAAATAGAAAATGAAAAATTACATGTATTAAAATTATTAAAAAAAATGGTATCAAAAAAAAAATGAAACTTTGATGACGTGTTGTAGTGAATGTAATAAATGTGGTATAAAAATTTGAATATTTGAAAAAAATGAATGTAATAATATACTAATGACATGAGTTATTTTTTGATTATTCAAGTCATTATGAAACTTGATGCAAAGAATAGATCACTTGAATCAATTTTCCCAGTGAAATAAAATCCAATAATAACAATAATATAAATCAAAATTAGTATACTTCCTTTAAAATAATTTGATTTACCTTTTGCATAAATATAAGTAAATAAAACAACTGAAATTATAGAAGCAACTAAATCCCATTTTGGGAAAATCAAAGTAAACATTGAATCTTTAACATTAACCAAAGATTCTTTATCACCAATGAAAAAAATCGAATATAAAACTAATGATGGAATTTGAATTAAACAAACTTGAAGTGCATAAGCTGAACCAATTTCCATTGATAAAGCAACATTACCATGTGTTGCAAATGAAATGGCATTTAAAAATTCAGTTGTATTTGGAACTAATGCAAATATAGTTATACCCAAGAATTTTGGATTAATTGGGAAATTTTTCAAAACTGAATCAACACAATCAACTAAAATTTCTGCAATAATTGCATATAATAATGTAGCACCTAATAAAACAATTGTAGATTTTTGTCTTGACCAATTTGGTGCATCATGACCACCAGATTCAATAACTTGTGATTGTTGAACTTCATTAATGTTTTCATTTGATGGTGATGGATTGATAGCTTTTTGTTGTTGTTGTTGTTGTTTATTTTCTGTTATTGGAGTTTGCCAGATTAATGCAGCATGAGTTCTTAATGTAAACCAAAGACCAATTGTATAAGCTAAAAATAATAATAATGCACAAATAATTGAAAAAGGCCTTAAAACTTCTTTAAATAAATAATCAACTTTCAGTGGAGGTTGGAAAAAATGACATTTTTGACAAGTTTTTTGACCTCCATTATTATAATTTGCTCCCAACATACCTGGTAAACAAGGTACACAACTAATTTCATATGAACCATAAATTTGATGGAAAATAGTTGGTGCAAACATAACACTTATAGAAAATAATAACATTGTTGAAGAAACTCCTGCACTTGCTGGATTATATCTTTGAGTTTTACGAATGAAAGCACCTGCACACATTGATAATCCTGGTAATAAAAGAACTGCACCTAAAATAGATCCAATCATTGAACCTTCCACAAGTGAACCTTTATGTTGATTTAATGCAACACAATATAAGAAAATTTCCACGATTGTTGAAAAAAAAGCATTAATCACAGCACCAACACCCATTGAAGATTGTGCACTAATAGATGCAACTGCTTGACCAATGAAATAAGCTAATGGGATAATTGATAAAAGACATAATGCAAAGATAACTGATTCATTTGTGAAGAATTTCTCAACACCAAAAAAATCTTTTATAATGAAAAAATCCACAATTGTGAAAATGACAATAAACATTAAATTTATGAAAAAAATATTTGTACCTTCCACTGTATATTTATAATAATGGAATCCTGCAGCTCTATAAGTACAAACCAAAATATTTGAATTTTTTCTTTTATCAGATGGTAAAGGTTTTGATGAATCAAATTTGAAAAAAATAGCTAAAGGATGTCTTCTTAAATGATCTGTTAAATTTGAAATGATCTTAGCCATTGGAATTGTGAAAACTAATAACCAACATAATAACCAAACAATAAGGAAAATTGGTTGTAAAATTAAATAAAAATATAAATAAAATAATATTCTTCCTAAACTCCAATCACCTCTACCAAATAATCTTTTTTTCTTATTATCATTATCATCATCAACAGTTTCTTCAATTGAAGGTAATGGTAACAGATTTTTTTGTTGTTGAGGATTCAATTGACTTGGTTGTTGTTGTTGTTGCTGCTGGTGTTGGGATGGTGGTTGTTGAATAGCAGAACTTGTACCAGTCACATGTGTATCAGTGGTTGGTAAATTTATTTGACTTGCACTGAAAAATAATTTATTTTGTTCTTCAGTTCTCCATCTTTCATATTCAATAAAAGTACTACCTTCATTTATATCTTCATTTAAATAATTTTCATCTTTTTGTAAATAAATAACTTTACCAAATGGCCATAAGAAATATATACCTAAATTAAAGAAAACTTTTGCATAATTAACAGATGAATAACCAAAAATTAATAAGAAAATTGAACCAATGGTACAAAGTATAAAAAATAATAAACCAAATGAAATTGACCATAATAAATTTGCTAAATGTATACCATAACTAATTTTTTTCTGTTTATCATCATCAGTTTCATGAATATCCTGATCAGCTTCTCTTTGAACAGAACGATCTTTTTTATATAAGGCAGGCTTCCAGATTCTGATACCAAATGGATGTGTAACATTAATGGCATCTTGTCTATTTCTTAAAGTGAAATCTTCTTCAGATGTAGTTGAATGATTATCGTCATTATCATCATTGTTATTGTCATTATTTCCATCATGATAATCATCAACATCATCTTGACCATAATCTTGATCTTGATCTTCATTATCCTGGTCATTATCTTGACGTGTTTGATCATCTTGTTTACGATAATACAATTTTTGTTGAGATTGTGTTTGATTATGTGATAATTGAGATACTGTTCTTGATAAAGAAGGTTGTCTTGATTGTTGATTAAATGGATGTAGATGTTGTTGATAATGATGACTACCACGCTCAGCATCTTCAAATGTATGATTTGATTGACGATCTTCTTCACCCTGTTGTTGTTGATCAGAAGGTAATTGACCTTGAATATGATAATCTGCTTGTTTTTGTTCTAATTTTTTTAATGTAGAATCAGCATTGATAAGATTCGAAGTAACATCATGGACTAAATTTTGAACTTCTTTTGGTTGTTCTTTCAAATTTTTAGTTGATTTCCTATATCTATGTCTCAATGCATCATTATAACCTTCTAGATATTCTCGCTCAATATCCTGCTCAATTTCATCCAAATCATCATCCACACTATAGACATATTTTGGTGAAGGTACTTGTTGGAAACTTAAGGATGGATTTTTTTGCAGTTGAGGTCTTTTCTTCTTCTTATTAGGGTTTTGATTGGCCTTCAGTGTATTATTCTGAGATGATGCTTGTGATCTATTATCATATTGACCTTGGATTAATGGTTGTGCAGGGAATTGACCAACATTACCGCCAGAAGCTGTGGTATTAGATACCTGAGGCGAGAGCTGTGCACTGTTTCTGCCCAGCTGATTGTACTGGTTTTTGTGTATATTCTGCTGCGGACTTCCCGTGTCCCTCTCCTTGTCTTTACTCATCCTATGAAGAGATTACCACTGGGTTGTTTTCTGATGAATTGATGTTTTTTGGTTGTTCCCAAGTATTAATAGTAATCAAATTTCTTATAGATTCCACATGTTTTGGTGGGAATTCGCGGGTGATCGTGACTTTTGTTTACATTTTTATTTTTATACCATTAACAAACTTATTCAACAATTTGCTGAAAAGCGTGTCAACTGAACAGGAGATGAAGACTTGAAAGGTTACTATGATGTTTGGTGCTCTGTGATAGCTGTTAGGGATGGCTTGCGGATATGAAGGTTCTTTTGTTTCATTCGTTGATCCATTTTGAGTGGTTTACAGAGTTTCTTCCAAAACCAATAAATTGTTTTGTCTTTATGAGATATCATAGTAGGAATACATGTATCATTATACCATTATATTGGTGTTGATAAGACTTAAACTACGTATTTTAGCAATTAAAAAGAATTGTGTATAGTTAATTAGATTTGAATACCTGCTTAAAAGTTTTTACGATTTACTACAATATATCCTTAAAATAAAAATATATAATTAAGAATTATGAGATCTCTTTTTTCAGAGTCATTCTAATTCACCAAAATATAACTTAAGGTAGAATACAGCATCAACTCTAATCATGAGTTTTGGAACCCAAATCCCATCAAGTGTTATTTTTCTGTAAACTATTTCCACTAATTCATAGACAATTTGTTTACGAACCTTTCTTGTTGGAACATCATCCAACTCTCTATTGAATGGTAGGTGATTTAAATGTGATTCTAAAACCTCTTCTAATGATTCAATAATTCTATCATGAACAATATTCATTTCTCTAATATAATTGCGATTATGCTCAATATCATCATTCATTTTGGAGGACTTAAGTAATGAAGAACTTCTGCGATTTAATATATCCTACAGAATATTAAACATATTTTATTGCAATCAGTGATACTTTTCCTACAAATTTTAATTATATATATCACTTATTTTTAAAATAAATTTTCTTTTTGTGCCATATGATAATTTAATTACAGCTTTTGTGTAAACTAAAATTGTGTTTTTGTGTCAAATTAATGATTATCTATAGTAACGTCGAATGCAGCATATAAACGGCCTAACTATCATCATTATCGACATAGCAAAGCGCGGGAGCTTCAAAGTTTGTAGTATTATTCCAAATGCTTCACAATATTAAGGGTTAACAAACCCTTTTGATAATTTCAATCAAGCTAATGGTAATTCTAAGCTAATAAGTTAAATTTAGCTTAAAGCACATCTGAACATAACTGGTGTATTACCACGTAGCTCTTATCCTTTATACATATTCTTTTCACTACCAAATAGCCGTATTTCAATCTTTCACCATGTGTTTAACGTCGAAAAAATGACATGTACCTGTTCAATTGACAGCTCTCTTTTAATTATGGGGTTTGCTGATGCCAGTTGAAATATCAAGAGTTATCAACATAAAACAGGATTGGACGATATCACTTGCTATAAGCCAGTCATGTACTTGTTGAATAAGATACCTACCTGCAATAACATTTAGACATAAATCCAAATGGTTTAGATGTATACCTATTGTAAAACATAAAGTACAAATAGTGTTGATGTAGAGAAGTTATGTCCGTAGATGCTCGCTCGCTCGCCCGCGATTCTTCAGTTGGCTGAGGTGGTTTTTTTTTTAGAATTTTTGTAAAAAGTGACTAATTTGAATCCTTAAAAAACATGGTTTTGCAATCTTGTGCAAAATTTACTCCATTAAAGAACTATATGTCTTTACAAAACATGTTTAACAATTCCTCAACTATTGTATGATATATCTAATCATATACCATGAGTAATATCAAATTTTACATATAATTGAATGGTTATATAAATTTTGGGAAGCTCAGCTTCCCGTTTTTTCGCTCTTCTGAGAATTTTTTTTTTTTGTTCTCTGCAAATTTGCGCTTTAAAAATCTGAAGGCGATTTTTTCACTTTTGTGAGAAAGTGACTATTTTTATCTGTTAAAATGGTATAAATATCACTATAACTTGAGATATAGTAACGTTAAAGTATTTTGTGTCTTACAAAATATGTAGAAGAATTATATAGCTATTATAGGATACCATTATTAGAATACCATCTTCGAGCTAAAATTTATCAGCATCTTCACCTTTCTTGTTCACATAAATATGAAATCTGTATGAACTTTTTTTTTTCTCCATAGTACTTAAGAAGCAAAAATCGATTTTCGAACAAATACGCAGCGGATTTGAACAGTAATAAACAGTGAAAATAGATTATTCTGAATAAGATATTATAAAGTGGACCATATGATAGCTATGAATTTATTAAAGAAATATTGTATGAAGTGTATATCCTTTAAAGATGATTTGTAGTCATGAATCACATAAAACATGTCTCTATAGTACATAATTTAGTCACTTTTCTCTCAAAAGGGGACTAAAAAAAGATCAATTACGAGAAATTTAGAGAGAATCAATCCGATCTAATTAAAACCAAACTAAAAACATAAAACAAAGTACATTTTCAACCATTATTAAAAGATCAACAAGATAAATCTACAAGATACAATTATCTTGTCATTAATCCTGGCTTAGATACTTAGTATATGCGCCGCTCTATTTGATACCCAAATTTCAAAGTACCCGTATAAATTTTCGCAAAGACATTGTCGAATAATTTTTCGGTACGTTTAAAAATATTGGACAAGGTTGGAATAGATGAATTAAAGATTGGGTTATATCATTATCTTGAAGAAGTGAAGCTATATTATTACCAGGATCATATAAATCTCATGGATTCTAGGATCATTTCAAAGTTTAAATCAACAAATTTGCACTTTTTCCCATTATGATATCATCATTTAAAGTGTAATCATAATAATGTATGTGTTTTAAGTCTGGGGTAAAATAGATCTTCCGAGATTTGTATATAAACAAATGGAATTCTAGTAAAACTTTCAATCAAAATCCTCAACTATCAACAACTATATTCAACAACATACATTGATCATGACAATTAAAAATTATCCATGGTGGAAAGATTCCACAGTTTATCAAATTTGGCCAGCTTCTTATAAAGATTCAAATGGTGATGGTATTGGTGATATTCAAGGTATTATATCAACGTTAGATTATCTTGAAGATTTAGGTATTTCAGTTGTTTGGTTATCACCTCATTATGATTCTCCACAAGATGATATGGGTTATGATATTTCAGATTATGAATCTGTTTATCATAAATATGGTAATATGGATGATATGAATCAATTAATTGATGAAGTTCATAAAAGAGATATGAAATTAATTTTGGATTTAGTTATTAATCATACTTCAGATCAACATGCTTGGTTTAAAGAATCTAAATCTTCATTAACTAATCCGAAAAGAGATTGGTATATTTGGAGGAAACCTCAATATGATTCAAAAGGTAATAGGAAACCACCAACAAATTGGAGTTCAATTTTTTCAGGTTCTGCATGGAATTATGATCCAACCACTGATGAATATTATCTTTGTCTTTTTGCCAAATCTCAACCTGATTTAAATTGGGAAAATGAAGAATGTAGAAATGCTATATATAAATCAGCTTTAGAATTTTGGTTTAAAAAGGGTATTGATGGATTTAGAATTGATGTTGCAAGTATGTATTCTAAAGCTTCAAATTCCAAAGGTAAGTTTGAAGATGCTCCAATTATTTATCCAAATCAAGAATTTCAACCTGCTGGTGAATTAACAACAAATGGACCACGTATTCATGAATTTCATAAAGAAATGTTTAAAAAAATTACATCAAAATATGATGTTATGACTGTTGGTGAAGTTGGTTTTTGTTCTAAACAAGAAGCTCTTAAATATGTTTCTCATGCAGAAAAGGAAATGAATATGATGTTTTTATTTAATGTTGTTTGTGTTGGGTATGATGGTGATAAATTTGATTTTAAAGGTTTTAATTTAAAAAATTTTAAAGATGCAGTTATTTCACAAAGTGATTTTGCTCAGGGGACAGATGCTTGGTCAACTGTATTCATTGAAAATCATGATCAAGCTCGTTCAGTTTCAAGATTTGGTAATACATCAACTGATGAATTATGGAATAAATCTGCAAAATTATTAAATATGTTGGAAATTTCATTAACTGGTACTTTATATATTTATCAAGGTCAAGAAATTGGTATGACAAATTTACCAAAAAATTGGTCAATTGATGAATATAAAGATATTGAAACTTTAAATTATTGGGCAAAACATAAAATTGAACATCCAAATGATTCAGAATCAGATTTAAAATTAATGCAAAATATTCAAATTACTGCAAGAGATCATGCAAGATCACCAGTTCAATGGGATGATTCTCCAAATGGTGGATTCACATCGGGGAAACCATGGATGAAAGTTAATGAAAATTTTACTAAAATTAATGTTAAATCTCAAATTAATGATTCAAATTCAATCTTATCATTTTATAAAAAATCTATCCAATTAAGACAATTATATAAAAAACTATTTATCCATGGAGATTTCAAAATATTAGATTATGAAAATGAAGATTTATTTAGTTTTATTAAATCATTTGAAGATTCTAAAAGTTATATTGTCTTGAATTTTAGTAATAAAACCATACCTTTCAAACCTTTAGTTGATGGAGAACTGGAATTATTACATACCAATGTTGACACACCAGAACCAGGTGTACTATCCCCATATGAAGGTAGAATTTATATATAGTTGAATAAAGATAAATTAAATTAAAATAAAATGAATTGATGCTTATATTCTTTTAAATTCACTTGACTTTGAGATCACGTGAGTATGACGTAATCACAAAATTCAAAACTTCGCGCTTTTTTGTTTTTTCGCGTTTTTCTTAAAAACTTCGCCATTTCAACAAAAAACAAAAAAAAAAAAGTGAGCATAATTTTGGATTTTGTTGAAAGGGATCAAACAAATCAAAAAAAAATATAAACACATAATCAAACAAAATCAATAAAATTCTCATTTTTTGATATTCAGTTAATCAAAGAAAAGTTTATCATTCGTTAATTAAAAACAAGTCCAAGAACAAGGCTGGGAAAAAGTTTATTTAGATCATTTTGATTCCCTTATTCTGATTTTTCTAAAAATACTCATACCGTGATTTCAACACATAACAACAACAAAAGAGAAATAACAAAATCCTCATAAACAAAACAAAACAACTGGGGAATACATATATGGCTTGATTACTGAAAAACCATAGATTATATTTCAATACAATTCAGATCATTAATATCATCAGTTCTTTTTCATATTTGCTTTTATCATAATTTAATTTAATTTTATTACCCATATTCCATCCATAATGAAGTTTTCAATCATATATTTATTAAGTTTGATTTCAATGGTCAGTGCTCAAGCTGCCGGTGCAGCTCCTGTTGGTGATGGTGCTGCTGCTGCCGGTGCTATTACTACTAAAACAACAGTTATTACAACAACAAATGCAAATGGTGTTACTATAACTCAAACTCAAACTTCAACGGGTGCTAATACTGTGAATACAGCCACTACAGCCACTGGTACTACTGCTACAACTACTGCTACAACAGGTACAACAGGGACCGCTACAACAGGTACAGGTACTACAGCTACCACAGGTACTGGAACAGGTACAACAAATACCGCTGCAACTGCAACTGGTACAACAACTGATACTGGATTAGTTCCAACTGCAACTGGTACTTCAGGTCGTACAACAACAGATTTAACTCAAGAATCTTCAAATTCAGCAAATCCAACTTATACTTATTCAGATGAATCAACAACTTATATTACATCATCTGCTTGGACTTCAATTTGGGTTACAGTTACTTATTCAAATGGTGGTGTTGCAACTGTTCAAACTACTTATTCTCAACGTTTCAAGAGTTTTTATAGTGAAGTTAGTTCAGTTCCTTCAGGTACTATTGGTCTTGGTAGTATAAGTGGATCTGTTGGTGTTGTTAAAACTCAAAATTATATTACTCAATCTTCAACAAATGCTGGTGTTGTTAGTACTATAAGTTCAGGTTTATTATTTGTTGTTGCTTTATTATTCTTGTGAATGTGAAGCAATGCTTGCAAAAAAAGACAATTATAGTTATTATTTCAATTAATTTTTGATCTGGATTTATCAAACTTGACAGCTTTCGTCACTTCATTCTTATTTTTCTATTCCTTTAACTAGTTTTCCCCCTTTTTTATTTTACTTCTATAATTTATATATAAAATTTGTTAAAATTTGAGATTTATATTTGTATTTTTATATCATTTGGAGAAGAACAAAAAAACATAATTTGTACATTAGAGAATTATAAATAATATCAAGTATTATATCATATATATATCAATGTAGTGAGTTAAGCGCTACAATTGTCATTATTTTTTTTCAAAATTCCTTTCATTAAATAAAAGTTATAAACATACAGATCAACTACAAAGTCTCCCTCTTTCACCACCTCTTTTCTTACTTTCTTTTCTCTTTTTAAATTATTTCTTCATTTCATATCGTTAATTATAACAGATATCCCCATAACAAACACTTTTTTTATTTAAACAGTTAAAAGTGGTTTAGCAGATCTATTATCAGCATCTTTATGACTTAAAAATTCTAAAGAATCAGCATCACTTAATTTTAAAACTTTTCTAAATTTCATACCAATTGGGAATAATTTAGCTCTATCTGATGATTTAGTCCATAAAGAAATTCTAATTGCAACTTTTCTAACATTTAAAACTGCACCATTAACTTCATTATCATCATCTTCAATAGTTTCACCAATAACACTTAATAAAGTTCTTAACCATAATTCATTAATATTAATATCTTTATTTTTAAATTGGAAATTCCATTTACCACCTTTTGAATTTTCTGGATCTTCCCATTCAGGTTTAATATTTTCTCTAAATAAATGATAATCAGCTTTTAATGGTAATTCACCAGCTTGTGGAATTGAATTGAAAATACCCCAAAATTCTTCAACACTTGAAAAAGTAATAACTGGTTTTAATAAATCTGACCATGATTCTTTTGGATTATTTGCAGGTTTTGTATACCATAAAGTCCATTTTGAATTTAATGGATGTTTAACATTAAATTCCTTTTTTGAATCTAAAACTGTTGATTGAGCATTATCAGTTGAAGTTTCAGTAGCTGGAGCTTCAGTAGCTGGTGCTTGAGCGTCTAAGGACAAGTTTTCAGTAGCTTTGTTCAATTCTTCAGACATTGTTTTGAAATTATCAATCTTTAAATTCTTTTTGAAGGCAATTTAATTTATTTCAAAATGTCGTTTTTGTCCATTTTAATATAAAAATTTTATCAACAAACAGAAAATTCGCGAATTTTATTTTTCCTTCTCAAAAAAATTCGCGAAGATATTTTAAATTCGCGAAATTAGTATTTGGTGTTTGGATGTTTGATTATGGGGATTAAATATAAAGTACTCGTTTAAATTTATACAAAGTGAATTGATTGAGAATTGATATAATAAAGGATTAAAGGTCAAAGGTCAAAAGATGGACTATCTCAAGATGTTCCTGGCTACCACTGCTTCGTTGACTACGGCATCGGCTTTACTTTTGTACAAATATCAACAGAAATTGATTTATCCTAATCATCTTGTGGCAGATGGTGCTGGAGTTCCACATGATACTCCAGATTTATATGATCTTGAATATGAAGATTTAATAATTGAAACAATAGATCATATTAAAATTCATGGGTTTTTATGTCTTCAACCAAAATCAAGATTAAATTTACAAAATGAAACAGTATTAATCCTTAATCCCAATGCTGGTAATATTGGATTAGCTTTACCTACAGTTAAAAATTTCCATAATTCAGGATATAATGTCTTAATTTATGATTATAGAGGTTATGGTACATCGACTGGTGAACCTTCAGAAATTGGATTGAAAATTGATGCTGATACTATATTAAAATTTATTGAAAATCATGAAATATTAAAAGATTCAGAGGTAACACTTTATGGAAGATCTCTTGGTGGTGCAGTTGCAATTTATTTAGCTTCCAAAAACCATCCATTAATTAATAAAGTTATATTAGAAAATACTTTCCTAAGTATAAGAAAAACAATTCCTCATGTTTTCCCCTTTTTAAAACATGTATCTTGGTTATGTCATCAATTATGGGATTCAGAGACTTTAATAACAAAAGTTCAATCAAATGTTAAATTTTTATTTCTTAGTGCTGAATTAGATGAAATTGTACCACCTTCACATATGAAAAAATTATATGAATTAGTTGAAGAATATGATTATAAGAAATTCATCTTGTTTGAAGGTGCTCATCATAATGATACTCCTTTATATCCTGGTTATTGGGATATAGTTAGTGATTTTTTAGATTTATGATAATGTATAACGATCAATTGGCATGAAAGATACTAAAGACTACATGTAATTTGATCTCCTAGTATATTGTATATTTAACAACCTGCAGGACATTCATTCATTTCTTCATCAATCATCCATTTTTCAAAACATCCAAAATGTCCAGTATGACCACAAGATAATTTAAAAATTGTTAAACCTTTTATAGGTTCATTACAATAAGAACAAAGAGTTCTTGATTTACAATTTTCACAATACCAAGTACCAAATTCAATTTCCTTTGGAGATTTCAAATGCTTTTCCTTTAGGTTTTCATTTATAATTAATTTATTACAATTTGAACAAAATCTTCTTATTGTGGTGGAATTTAATGACATTTCTTTAAATTTTGAATATTTCGATATGGATATTATCTTAGTTATTGTCATGAAGAATTGTAATTTTTGTAAATATTCAATATATGTATGTAAAATTTCTTTTATTGATTGATCTTTAAAAAGTTTATAACGTTCATTAAACATTATCAACATTGTACATCCCATTATTAAATCTCCCTGGTCTAAACTGAAATCAATTGCCTTTTTAATCAATTTTTTAGGTGCATAAGGTGGTAATGTAATATCTAATTCATTTTGTTTTTGATTAGTAAATTGTCTTGTTAATTCTGATTTATGACTTTCTTGTTTAATTAATTTATTAAAATTTGATTTTTTATTTAATAATCCTGATGATAATTTAGATTTTATAATATTATTATTAGAATCTAAAGCTTTATTTGATATAGCTGATAATGATGATGTAATTGAATATGATGGAGATGATGATTTACCAAATCTATTATGATTTGATTCAGGAGAATCCCCAGATGGTAATAATGATTCCATTATAGAATTTCTTGGTTTTCTTTTAGATAATGGTAATGATATTGGATTAGTTGTTGAATTTGAAGTTTCAACAAATTCCAATGCAGATGATGATTCTGCATCTTGATTATCATTATTATTTAATTCGGATAGTTTTAATGAATCACGTTGTTCTTTTGATGGTTCTTGATTTGGTTTTGCAGGTAAATCATCCCATTTTAATAAATCTTCTTTTGTTAATGTTTTTTCTTTATCTTTTTCATCTAAAGTAGTTTCATTTTCATAATCTTCATTTATATTTTCTTGAATTTGATCAAAATTATCATTTTTCAATTTAGTGATTTTTAAATCATCTTTTGATTTATATGACATTTCTTTAGAATTTAATGAATTATTAAATTCACTTAAATCACTGAGAGATGGCGATTTCCCATAATTTATTGTAGAATTTGATGTACTATATTGATAATCTTTATTTATATCCGAATTGTAGCTTTCATTATCATTTAAGTTATGTGTAAGCTCTTGATTTATCGTAGTATCATTTTCTAATTCATATTTTAGCTCTCTTTCTAAATTTTGTTCCCATATTAATGATTCTTTTATAATTTTCCAAGTTTGAGAATCTCTTAAGCATCCAGCTTCATTAGCAATTATGGAATTTAATTGACAATTTTCAATTAAGTCTTCTGATGGATCAATTTTATAATTTGATGCTAAATAATTTAAAGTTTCTTCTGATTTAAAAATTGATAATGAAACAGGTACAACATAAGGATTTGTAAAAATTTGATTTTGATGACGATGTCCTTGACTCCCCTGAGATGTCATTCTTGGTATATTTGGTCTAAATGCACTTGAAGTTCTTGACATACCAGGTCTTGGTGAATGTTCTGGGAATGAAGAAACAGATGGACTATTAATTGCTGTATTCAATGATGAATTGATTGGGGAATTTGGCGAAGTTGACATTAATGAAGTCATTGGATTAAAACTATTAGATGTTGAAGATTGTTGTTGTTGTTGTTGCTGTGCAGGGAAATCAATTGGTTCAATTTCATTAATTGGTGCAATTTCTTGATCTAAAAAAATTAAATCATTAGTAACAGACCATGAAGTTGCATTAATATGTAAATTATCAATTGGATGATAATATGAATTCAAATCTTCTTTAATTAAATAACTATCTTTGGAACAAGTTAACATTGTTCTTTCATCTTTAAAAGCTAACCCTGTAATTTGAGAAGAATGTGATTCAACATCATATTCGGGAATATATTTTCTTTTCAATGAATAAACCTGTGTACTTAATTCATTTGTTAAGAAACTTGTTGCAATTTCAGCATTCATTATATTTGTAATTCCTTGAGAATTTGGTCTAAATCTAACTTTATTAATTGGTGCAGCTGTATAAATCACATGTTCAGGAATTTGTCTAGCATCATTATTATTCATATTCCAAACTTGAATTTGTTTATCTCTACCACCACTAACAACATAATCTAATTCAGGATGCCAATCTAATGATAATCCAGGACCTGTATGGGCATTAAATTTTCTTTCAAATTGATTGGGTACTCTTAAATCCCATTTTTGTATAACACCAGAATCAAAAATTGCACAAATTTTCTTATTATGGAAAGGTGAAAATCTTAATGATCTTACGGCATCTGAATTACCATGCATTGTAAATACAGGTTTTGATTTATTTGATCTTAAATCCCAAAGTTTCATTGCACCATCTTGTGAACCAGATATTAATAAATGTGAATCTAATGGACTGAAAGATATTTTATTAACAGCTCTTGTATGATCATTGTATTTCAATACCATTTTATTGTTTTGGGATTGTATAGCACTATTAAATATGAAAATTGAACCAGTTGTGGTAGAAGTTGCAATATATTTACTATAATTTTGATAACCAGCATCAACATCTAATATGGAACCAATCACTTTTTTATTCTTCATATAATAAGTATTTGATAATAAATCATTTATAGGTGAGATACCAGAATTATCAATTTTGAGAATTTGTAATAAATTTTTACCAGTAACAACAACAGAATCTGAAGAATCATGTAACATTGATAAACTTGTTAATTCTTGATTTGCTTTATATTTTACTTGAGCATTTGTATCATCTAAACTAGCTGGGTCATGTAATGGAGTGAATGATGGAGGTGATTGCCTTAATGAAGAAGCAGTAAATGGAGTTGGAACCCTACTTGGAGATATTGATGATTGAGAAGTTGAGCCTGAATTACCATAAATGTTAAAAGCTAGACGTGCCAAAGTGTTTGATGGTCTCAATGAAGAGCCATACTGACCGCTGCTTCCTTCACTTGAACCATATCTATTATCATATGACATTTTCCTGAGGAGTGCATCAGCTGGGTAAGCACAGGTTTAGATTGGAAGGTTAATTGTGCTTTAAAATTGTCACTCTGATGTTGATGTTGAAGTTGAAGTTGGTGATGTTTATCAAAATTCGCGAAACAGCGATAAATTAATTTTAGTTTAGTAAGCAATGACATAAGCAGTATAAATGTTCACTGCAATATATTACTTATAATACTAGCAGTTGTTGACGGGATTTATTATCTCTAGCCAGTGCAGATAGTTTTCATCAAGTGATATTGTATAATGACCTTTTTAGATTCATAGAATTAGTACTGAGCTAGATCTATAGTACATTGACCAATTAATTCACCGTATATATTGGTATACGACGTAAATGTTCAAACTAGTTTGACGTACAACATTGAGAGGTTACATTCAGGACATGTATATAGATCGGAAAGCTTAATTAATGACGTTAAAATGAGTTAGTATGTTATCAATTCTTCATACCACCACAAGCTCATGGGATCAAACATGTTTAGTGAATAGGTTTCAAATTTTATATTGTCAATTACATGAGAGCTTGTATGAGACATATTATAGTCATGAATATATTATTGAAGATCATTTTGGGATTCAGCTCATGGTTTTATATCCAACTTTCCATGAATGTATTACAGCTTCAATGAACTTTTATATTGGTTATAAGAATTTGATGCTAAGATTATTCAAAGCTAAATTGGCTGCAATTGACTAAGATCAAACCCTATAATACGTACTTAATGAAGATATTATGTAAATCATTTTAGCTAGACGTACCAGTTAATGTATACCAGTGGGTCATTGGCCATTATTCCAGCAGTAAGGTACGTAAACAATAATAATCAATACAAAATCATGGTGATTACACTCACTATATATATAGTTGCAACTTGCATATGGTATACGATCGGTTTTCGGAAACAAAATGTGCATTTTCGGTGCTCGGTGGCAATTAAGCTTCCGAATCGCTCTTCGGTGCTCTTAAATGCATCCGAATTGTTGAGTTAAAATAAGTAAAAAATAATTTGACTGTACAAAACAATTTTATACTTTAAATTTTATCGTTTATCAATTAGAAATCAACGGCTTTAAGGGTTGAAGATTATCATATCCATCTTGATTCTTGATTAGTATACAAAGCTGAGGCAGGACAGCATCTGATCAGTATAGTACAATATACCCTTCAAAGCTGGTATAGCGCTATAGCTATAGTGTATGTCGATATTAGCAGCTTCGATACTAGCTAGTCAGTAATCATATGTCAACTTTCAGTGTTCCAGCTGTCCAGGGACCAGCACTACATTGCTTCTGATGAGTTATCTTTTGTACGATGTTAACGGCCGCAATAATTGATAATCAGAAAGGAATTAACGGATTAATAGAAGGACTAGTTAATTATTTCTGCATCACGTAAGCGTAAACAATATTAAAAATTATTTACCTGGCGCATGTTGAATTACTAAAACAAAACAAACGAAAACCGAAAACCGTTTCTTAAAATGAAAAATGCTGTTGTTTAGCTGTTTGATGGATGAGTAATATGTTTATCACTTGGAAATGGTATAAATGAAAGCAGGTTGCCTCTCTTTTGAAGATTTTGATAGCCATGATTGTACTACTACTTCAAGTAAGGAATAATTGATTGTTCTTGTTTGTTATGACAATGTCAAACTCATCAAGTGATAGCCGCTATGAAGAAAAGCCTTATGAGGGCAAAGATCATGATGATATTGAATCAAGGGATGAATATGAACAAGAACAAGATGTTATCAGAGTAATTTCCAACAATGGGTCAAATAGAGTATTATCTAAATTTGAATCTTTGACAAGAGTCATTTCACAGAAAAATTATAAAAATTTTCCATCTTCAATTGATCCAAATGACTTTGATTTAAACACCATTTTGGGTGCTTTTGTTAATGATACTACTCAACGTGGTCTTAAACTGAGAGCTTCTGGTGTTAGTTTTGAAAACTTATCTACAATTGGTAAAGATTCTACAATTGCATTTGCTCCAACTTTAGCTGATATTGTTAAAACTCCATTAGATTTACTTAAAAAAACCAAAACAAGAAAATTGATTAAAGGTATCAATGGGTTTGTTAACTCTGGTGAAATGGTTTTAGTATTAGGTAGACCTGGTGCTGGTTGTTCTACATTTTTAAAGACAATTGCTGGTGAAACTCATCATTATGTTGACACTGAAGGTGATGTTATCTATGATGGTATTGATCAAAAGGAAATGATTAAAAACTTCAAATCAGATTTGATTTATAATCCTGAACATGATGAACATTTCCCTCATTTAACTGTTGAACAAACCTTGAGATTTGCAGTTGCTTGTAGAACTCCAAATACAAGACCAAACGATTCATCAAGAGAAGAATATATTTCCATCATGGTTGATTTATTAGCTACTGTTTTCGGTTTAAGACATACTTACAACACTAAAGTTGGTAATGATGTTTTCAGAGGTGTTTCAGGTGGTGAACGTAAAAGAGTTTCCATTGCTGAAGCTTTAAGTGCTCGTGCTGCTGTTTACTCATGGGATAATGCTACAAGAGGTTTAGATTCTTCTACCGCTTTGGAATATGCACAAGCTATTAGAACCACAACCAATTTAATGAAATCAGCTTCATTTGTTACAATTTATCAAGCTTCAGAAAACATATATAATTTATTTGATAAAGTAACTGTTTTATATGAAGGTCGTCAAATTTTCTTTGGTCCTGTTGAACAAGCCAAAAACTTTTTCATCAAAATGGGGTTTGAACCTCTTAATCGTCAATCAACTACAGAATTCTTAACTTCAGTTACTGATCCATTGGGTCGTTTCCCAAGAGCTGGTTTTGAACATAAAGTCCCACATACCCCATCAGAATTTGAACAATATTGGTTAAATTCACCAGAATTCAAAATTTTAGAAAATGAAATTGCAGCATATAAATCAAATGTAAATGGTGATCAAACAAAACAATTGTTTAAAGAATCTTGGGCACATGAAAAATCCAAATATCAAAAGAAATCATCACAATACACAATTAGTTATCCAGAACAATTAAGATTATTAACAAAACGTGGTTATCAAAGAATTATTGGTGATAAGGCTTTTACAGCTATCAATATTATCATGTCCACTGTTATTGCATTCCTTTTAGGTTCAATGTGTTATAACACTTCAGATGCAACTTCAGGTGCTTTTTCAAGAGGTGGTATTGTTTTCTTTGCCTTGGTGTTTTTCGTCTTCTTAGCAAGTGCAGAAATTGTTATTTCATTTATGAATCGTCCAATTATTCAAAGACATCGTTCTTATTCTTTCTATAGTCCAAGTGCTGAAGCTATTGCTGATATTTTAACTGATTTCCCAATGAAAGTTGTTGTTATGACACTGTTCACTATTATTGCATATTTCTTGAGTGGATTGAAATCAGAAGCTGGTGCTTTCTTCAACTTTTTATTGTTTTTCGTTCTTACAATGTTTGTATGTAAAGTGCTTTTTAACACTGTTGCTACAATTTCACCAACTGCTTCATTAGCTAGTTCAATTGGTGGTGTTTTGTTATTAGCAATTGCTTTATATTCATCATTTATGATTCAAATTCCTTCAATGCATCCATGGTTTGTTTGGATTGCTTATATCAATCCAGCTATGTATGGTTTTGAATCAATGGCTTTAGGTGAATTCCATGGAAGAAAAATGGAATGTTCTCCAGAAAATTT